CACTACCTGTGAAGCTGGAAAGAGATACTAACATGAATTAGAACTTTGGAGTTGGCTTCTACGAAGGCATGACTGATATTGTGACGAAGCCGATGAAAGGTGCCAAAGAAGAGGGTGCGTTGGGTTTCTTCAAAGGAGTCGGGAAAGGATCTCTCAACATGGTGGCAAAGCCGGGCAGTGGTAGGTCTACGATGCATATTAACTTTCTGTGACATGTGAGCTAACAACGCTTCAGCAATGTTTGGATTGCTGGCGTACCCAGCCCAGGGAGTTTATAAGAGCGTTAAGTCTATGAAGACGAACAAGGCGAGGGAGTTGGTCGCAGCTGGTCGGGTTGAATCATTGTCTGATGGACATGCTGGGTCACTGCAGCCAGATGCTGGCCAAGTTGTTAGACGATTCCAGGAACTAACGGCGTAAATAAATATACTTGATGTCTCTTGGCTTTAATAGATAAGAATTAAAATTATTCAATTTGAGCGTTTTAAAACTTTATTTTATATTTTCGTGTTAATGTATAGCTTGGTAGCCTGGAAGAAGGTTATATTCCGCCAATATTTTCTGGCGGTATAGGGTGAATGCTTATTCACTTCAGCCCTTGAGGCTCTTAAACGAGTTTTCTCGTTTATCGTTTAGTAAGTTTGACATGAACGACATAGTGGGTCCCGCCGATCCACTGGTGAGATCCACAAGTATTTACTAAAAGAGGGCGCGACTTTCAACCTCGTTGTTAATATTTTCATTCAACATTGGCGTGACAGCATCAATCATTTCTGCACTCAAGTGGGAGGGTTGAACATAAGAACAAGAGGATTTATTGCAATCTCTTATCTGTCTCTACTACCTGGTCATTCCACTTCATTATCCAGTCAACATTATTTCCGAGTCCCTCGTCAACATTCGTGACGTGGCTGTATAACCTCATCCTGCCTGTCACCTAAAGAAAGCCCCCAGTTTCAACAGACAACGTCTTAGACAGACTCCTTACCATCTGTATGCTCAACAATGGTCGAAGTCTTACCCTCAACCCGAGCGGAATGCATACCAACTCCACCACTGGGGCCATCAAAGATCCAGGCAATCTCCTCTAAAGAAGGACCCTTTGTCTCCGGGAAGACGAGATAGACTCCAACAAACTCAACCATGACCCAGCCGACGAAGATGATGTAGAACTTCCAGGTAATATCCTTTAGGCCAATAGGCACGACAAAAGTTGAGAGCATCATGAAGCAAAACTGGACAAAGTAGAAAAACGACAATCCCTTGGTTCGCATGCGATAAGGAAGGATCTCAGGGATGTAAAGACCAAGGTTACCGTTGAAACCGAGGTTGTAGGCGGGAGAGAAGAGGTAGAGGAACGCAACGACTGTATACGCGGCAGCTTTGTTGGTGTTGTCCTTGGCGAACACAGCACTTCCTGCAGTGATGCAAATGTCGATGACCCAGATGGCAGCCAGCGACCAGAGGAAAAGTTTACGACGACCGACCTTGGCTGGCAACGTGGCGAAGTAAATGGCACTGAACCAAGAGAGCATCTGATTGGTGGCGTTGATGAGAGTCTGCTGAAGATCCGAGTTGAGTCCGACAGAGTGCAGGATGGGCGAGAGATAATATGAGACAAAGGCGTTACCAGACATCTGTGAGCAGATAGCGGCCCAGACCATGATAAACATGCGCCTGCGGTTACCAGGAGTGCTTCCCAAGTCCTTGAGGAAGACAAAGATGTTGTTATGCTCAGATGCCTCTGCACTCAGCGTCTCAAGAATCTCATTGTACTCAAACTGAACAACAGGGTCAGATGAGTCACCCTCGCCATGGTACTTGGCGAGCATCTGAAGAGCCTCATCGTTGCGACCCTTGCTGACGAGCCATCTGGGCGACTCTGGGACAAACCAGACAAAGAGAAGCTGGATAACGGAGGGAAGGCCCTGCAGCGCTGAAGGAATACGCCAAGATGCAGTGCTGTCAATGCGGAAAGTACCAAAAGTACACCAGCCGGCAATGATGGATCCGACAGAGTAAAAGGTGAGAAACAGTGCTGTAGCCGTACTTCGCTGAGCAGGGTGCGCAATCTCTGTGATGTAAGGAGCACCAACTCCAGCAACGACAACGCTGCCTGCGCCGATGATGACTCGTGAGATGATAAACATGGCAATATTCATAGCAGCGCCCTGGATAGCTGCACCAATACAGCAAAGAGCAGCGCCAGTAGCTAGACCCCATCTTCGTCCAAAGTTATCGGCCGCGGGGGAGATGAGAAACGTGCCCAGGATACCGCCGAGGGGGTAGGCGGCGTTGAAGAAGCCCAGCATAGCTCCCGTTGGAGTGCCGAAGTAAGTCTGCCAGTGGGTGACGGACTGCAGACCGTTCATCATACTTCCATCGAAACTAGACATCACATTAGCTTGAATGAGAGGATATGGGGGATGAAGACGAACCCTTGAGAAAAGATCGACAGAAGTGGGATCATCATGAGAAAGTTCAGGCTGCGCAGATTGGGCGATTTCCACCAACGCTTGGTATCAACAGGCGATGGTGGCAGAGCCATGGTGGTAGTTACTTCTGAAGAAGCCATTGCGAATACAATAAGCACTGAAGCAGAAAAGTAAAACTCGGTGCGATGCCAAGGTCAAGATTGAACGACTGGGATGAGAGCAAGAGTTTGATGCTGGCTCAGCCCAAGGCTATATACATCTCTCTCACTCGCCACGTCCTGTACTCGGGACCACTTCAACCGAGACCAGCCCACCCCTCTCGGCCCATTCCCACGGGGTCATTGGGGAAAATCTGGGGTACGCTAGCAGAAAGCTCAAGGGGGTTCTGGACCATCACGTGGAAGACAAATCCGAATACTGGGCCGGCATTTAAGGGCCAACATGCCCCGAAGTTTCTGCGCGTAAAATGCAACCTTGACGGCGAAACATAGACCGAAACAGCCATGGCCTCGTATGTTACTTCTTTTTTTCTCTTAATGACTTTCCCCGGAAATAGACAGAGTGGAGAAGGTTAATGACTGATCGTGCAGATGTGAGAGGTGCAAGCAACGCAAGGCAAAGTGCGACCGCCGATTACCGGCCTGTCAGCGCTGTGAGAAGGCAAAGGTTGAGTGTGAGTATGGGGGGAGGCGGAAGCCGGGGTTTCCAGCTGGGCATCGCCAGATGTTGGAGGACAAGATTGGTAAGTCTCGACTCATTTTTACTCCATCATCTATGTTTCCGCAAGGTAAGGTGACTGTCGGCTGACTGTCGGTTCCAGAGAGACTGGAGTCCGAGCTACGCGCCATTCGTAGCACGCCGAGAACGAGCACATCAACTGATCAAGCACCTACGCAAGACACAATCGAAGTCGACAACAAATCACCCAATGAACAAGCAATTCGTTCAATGCCCGTCGGTGAAGCATCACCTACCTTTGAGCGCACCCGCAGAGTCACAGAGCGCAGACCCCCAACAGACCTCGTCGTTTCTCTCGCCTCTCTCTACTTTCGCCACATCCACCCATGGTTTCCCTTCCTAGATGTGCAGCGCGTCTGCGCCGATATGGGATCTATGGACGAACCTGCGCTGCTCTACTACGCTCTCTTTGGTGTCACGCTGCCGTACTCGTTTGACTCGCGTCTTGATCAGGCGTCGAGCGATTCGTTTTGGAAATACTCTAAGCGCAGCATATTTGTTGATGTGCTGGAGGAACCGTCGTATAGCTCGTTAGAGGTTCTCACAGTACTTGTCTTGGATCTTTCTGGCATGACGCATGGACCTCAGGTTTGGGGTCCCTTGGCTGTAGCTACGAAACTGGCTGTGCAGCTGAAGAACACGGATGGGCTTGTTTTTCGCACGTCGACTGAGGCTGAAAGCAGTGAGTCGCTGAGCAAGAGCGATGGTATTTTCCGACAGCGGTTGTTTTGGGCTATCTACGCTCTCGACTGCACCATTTGCATCACCACCAACCATCATTCGACCTTGGGCGACGACCATGTTCACCACTTCCTACCTGCGCGACAGCAAGTCTGGCGGGAGAACCTGTCAGAGGTAGACGATGCATCGCTTACTCCCGCGTCTGTATTCAGCTACCAACTAGAGCTATTCGATCTTTCTCGGAGAATTCACAGAGTTGGAATGGAATACACTACTCTCTACAACAACCAAGAGCTGGAGTCGACTTGGCTTGGCGAGTTTCATAACACCGCAGCTGAGCTCAATTCCTGGATGGAGACGCTGCCATCTCGGCTGTTTTGGCATAACCATAACATTGTCGAGGATCGTGTTCCAGGCGCTATCCGACCAGCTACCTTCATGCTATACGGGTACTATTACGCGTTGGATATCTACCTCAACGGCTTTCTCGCCATACCATGCCATTTCAACTTCCAGTCCGATTCGCATCATGAGATCCGTCGCCAATGCTTAGAGCGATGTCTCAGCAGCGTACAAGCCTTGGCTCAGATCGTCACAAAAGTGGCTGACCAAACTATCGATAAGCTCGGCTGGCCTTTTGCCTGGTCCGTCTGGGTGGCTGCTCGCTTCTTGACGGCGCAGAGGTACTTCACAGGAGAGACTGATCCCGAGACCATGGCAAAAGTCTCGCTTTTCACGACATTTCTCAGTACTATGGGTCGCTTCTGGCAGATTAGCGCCAGCTACGCTAGGATGCTCCGTCGCGCAACATCTGACCTGGATGCAGGCACTGAGCCAGGACAAGGGACCATTCTTCAGCTCATGGCTGATCTTAGAGTCCCAACGTCTCATATTGAGGATCAGTTTAGACCAGACTCTATGCTGCACGGGGTGATTAGTACTGGACAGTCTGTTTCGACATATAATAACCCGAGCTACATGGACGTTGAGAGACTGGATACTCTTCTTCCTGTTTTCGCTGACGATGCGTGCTTTGATATGTCCCAAGATCAAGATAATTGGTTTCGCATGCCGTTATTTGCATCATCGGCATATCAACAATTCAACGCGCCAGAGCAGGAATGACACTTAGTTTTAAACTTAATATTGACTTTATATTGCCTCAAATAATAATCTACTCTTTCTAAGATCTTGTCCAAGTGAAGCTCATGTTCTGCGAGCTCTTCTCAACCATCCCCGGCCATCCTGGTAATTTCACATGCACAGAGATTGACTCGTCTAATCCCTCAATACCCAACGTGACTAGCGTCTCTCCATCTAAAGAGCTCCAAGCAACCTTTGCCAACACCAACTTTCCTTCTCTATAAAACGGAACTGTTGCTTCGAGAGATGTATACAGCCCCAGGCGCGGAGCAAACTCCAGCTCCTGCCATCCAGGCTTTGCAGGCCGTATCCCTGCAACCTCGGCTAAGAACTCGTAGATGGGAGCGCTGCCCCAAGCATGGCAATCCGAACGGTGTGAAACGTCGTCTTCTTCCCAGGTCGTTAGACCGAGAGATAATTGATGACGCCATGGCTGCCAGAGAACATGGAACAGTTCGTCATACAAAGACCCTCCTGCGATACTGATGGCTCGAAGTGTATAAAAGGACATGGAGATCGACGTCTTGATGAGAGGCGCACCACTTTGAGAACTTCCGAGAGCGCGCTTAAGTAATACTTGAGCGCTGTTACCACATACCGCACCGCTGAGAACTGCCCAGACCTGGTTATGCTGGCTACGGTCAGCCTTGGGGTCTGAGCAAGCAGCAATGCTGTCGGTAAAGTATTGCCCATCAAAACACTGCCGTTTAACCGCATCGACAATTAGCCCGGCCCGATGAGAATACTCATCTGCAAGGGAAAGTCGGCCTGCACACTCTCCCTGCAACTTGGCCGCTAGTTTGAGAGTGTACGCATATAAGCTGTTTGTGTATGTCGAAACACCGGAGTTGGCTGCTGACGGAGGAATGCCGTACGGCCTCCACTGCTCCGCCCAATCATGAAAGTTCCAAACGCCCTTCTCATTTCCTAGACTTACAAGATCCAGGCGATGATCCATGCGTTCATGGAAAAACCCCAGGACAGCATCAACAACGGGTAAAAGAGGCCGAACAAACGCCTTGTCAGCGTAGTAAAGAAAATGATCGTGCAGCATGCAGATCCAGTAGAGGGAGAAGTGAGGGATGATCTGCAATTGAGTCGATGGTGCTCTACTAGCTGTAAGCCCAATACGAGGCTGAAAGGAGCTGTGAAGCTGGACGATTGCCTGTCTCGCTAACCGATCATCGCCAGATACGTGGTAAGTGAAGAGACATGAACTTCGTGTATCCATGGCGTATTGGAGTTGCTCGTAGAAAGGGCAGTCTTCGTAGCATTCATGCATGCAGTTTTGTAAAGTTCGGATACTCGTGTCGTACAGCGCTCCCAAAGTCCCATCATCTGTGGTCGTGCTTATCGTTGATAGTACGTCCAATGGGTAATTCACAACGTCAATATCGATACCACGCATGATCAGATCAGATGACCCAGTCTCGATGGTTAGTCTTATGAAGCGAAAGGTACGCCAGTGGAAAGGCATGTATACTTCTTCTGTATCTTCCTCATCGTAGTAGCCCAGACATGGATTCCCATCTTTTCCCCGGAAAGTGTAAATATCCTTGGGCCCGATTAGAAACTTGCTTGAGTCGCATCTATTTCCCTTGCAACGGAGATATGGAATCAGCACTGGAGTGTTCTCATAACTTTCAGAATACGTTATCGTAAGACAAGCGCCTCCAACTTCCGGACGGACGAAGCGGAAGCGGATAAAAGCAGTTGTATGCACGGGAGTCTCAAGGTCGAGTTGATGACTTGATCGAGCGGGAAGAAGGAGATTACTGTCTGCTGATTGAATACCCAGCAAACCTGCACTCCAGGTGCCATGGGGCAAGTCGCTCTGAACGTTGTGAATAGCGCTGAAGTAAGCCTTATGGCCTCTCATTGGCGGAATGAGACGCGGCGATAATTTCCACGGCGCCGTGACACCAGTAGAGTCCTGAAAACGGAGCGGTATCGCCGGAATCCACTCCAATGACGTATCGCGTGATGCCGAAACCAATTCGTATACGTGAAGAAAATCATCCTCTTCCTCGTCGATGCGAAGAGTCACATTGTGATCTATCGCCGTTTTCCAAAGCTCACTACTTCGAATCTGCGGTGCCCAGACCTCATCGTCAACAGTCGTTGCGATCTTGACACCACCTGTTCCCAGACGCGGAAAGCTAGTCCCGTACGACGTCCCGTGAAATAGTCGGAGGACATGGATCGCGATGTGATTCTCGCCCAAGCGCAAATACGGGCTGATGTCGACTTCGTCGTAAAACCAGAGACTCGCATCTCCCTTAACAGGTCCGAACGCGGCCAATTGCTTGTTGACGTATAGCTTGTATCGTGTATCAGCCGTGATTTGAAGTGGAAGCGATGTTGGTATCTCCTTATTGACAAAGAATGTCTTGCGGAAATGAACGAAGCGACCGGCGGTAGACGTGGCCTTTTCGATGAAAGCGGGATTCCACATCCAAGATGTGTCAAATTGTTCGGCTGCCATGATGGGGATATTCTCGAGTTGGAGGCGGTAATGTCGGAAACAACGAGGGAAGAACTAAGAGAAGGGCCTTTGGAGGGGCAGGCAAGCAATTCCTCAGTCATTGTTAAGCGTAATTTCAATGTGGTGGCACTCGCATGACCCACGTTGAGCTGGGGACCCTTCGGATCTTGTAAGACCGAGACATACCTCGTTTAACGGGAGCGAGCGGGTTGACATGCACCGGCCAGCCCAACCCATTCTATATCCATGCAGATTTAATTGTTATTTCGGGGATATGTTTAGCGAAGCCTTGTGAGCATTAAATCTTTATGGTTCGATTCTTTGATAACTATTTTCCTGAAGGTTCAGACCATAGGATGGGGAGACGCTATATCAAATTATCTCATACCGGAACAAAATCATACTGAGCTCCTGCAACTAAATCTTGCCATGATGTAGTTAAGGCCTTAGAAGGATTACTGTGACGCCATTTCCAATATTCGAGACAAATTGTGCTTGCCAAACTGACATTCGCAAATCCATGACGCTCCTTTCTCTTGAACCAATTCAACGCACGCATCTTGTGCGCTTCATCATAGCATTCACTTGCTATAACCATGCAAGGCCATAAAACAATGCATCCGTCAAGGTCAGTAGCAACATCTTCAGCCGCTTCAAGATGAGTCAGTGCTTCAGATACAATATCTTGTAGCTGCTCTGGCGGCTTGTGGCGGATCCATCTTTGGAGGTGTATTATTGTGGCGTAGTGCCAGACCGAGGCATAGTGTTGACTGATGAAGTTGACCTTTTCACTGCGGAATTGATTGTGTTGGGTTGTTGGGCTGACTTGTAGATAGATCTGAAGTTCTAGCTGGTCAAACAGAGCGAGACCTTCAATAGCATCTTGTTTCGAGAGCGTATTGATTTGAGATATGATACCGACGAGAGCCTTTGTGACACTGTGATGTTTAGAGGCATAGTCCTCGGTGCTCGGGAGTTGAGACACCATATCTGCAAGGTCATGCTGTGTATCAACATCGCCCAACACGACGAGACAAAGACATTGCAGAACCACAACGTGTAATTCAGATCCCGGTTCCAGACCTTGATAGAGTTTCCCCTGTACTATTATCCTCAACGCAGCTTGTATATGAGCTCTCCAGCTACGAGGATGTCCTGTCATGGTATCCTGCATGATACACATCGCAATAGCGGTTAGAACAGATGTATAGTCCATGTTCCTCGGTTGTGAAATGGACTCTTGTAGATTCTGCAGTGCTACCTGTGCATTCCATGCTGATTGTGTATTGGCCTTGTCGTGCCGTAGGGTATTCAGATTATGCGCGGCAGCAGCACAAACTCCGTGCAACACTGCAATGTGACTTTTGGAGGTGCCACTGACGCCTTCAGAAGCTAGGCGCAGATATATAACTCGGTATGGGTTGTCCACTGTGTCGATTTGGACCATGTTTCTACACATGTGGACCAGCCAGTGATGAATCAGCTCGGTCTGTTGTCGAGACATGGAAATTGGGCTAAGACTGGTTTGTGGCGGCGGCACTTCATCGAGCGGAGTGCTGTTGAATTGCCAGTAATTCTTTGACGGATGGTTCTCTAGTGAGACTGCTAGAGCAAAAGTCGCATCGTTTCTAGGCCTTTCTGACTCTTATATATATATAGAACTAGAAATTAGTTATATTATTAAGTTTATATAGCTTTTATAATCTTTTTCTACTTATCTTTATAATATATAATTACTTAAAAGAAACTTAAGTACTTTACTTATTAAGGAAAATTATCTTTACCTTTATAATTAAAAATATTATTATAATAATTTATTTAAATAACTATAACTATCTTAAGTAAAAATCACTTTAAGACTTTAAATTACTAAACTAAATTATACTTATTAATTCATTATCTATTTACGCTTTATAGGGTTTTCTAGATTTATATTATATTAATTCCTCTTAGGCAATAGCTAATCAGGTGACCTAGTTTTCTCCAGGCTCATAGCCTGTTCTTTAAAAGTTGATTCCCAATTTGGGTTCTGCGGGTTTTACAGTTAGTGGCGCAGCAGTGTTGGCTAAAAGAGGGGAAATCTTCACCTCTAGCAGACTCAAGTTCCTACGCAAATATACTTGTCGCATAGTCGTCACTATGAGCTTAAATAAGGATTTCCCGTATCTCCCTCTCACGGCTCTGTCGCAAACCCGAGTTATTTTACTCACCCCAGGGACGAGCAATGATCCCATCCACTGCTTCCAGCTGGTCATCGATCTAGACCACGACTTGACATCATCCGATGGAGCATGCCATGTTCAGCCATGTTCAGGTGAAGAACCACCCTTGACCCAGAGATCACGTCTGCAACATGGGGAGTCCGACTCAGACCTCGAAATTCCGGGCCTTCTAATGCAATCAGCTAGTCGCAGTACTTTGCACCTATTCCAAGGATACACAGCGCTATCCTATATATGGGGCGACCAGCAAAACCCGCATGAGATCTTCATTGACGGCAAACCATTTCACGTCGGAGAAAATCTTTATATTGCTCTACTACGGTTACGAAAACCAATTGATGTTTTCGGGATTGGCACTACTGCTCCAAAAGACTTCCACAACCAAAGTCTTAATGTGATACAGCAACATATGTCATCAGAAAGTCGCTTTCTTTGGGTTGATGCAATCTGCATCAACCAGAATGATGTTGCTGAGCGAGAAGCTCAAGTTAAGCTCATGGCTCACATTTATCAAAAGGCAGATCATGTGCATGGAGACCTCGGCCAGAAAGAAATGACTGGGGGCTTTGAGCTGCTACATCTTATGCAAAAGATAATGGGAGCGGGCAGCCGTTGCCAATCCCAGCTATCTCCCTCAGAAGAATCCTATCAGGAAGAGGGGCATACAAACCCTGACGCCAGAACCAACATTATGTCTGCCTTGGAGTCAGAATTTGGGAATTACCAAGCTGGGAAGACTGGAAATGTCCGTGAAGTCAGGCTGCCAAGTCCTTCAGTCAAAGTCCTCGAGGAACAAGGCATTCCAAGAGAAGATGACGAGGTATGGGCACATTGGAGGCAATTCCTTAACTCGACATATTTTCAGCGCCTTTGGATCGTTCAAGAGGCCTCACTGGCAAGCTCGATCACTCTATGGTACTCGAATGTGAGCATCGAGCTTGAAATGGTCGGCCAGTGTCTACAGTACTTGAGAAAGTATAGCACTAACTCAACTCTCTACTCCGTGGCGAAAGATGATTACCGTTCGTCATTAAGTACATCACCTGCCATTTGGGCAGTGATCGGGCTGATCCATCAGCGAAACCAAATGCGTGGGGCAAACGGCCGTCTGACTAAACAAGTTCCTCTGATTCATATGTTGGATCTTGCCCGTCGCACAAAGGCAACTGATCTTCGTGACAAGATTTTTGGGCTTCTGGGCATGGCAGCCGATGGCTCAGATTTCCTTCATCTTGTAACATATTCCCAAAACGTTGAAGAAGTTTACCAGGATTTTGCCAAATTCTTCATTGAACGAGGTCAGGGAATATCAATGCTCTATCAAGTCGATAGCAGAGTATCAAAAACATTGGATATTCCTTCTTGGGTTCCTGTGAGTACACCTTCGACTGGAAATGCGAAGGTGGGTTTTCTAATACCTTCTCAGGATTGGTCGCGTGATAGAGATGAATCATCTCTGTACGACGCAATGCCGGCTCTATCTAGCGCTCTTGATGAGCAAAAAGCGCTTGAGATACGGTTGTCTGGTTCGGAACTGGCAATCACGGGCCACGTAGTTGACACCATTAAGTGCCTAAGCACACCGATATCTAGCAACCTTACATGGGGATCATTCTCCGAAATAGCTGCCTTCCTATGGGAGGGCGGCAACCTCTTGATAAAGCAAAACATCGAAGGGGACCAGGCGGTGGAAATCATGCTCCATACCCTCAGTTGTGGCTCTCTAAATGCCAAGCCAGCCGCCAAGGTGGAAAGCCTTCGCCAAGGCTTTGCTGCAGTATTTGGGCATGGAACGTTCCTTATAAATGGAGGAAACTCTGATGACTCACCGTGGCTACCACATATGCGCCATTTCTTGGTCAAAGGTATGGCACTTGCGCCCGGCCGCCGATGGTGCATTACAAAAAAAGGGAAGTTTGGTCTTGTGCCAGGAGGCACCAAAACAGGTGATCGCGTTGCACTCTTTGGTAGCTACTCACTGCCTTTTATCCTTCGAGATCATTCAACTGAAGGTAGTATATCGGGTCAATACATGGACAGTACTGTTCACCAACGTGTGACGGCTAATTTACGCTCGAAACTCAATACCATAAAGGCTAGATGGCTACCAGGGGCTTCCGCAGATACTAATACTGCTTTTACCTTGGTTGGTCATGGATATATTTACGAGCTAAAGACTAAAGAAAAGAAAAATGGCAAGGAGCGAGAGATCATCCTAGTATAGAAAGGCTTGCCTATAAATTCTTAATTTACGTTTATATAATGCTGCCCTTAAGCTTAATAGTATTACCCACCCTTCACTTGAAAGTAAAAATTTAAAGATAAGTACATAGTAATGCCACTTTCTTCTAAGATCTTTTCAAGTCCATACGAACTATTAAAACCACCATCTAACCGCATCTTGCCTTAAAGTATCTTTAATGGATAGAGCGTCTTATCTACCACCCTCATGTCAAAGGTTGAGTTCAGTATGATGTCCGAGAGCTGATTTCTCTGTCCTTGGCACCTCATGTGTAATCCCGCTGTTAATATCGGCCACATCACTGTCGTCCAAGATGGGGACTTATATTATATTTCAGTAAGACCTGTAAGAACGGCCCAGATATGGTTCGACAGTTGCGTGAAAGTCCAAATTGGGAGTATGAGGTCGATGGAAGGAGGACTCGAGAAAGATCAGGCAGGCTTCGCGGTAAATCTGACCTGCATACCCACAATCCTTGGAAAGGGCTCTTGTGTTAGTCGCCACGTTCTTAGCTTTCCAGATATATATTTGTAATTTTGGAAGGATATCTGTGAAGCTGCGATTCCCTCTTTGATACGTAACTTGGCTAGGTCGCATATCATGAGGATTGTTTCGTACACAGGATGAGAGCAGCCAAAAGGCATCCATGAAGATTCGTTCCCTTATTCAGAGTCCCAATGTGGGCAGTGATAAAGTTCGAATCATCTACAGAGATGAACGGCCTGTGACGGTTAAATTTGAGCCAGTGAACTAAATACGACTGGTCTTACTAGTCACGAGCATATGGCAAGAAAACCCTGACTCTGAAGCTCAAGGGCTGTGGTTTGATCAACTCCGCGTTTGATACATCCTGGAGAGTTAAAGAGAGCCAGGCCGGATTCCAGGTTTGATCATTGGGAGTGATTGGTAGAGATCGTATGGAGTCAGTGTTGAGCGAATCAATGTCAATTTTGACAACGCCGAGTTTTAGTAGTAGATCAATATAAAGGTGCACTCCAAGAACTTAATCCTTTATTCGGTTTCATGCAGGAAGATGTTCTCGATTTGAGGAGTCATGGTGCTAGAAATTTGGGATCACGAGTAGTATTAGTATTAAGTGGAATTACGAAACCATAAGAGCTCTCTCTCCTTTTCTCAGTTAACTATAAGTTCTTATACTCATATCTTGCCGAGGTTCATCTCTGCCCTAATCTCGGGGACAGTAATTGCCGATTATACAGTGGTGCAATGGCCTTTGAGAATATGACCCAGCGCAACAATACTTGCACAAGCCATGTCAAAGCTGCCAAAAGAGATTAGTTACATATTTGTGGGTTTCGTTGTGGACTGCCTGAAAGGGCGAGATGGTGGAGTGGAGTGAGTGCGATACTCGATTACAGCCATGAAGAGAAGTCAAGAATAAATGTTACATCACCGTAGAAGAAAAGAATCATAATAGCAATTCCATCAAAGGCTCGGTAATTCTTTCCATCCACTGTAAAACTTCAAAAGGGGACAGGTTTCAGAACATATTGTATGCAAAGGCTAAAGTAACTAATTCAGCGACAGCCGCGGCAATCCACGCAACAGTCCATGAGTAAGACCCAAGTCCGAACTGAGATGTACTATGCCGATACATAAGTCTTGTGATAGATATTCTGTAAATAACACAACATACATAGTCAGTCCAACATCTTCACAGACATACCTTTCCACTTTCAAATCACCTCTAAATCCTTTAACACGTCACCTTTCAGAATATGGCAGTATCCACCTCATCGTCCTCCACGCAGTGGACGCACGAGCCCGTCGACGTAGCCATCGTAGGCGGGGGCCTCAGTGGCCTTGCGGCTGCTAAAGATCTCGTCGCTGCCGGCAAGTCAGTCCTTGTCCTCGAAGCCCGTGATCGAGTCGGCGGAAAAGTCTACGACGTAGAGGTGAAGGACGGGAATGGCCATAAAGTCGAAGCTGGAGCTGAGTGCGTCTGCAAAAACCACAAGAGGTTGCTTGCTCTTGCCAGTGAGCTTGGCATCAAGACGTTCCCGACATACATCAAGGGCTATATGCTCATGTGGATACCTGGTCAGGGTCGTCTACTATACGATCCTGTCAAGACACAGGGAATGCCGTCACTATCTGAAGAGGACATAAAAACTATGACTGACATCACAGTGCAGGTCAATGAGATGGCAAGTGAGATCGACGTGCATCAGCCTTGGATGCACCCAAAAGCTAAGGAATGGGATCGTCTCACGCTGTCGTCATGGCTTGATGGCTTTGCTCGCGATGGTGTAGCGAGAGGAGTGATTGATATGACAAACAGAGCTATCTTGTCGGCAGACGGCGAGGATGTTTCACTGTTGAGCGTTGTGATCAATGTTGCGCGAACTGGAGACCTAGAAACGAAGTTCGAATGGAGATGTTGACCAACGTCAAGAATGGGTTTCTTGAAGAAAGAATCGAGGGCGGACCACAGAACATCGCTATCAAACTAGCTGAGTGCATTGGTAGTGACACAGTCCGTCTTCGGGCATCTGTTCGACAGATCCTCCAGAGCGACGCTGGATACCTCGTTGTGGGCGATTCATTCCGTGTTCAAGCACAAAAAGTCATCATCGCCATCCCCCCCATCCTCGCAGGTCGTATCGTCTATCAACCTCCCCTCCCCGCAGCTCGTGATCAACTTTGCCAGCGCGTCCCAATGGGGTCAATCGGAAAAGTCATTGCAATCTACAAGACCCCCTTCTGGCGGGACCAAGACCTCAGCGGTGAAGTCGCAAGTCTCGAGGGTGTATCCCAGTCTACATTCGATAGTTCTCCCCTTGATGGAAGCTTTGGCGCTATGCTGGGTTTTATAGAAGCCAACGAGATGCGAAGACTCGATGACGCCTCTGAAGAAGAGATCTTTGCTGTTGTGAAAGAGGACTTTGCTAGATACTTTGGTCCCAAGGCGAGGGAGGTCCAGTCCTGGGTTCTTCAGAGGTGGGATAATGAGGAGTTTTCGAGAGGCGGTCATACAGGATTGTTCCCGCCGAATGTCTGGACTCAGTTTGGACCTGCGCTGACGAAGCCGGCTAGGGGGATCTATTTTGCTGGTACGGAAGCGTCCAGCTATTAGGCTGGGTTTATGGAGGGTGCTGTAATTGCTGGTGAAGAGGCAGCTGCAAAGATACTGAGCGCCTCTTGAGAGCACTCTTGAGGTTTCAATTTAAAGAGCTTGAAGAATATACAGCTTACTCTGAGGAATCAATGGCACCTTTTCTTGAGTGTTGAGAAGGGTGATCTTTGTTAATGGGATTCCAAATGAGCTTGTGAGAGCAATGCCATTATGAACACGTACCTATGTATTCGTCATTAGACATCAATTAGAAGGGTAACAAAACAGGGTTAAATAATAAACCAGCCCAGTCTGAATATCTAATTATAAGCATTGCCCTCCACTACAAGGTAGACGGTTAATAAAGACAGGATATATTGCTGCATATTCCGATCTTCCCGAAAGTTAACTGCTGCAATGTTTCTCGGCTACTCTTGATATGATGCGACGACTGACTCAATCAATCTGGTCAACGGCTGGCCGAACCTTTTCCTGCACATAGTCACTCTCAAGTGCGAATTCTGACAGAGCCATTAGCAAGCTAGTCACCAAAGCGAATTGACAACAGCAGGACTTACGGTCGGCTTTAGTATACTTGAACTTTCTTGCTGGTACACGGTTCTCAAAGAGAATGTCGATTTCACCAAAGGTACGGTCCTTTGTCTCAGGAAGACGGAACCAGCACCAGATAAGACAAAGTGCGTTCGTTCCAGCATAGAAAAGACCTGTTTTTGCACCCCAGCCCCAGCCTGGACTCGCTGTTAGCTTCTCTGACGGAAACCATCACCTTTCCTTGCAGATGAACGTACCGGACGCCGAAATCATCCTTGGCGTAACAGAATTATTGAAGATGGCAGTAAGGTTATACACAAACCTCCCAATGACAATAGTCTTATACCTAAGCCTTCCCGAAGGAGTCTCAGCCACAATAGGATAGCACACCGGCCCAATGGTGATCATGTTGCAAAGAGTCGACACCACAAAGAGTAGGCCAACTGCGAGATAAGCGTCTTTGCTGGTGGACCATCCGAGAGCTCCGATGGCAATCAGGCAGCAGAACATGAACACGAGGCCGCTCATGTAAATGGTCGCGCGTCCGAATCGAGGGAAAAGAACCCAGCAGATCATGCCGCCGATGATGTAGCATGCTGAGAGAGAGATGTTTAGGTTGAATGACTGGACCTGTGACCAGCCTGCGGCTTGGAGGAAGACGACGACGAAGCCGAGAATGGCGTTTCCGCAGAGGATCTGGGCGGCCCAGACAACGCAGTTCTGTACATAAGTCAGAGTGAAGTGATGAGATAAGTGACAAGGTTCTTACAATTTCGGTTCGACGCAAGTTGGTACCCTTGAAGCATTCAATAATAGACGCTCCACCAGTTTCCGCCTTTTCCAAAGCAGTGGTATGCTGTATGTACGCCAAGCTCGCCTCGATCTCTCCTTCTCTATCACCATCGTCTGAAGCAAGTCGCCGAAGAGATGTCTTAGCGAGCTCAAGTTTACCGCGACGGACGGCGTTCCACGGAGATTCGGGAGCGAAGTACGCCACGAAGAATAGCGGTACTGGCCAGACCCATTGAAGATAGAAGGGCAGCTTCCAGGCCAGATTACCCTCAATGTTTAGGCATGCTCGCACCACGCCTGATGAGATCAAGATACCCAGGCCCCAGCACATGCAGACCCAAGCGGTGACGTATGGACGGAGAATCGTGGGGACGACTTCGCAAGCGTAGGTAGTAGACAAGGTCTGGCGCAATGCTAATCAGTCTGTGTTTCGAAACTGGAAGTTCCTTTTACTCACCTGGAAAACACCCCAAGCAACACCGCACAAAGCTTCACCAAATGCCAGAATGGAAAGAGACGGTGCAAAGGCGAGGATGAAGATGGTGCCTACAAGATACGCCATAAACACCATCATTGTAGTCCGAGCGCCGAATTTATCTTGTGCCCATGCGTTGATCAAAAGGCCGGCCAGTTGTCCCACCTGCGACGAGTTCGAGAGGCCGGATTGCCAGGCTGGCGAGATGACCTTTTTGCCCTCTTTAGCGCTGTACTCACCGAAGTGGTCTTGGAACTGGGTTAGGCCGTAGAAGGACCCTAGCTGTTAGAGTCAGAAGTTAGCAGACTCGTGGAGAGGGGTTCATTGCGATTCAAGTTACATACCATGACCAAGTCGTAACCTTCCATTACCAGACTGATGGACAGGACGGAGGCCCAGAGCACAGCCTTTCTGTATTTCTTGAGGGCTTGGCGGATGGTGAGATCTCTGTCCGCAGCATTTCCATCTTGAGCGCGCTGGATAAGCTCAATGGTGTGAGGGTCACCAAGATCAAGACCCTCGAGCGTGTGCTTATTCACAACGATGTTGTCTGTACCCATGGCTGCGACTTGAAGTTTACAGTGAATAACTCGCTGACCACTCCTGCTGATCCTCCGTGTTCAACATGAGGGGTCGGCATCTCCCTTATAAGTCAGGTAGCTGTCAACCCCATGGGGAACTGAACTCTAGACTTTGGTCGCTTTGACCCCAAAGTACGTAGTGCGGAGAACCACCAGGCCGGGACCGCATTTGCCAGACAGTGGCGCCACAACTGTTGAAGAAACAGGGTCTCACAATAGCAGAACCAATTGGCGTCTTTCACAGGCCAAGCCTCGTGGTCCATCCCACCGGAAGTCCAACTTGACAAGCCATCCCACTGCGAACTTTATTCAAAGACATTCATCCCACCGGAGACGCGTCTACTCATTACCTATACTTGTAGGATAGCAAAGGCACTTTTATTCGGTTATATCCACAGAGGCGTAACTACGTACCTTAGCTATACTACTTCTCCATGATATTGAGGGATGCTGCAGCCAGCGCCGCCAAATCGAGATCCGCGCCGTCTGATACCGGGGCAGTTGTCACCATGTCCCGCTCTCTCTGTTATTTATCTTCCTTAATAGGATATTAAATGGAATTCTTATCCCCCCATTCTTTCTTCATGTCACCTGTGCAGAAGTTCGGAAGCAGGTCACAGCGAGTGTCGTATATATCCTTCATGAACAAGCCGGTGTACAAGAAAGACATGTAGATGGCCAAGAATTCCTGATCTTATAGCAAGAGGGTCATCGTCTGCTACGCTGTAGCGGCGTTTCGTTTTTGTCTCCCAGGATTTGATCGATGGATGGTTAATAGGCAGCTGCACCTTGTCGCCTTGGTACTAATATACTGTGGGTATCACTTAAGATCCGAGAAGCTTGACATGCGGCAACAATAGGAATAGATAGAGGTGAATGGAGTGATTATTCGCTATAGGTAATAACTAAGGACACCGGCTTAGACAATTGGGAACATACAAGTCCAACTACGTCCTAATCTTCCTCCAACTTCTCTCTCTTCTCAGTCTTGTAATCTTGCGAATCATATGCTGCCAGGCTATGACCGTCAAAAACAGCAGCAATAGCTTCGAGACTAGGGCCCTTTGTCTCGATAAAGAACTTCCAAACAATAGCAAGCTCAATAGCAAGCCATGCGACATAAACAAAATAAAACTTCCACGCAAGTGCCTGAAGACCGATAGGGTTGACCATGGTGTTGATAAAGTTACTCGCCTTTCCGAAGAACATGAGGAGCGAGAAGCCCTTGGCACGAATGGGATAGGGAAGAATCTCGACAGGGTACGAGTAGAGGAGTGCGTTAAAGGCCAAATTGTAGAAGAAGTAGAAGAGGAAAAGCATTGCGATGACGGCTTTTCCGGCGGCGGTGTTGTGATCTTCGTTGAAGAGACCAGCACAAAGGGTCTGAGACGCGAAAATGCCAAGCATGCCTCCAACAGAGAGGAGAAACTGGGTTCGGCGCTTCATGTAAGCGGTGAGGAATGCAGAAGCAACCGAAGTGAGCCAGTTGAAGATCATGAGGCAGCCGTTGAGAATGTTGCGCTCTCGAGCATCGGTGACACCAACAGTTTCGAGTACACGAACAAGGTAGTAAGAAACGAGACCGTTGCCCGACCACTGACTGAAGCAGCCAAGACAAACCAGAATAAAGACTCGCTTTCTGTTACCAGGAGAGGTCAAGAGGTCCTTCCAACCTGTCTCATTGCTGACCTCAGCTTCAATGACATTTCGCATCTGGATGAACTCAAGCTTGACAAGTTCGTCGTCCTCATCTCCATTACCATGCCACTTCACTAACAACGCCTTGGCTTCTTCACTGCGGCCATTCGCGATGAGCCATCGAGGAGACTCAGGAAGAAGAAAGACGCATGTGATGGGAAGCATAGCTGGGGCAGCCTGTAGAAGAGATGGGATTCTCCACGCCCATTCACTAGGGATGCTAAAGGTCCCAAAGGTCACCCAAGCAGCGAGGATAGCACCGATATACCAAGAGGTCTGATAAAGGGACGTTATGACTTGTCGTTCCTTGGGATGGGCGAGTTCGCCGATGAGCATGGGGGCGTAGGCGTTTGCGAAGACGAGACCGAAACCGATGATGAAGCGGGAGATGAGAAACATGGCGACTAAACAGGAGTTAGCTGAGTCACATAGTGGTTTAAGGTTACTTACAGTGAACAGAGGCACCTTGGATGACTGCACCGATGATCATGATTACAGCGCCAACAAAGATACCCATACGTCTTCCCCAGCGGTCACCGACCAAGCTGATGAATGGCGTAGCGACAACACAGCCGAGAGGGAGGATGGCTGACATGATACCAAGAAGTGCACCACGAGGTTGACCAAAGTCTAAGAGCTCTCGTTAGTAACAAGTCCATCCCAGAACAGACCTAGAACATAAGCACACTTACAGTTATCCCAAGAAGGTACAGCTTGAAGGCCAGACATCATACTCGCATCGAATCCCAGGGTGATAGCAGCTGCTAAACAAGTTGGAATGATGAGGAGATACAGCCGGAGAAGGTTCTTGTTCTGGTAGAATGGAGGCGCGATCGCAACAAGTTCCTGAATCCTCTGGTCAAGATCGAGGATCTGCTCGTCAACCACATGGTCTGCATTCTCCGCCATAGCGACATCCGCTTTGGCTTCAAGACTATTCTTGCCCATTTTGAGATCTGGATGAACACAACAGTAGAAGGGTGGTGTTGGGAGAGGAATAGAGATGCTCGTGTCCTGCTGTATGCAACGTCTTGACCTCTAATATACTCACCGTTACAATAGTATGGGTCTCATCCCCCTGGAGTAGCATTGCAGTGCGGGGATCCCCGAGAAAGGTCTGCCTGACTCAACGACCCCACGGGGCTGGAAACAGCATGGAGTCATCTCCACAGGCCGGGAGACAAATGGTTAGCGATATACAAGTTTTCGGGTCATACCCGGCCATTGCATGACTCGTGCAACGGATGCTTCCCGTGCGTGAATACCCCTCATGCTCTCATAACATTTGCACCGAAATTTACTGCCTACTAGCTCAATTCTAATTGTACCAAGCTTATTAGCAGCCCGAGCTATACTGACCTTATTCCCTTTTATTACTTGTGTCCAAATCTTACCAATCCCAGTCGCACCTAACCGACTGTAGGGCAATAATCCATCATGGCAGCCTCACAAACCACCATCGAGCTCATTTCGAAGCTCACGGTTGAGGAAAAAGTCAGTCTTCTAGCAGCCGTTGACTGGTGGCGCACACCAACCATCAAGCGAGATGATGTCTTCATTCCTCATATCAAAACGTCCGATGGTCCTAATGGTGCTCGTGGTGAGAGCTACGTAAGCGGTATCACAGCAGCTTGCTTTCCTTGCTCAACCGCCATTGGCGCAACATTCGATTCAGAACAAGCATATCGTCTAGGCAAAGAGATCGCAAAAGAGACCAAGACAAAATCCGCGAATGTTCTTCTCGCACCGACCATGAACATCATCAGATCTCCGCTCGGTGGGAGAAACTACGAGACTTACTCTGAGGATCCGTACCTCATTGGAACTTTGGCATCGGCGTTTGTCCGCGGCTGTCAGAACGAAGGCATTGCAGCTACGCCGAAGCATTTCGTCGCCAACGATTCTGAGAAGTCAAGGACGAAGATGACATCGAACATTGATCGTCAGACCTTGCGGGAGATTTACATGCTTCCCTTCCAGCTGGTGATGCGTGACTCAGATCCCTGGTGTTTCATGACTTCATACAACCGCCTCAACGGGGAGTACTGTGCAGAAGATCACTGGTTACTCGAAGAGGTCCTTCGCAAAGAATGGGGATTCTCAGGCCTTGTTGTTTCAGATTGGATGGGGACATACTCTACCGCTCACGCACTCAACTCTGGTCTGGATGTTGAAATGCCAGGCCCGACGAGATGGCGTGGCCAGAAGGTTCTGAAGGAGATTGAAGCTGGCAACGTTACCACTAAGACTCTTGATAAGAGTGTTGGTAGGGTTATTGAGCTTGCGAGAAAGACTGGTCGTTTTGAGGATCCTGTCGAGAAGCCGGAGCATTCAGTGGAAGATCCAGAGCGTCTTGAGTTCATCACCTCCATCGCAGCAGACGGAATGGTTCTGCTCAAGAACGACAACAACATCTTACCGCTGCCCTCAAATGCTTCAGTTGCTGTTATAGGTCACCATGCTCTTCACCCAAGCATCGGCGGCGGAGGCAGCGCAAAGGTCTTGGCTCAACACATCATCTCACCTCTCGAAGGCCTCAAAGCGCAAGGTGTCAACTGCCGTCATGCAACGGGCGTTCCGGTCTTTGGGGCGCTACCCCACGCAGAACCAGAGACTATCTCGCCTGTACAGCTCCGCTGGTTTAACAGCTCAGTAGTCGGTGAGAACCTTGCCCATGAACAGACGATCACGCTCCCTGAGTACATGATCAAGGAGGCCTGGCCTACATATCTGGAGAAGGAGTATTGCACTATTATGTCTTTTAATCTACGCCCAACAACAAGCGGGGGTCATGTATTCTCTGTCATCACAACTGGCAAGGCAGATCTGTTGGTAAATGGGGAGAAGGTCTTCCATCGTCCACAGGAGCCAGTCCTTCTTCCAGAGTCCTTCTACTTTTACAAAGCCAAGATTGAGCGACGCTTTACTCTTGATATGACTGCTGGTCAGGAATACAAGATCGAGTTACAGTCTTGGGCTACTGATCCCGAGGTTCTCTCCAAGATTGGCGGTACCATGTTTCAGGGCGCTAGTCTTCGCTTCATGGAGCACGTGGATATCCCTGGTGCTGTTCAACACGCTGCAGAGATCGCTGCATCTTCTGACGTGGCAGTAGTCTTTGTTGGCACGACGAATGAACTTGAGTCTGAAGGCTATGATCGCGATACAATGGACTTGACATCTGATCAGTACGACCTGATCAACGCAGTGGTGGCTCGCAATCCTCGTACAGTGGTCGTCAATCTCTCAGGATCTCCCGTCACGGTATCTCCCTTCATCGATCAAGTTCCGTGCTTTCTCCAAGCTTGGTTCGCAGGTCAAGAATGCGGCCACGCCATCGCTCGCGTTCTCCTCGGACACGTCAATCCATCGGGCCGATTGCCAATGTCATGGCCGAAGAGAAATGAGGATAACCCAGCTTATGTAAATTTCCCCTGCGATGATAATCTCGAGCTCAACTATGAGGAGCGCCTCAAGGTCGGGTACCGCTTCTATGATGATGAGACTGCGCCAAAGCCTCAGTTTCACTTTGGAGAAGGGCTTTCTTACACGACGTTTGAGCTAACTGGACGAGCAAGTACGAGCTCGCGCGTTGATACTACTGAGACAGCCGAGACTTCACTCGTAACGGAGGTCAAGAACACGGGGGCGAGGGATGGTAAGCAAGTGGTCCAATTGTATGTGACTCCCCCACCATGCGACGGGAATCCACGACCAGTCAAGGATCTCCGATCGTACTGCAAAGTGTTCGTCTCGGCTGGGCAAACAGAAGAGGTTACGTTCAAGCTGGACAAGTACGCATTTAGCTACTTTGATACCGCGGTGGACAAGTGGAAGATGCCACAAGGGGAGTTTCGTCTACATATTTGCTTCAGTTCCGCGGAGACACTCCAGACTGTCAGCGTTACAAACCCGGAGACACGATATTGGACAGGGCTGTGAGACCGCTGACTTGGGAAATTGTTGGAATGGTTAAGCTGGCCAACTAGGTAGGGGGAATATAAACTCATCCCCGAATCCAAGACCGCCGTATGTAGGCATTCCACCGTCGAGACTCCAGTCCCAGTTATCTTGGAACAATGATGCCATGAAGTCGACCTGTTCCGTCTGACTTTCCGCCGTATCAGGAGGGACTTCATCCATGCGTTCCTCCGGGCAGCCTTGGATGCTAACTGAGGGTCTGCGAGACGGTGCACGCGACGGCATTGCAGAGTTGCGGATTGCTGGAGAAACGTTAGCGGGTTCTGGTTTTGTAGGTGCATGCTTAACATACAGAAATATGCGGAACGTGCTTGGTCTTTCAGAAGTAGTAGATGCTCCAAATAACCTCTCGCCCGGGCATTCTCCCTGCCGATAACTCGTAGGAGCACCGTCGTGTTCTCCCACGTCGCATCGAGCTGCTGCTGGTTAAAGTGTTTGCTTCCTCCGGCCTGAGCACACTCGGCGAGGATGATTATGCCGCCGCATGTCATGAGATCTTTAAGAAACATGTCAGCTGTCATCGTACAGGAACTGATTAAGTGAGGGCTTACAGAATAGACTGAACCACCATGCTCCAGTCGCCTCCACTTCCCTTGCAGCCAGCAGAGACGCTGATAGCTCGTACGCCACCTGAACGCATGTCGTCGCGCACTGAGCTTGGAATGCTCCCTGCAAAGTATTCGCCTCTGTTCCAGTTTCATCCAAGCCAGAGCCTGTAACTCGTCGTTGTCGTGAACGTCTCGCAGCAGCGCAGAATGCACTAAAGCTTGGTCTGTACAGCAAAATCCTAAGATGGAGAAACCGTGCGTGTAATACATTTCTCTGCCGCTTCAAAACATGGCCTCTAGCTCCTTGTTGTCTCACCGTGTCATTGTCCCACCATGTTAAATCATCGACCAGGGAATTCCGGAAATCTTCTAGAAGCCCGTCTAGTCGAACGAGGGCGCTGAAGTCGGAAGATGAGCTTGGCCAGTAGATTGACGAGAGAATTTTGCCGAGGATCTTGGCAAGTCGGATGTTCTCTACCACAAAAAGGTTCTGTGATACTGTTCCTTCCGGTTGGACGCATGAGATGGAATTGGGACATATGAACTCGTCGTCGACTGCGGCGGGTACGAGAACATCGTCTGTCATTTGGAGAACTGGAGGCCTTCCCAGAGTCATGCAAACTGTCCTAAATATTGTCAGTAAATATTTAGTACCCTACCTCATGGAAGTGACTTACATCTCCATCTGTAAACATCCATACCAGACTCTTCGACGCACTTCGTTCTCCATAACAGATCGCTGATCAGCATGCCTCTCTGTATGTAACCCCAGCCCAACAGCTATCCGACAAGCAAGGCCGATGATATTATAGCATCTAATAGGATACTCGCTCGAAAGCGCATAGTGACCTGCCAGCAGCAACGCCTGCACATGCGACAAGTCACCTTTATCAAGGATATCCATCTGCAACAAGCTCCTCATCCTAGAGCTAAACATCGCCGAAGCAGATTCTTTTTCCGGCGAATCTGAAAACTCGCATCCCAGAGCGAACATCGCGTTCAAAACGCAGAAGAAGGAAGTTTCAGGACACTGATCTCCTCCCACGCCAATATCACCAGCTTGACCCATCTCCGCCCCCGGATAGCCAGTCGACGTCCATAACGCCTCATACCGTTTCCTAAACCACGTCGAATGACACCAAGGATAGAAAATATGCACACTATCAAAGTACAAGTCCAGAAACTTGTCAGCTACTTGTCGCGGCGGTAGAGCAAACTCAGCTGTTAGAAGTGACGTCGCGGAACTCCGGTCCCGGTTCCGAAGTGGGACCGCTGGCCGGTGGCGATCGGGATGGGGAACCTCTCGGAGAAGGGAGTGCACCGAGGATTGACCGAAGAATTCATCCTCTTGACGGTTGAGAGTGAGGGTCGTAGCGCCCATTGTGCTTACGGGGCTTGGGCCGTTTGTAGTGGCGTGAATTGTACCGGGTCTGTCTCTGGGGCTTTTGGGGGTGAGTTCTGCATCTTGGCGTAGCTGGTCAATTACCAATTGCATGTCCTGCACCTGTTTCTGCAATGAAGCGATGTACCTAAAAAAACCATCAGCAATGAAACAGTATCTCAGTTAGATGAGGGACTTACTCTTGCTCACTGAGCTGCTTTGCAGTCCCAGCAATAACAGTGTAAACGCATCGCGCAGACGGTTCCCCTCGTTTTCTGCAGGGATTACACACAGGCTTCGACCCATCGCACTTGATCTTGCGTTCCCGACAGGTATCACATGCCAAAGCGACCCTCTTTCGTTTGGTTGGACGGGCCACTGCTTCTCCTTCCTGTGCTTGCGGAATGTCCATTGCGAAGAAAAGAGCGGGGGAATTGATGAAGCCGAGATTGAGAGGAGGGTCTGCCTTTTTCACGGGCTGTACCCGGTGTTTTTCGGGTGAAAGTGTATGGGGAACGGGAAGTATCCGTGAGACGCTATCCACATGTGGGTTAGAGGGAGAGTCTACCCGGGAGTTATAATCGGCTCATGGCGCTTTTATGATCACGGTACCAGAACGCTATGAACGGATTGATGCATGATTGATGTTGTTGATCATACTTACCATTTCCCTTTCTCCAATTTATCATGCTCAAGACATCATACCGTGCCCTGCCGGGGTTTTTGAGAAGACCTGTGTCGCAATGTTCAGTGGGGCTAACAGCAACCCGCCCTTTTTGCTCAACTCGTACCAGCAATAACCACAGATCACAGTCCAACGGTCAAAGCCGGACACAAGAGCAGCGGAAGAACCCACTGCTTCTTGCCTCGGCATTATCTGCAACGGCAACTACCATTGGAGGAACATTACTATACACGCTAGTCAACCACGACAAGAAGAACGATGACGAGTCTCAGTATGCGAGTCGAGCTGAGATGGAACTGGTAAGACGAGGGCAACAGCAGTAACCGAAACGAAACTAATTCATGCAAAAAGGCTGTCGAAGAGATAAGGAAAGCACTCGGAGAAGACGCTGTCAGTATAGAAGATGAGATACTTCATTCTCACGGTTACTCCGACTGGTCAACGATAAATATCGACCGGTTACCAGTCGCCGTCACGTTTCCTAAGACGACGGAGGAGGTTGCTACTATTGCGAAGATATGTCATAAGAGACGCGTACCGATGAGTAAGTCCGCACCGAAGACGACATAGAGCTGAAGAGTTAACAGCTCAAGTTCCCTATTCTGGAGGTTCAAGCGTTGAGGGCCATTTCTCAGCACCGTTTGGCGGTGTGAGTGTTGACTTTGTGAACATGAACCAGATTCTGGAGATGCACAGCGACGAGTAAGTTGCTTTACATGAAAGATCTTCTGTGTTGGCGCTAAATGGCTAGCCTGAATGTTGTCGTTCAGCCATCTGTGCCATGGATGGATCTAAACGAGAAGATCAAAGATACAGGCCTATTCTTCCCCATCGATCCAGGTCCCTCCGTGAGATTTTAAACACACCACCAGGAAGAGACTTTTACTGATACACATCAAAGGCCCAAATTGGTGGCATGGTTGGAACAAACTGCAGGTCAGTACTCCAAGCTGAGAACAGCGTTCGGGATTAACGATACGACAGCGGAACCAACGCAGTCAAGTATGGTACCATGAGAGACTGGGTAGTGAATCTCACGGTGGTATTGAGCGACGGCACAATCCTTAAAACCCGGCGAAGGCCAAGGAAGTCATCAGCGGGCTACAACCTCAACTCGTTATTTGTAGGATCAGAAGGCACCTTGGGATTCGTCACTGAAGCAACCTTGAAGCTAGCTCCCATCCCTGAACATACAGGTATTGCGGTAGTCACATTTCCCTCAGTCAAAGCTGCCGCAACCATGGCCATTGAGGTCATCCGTCGAGGCGTACCAATCAGTGCCGTCGAGATACTCGATGAAGTCCTTATGAGTGTTATCAACAGAATGGGCGCAACATCAAGAAAGTGGAATGAAGTGCCAACGCTGTTCTTCAAGTTCAGTGGTAGTGATGCTATAGTCAAGGACACCATTGCACAGGTTCAGAGTATATCGAAGAAGCATCATGCCAATGGCTTCCAGTACGAGAGCGATCCGGAGAAGCAGAAGGCTCTGTGGTCGGCTCGGAAAGAGGCGCTGTGGAGCATGATGGCACTACGTGAGACAGATGGACATGTTTGGTCTACGGATGTCGCTGTCCCTCTATCCCGAGTGTCCGAGCTCATAGGTCAGTTCGCCTTCCCAGTAATTCCCTTTATGGACATCACTCACCTTTCACAGACATATCCAAGAGAGAACTTGTCGAGCTAGGTTTATTTGGTAGTATTCTGGGACACATCGGCGACGGCAACTTCCACGAGACAATCCTATTCGATGAAAAGCAGCGCAAAGAGGTCGAGGACTGCGTTCACAAAATGGTCTCACGAGCCATTGAGATGGAGGGAACATGCACGGTAAGCAATGTGACCTAACTGTAAACGGACATATCTAACAATGATGCCCAGGGTGAGCATGGTGTTGGACTTGGAAAGAAGGAATTCCTTCGGGAGGAAGTGGGCGATGTGCCGATTCACGTCATGAGGGCTATCAAGACAAGTCTGGATCCGCTTTGGTTGATGAACCCAGGAAAGATCTTCGATCGCAGAGACTAGACGGCTCGATAATAGACAAACCCATTATGATCTGATCTATGTGCTGCGGATAATCGGCGACACAATAAGCGGCCACGCCGGCCGTATGACAAAAATCATGTCTCAGCCATAAGCGGCGAGAGTAAGCGGCGTTACCGATGGCCATCTGATAACCTTGTTTGTTACATTTTCCATTTCCAGAGAACCTTTGTGTTGCATCGCTTACGGTGATCCCTTAATTCGAGCGGGCCGTAGCGGGTAAAGTAGAGTTATTCTCCGTAGTGTTGATCTACTCCTTCCAATCAGCTACGCCGAGTCGTATCAATAGCTTATAGGGAGACACACAGACTTGGCTATAAAATCTTAAAGGCTTCCTTGCATTTTACAGGGTGACACCAAACATCAGAGCCTATTTCATCAACTATTCTACTCCAGACATCCATTCTTAGCGACATATCTAACATTACACTACCAGCAATGGTTTCTCTACGCGATATCGGACTTCTGCTCCTCGCAGCCCCAATCGCCATGGCAGCACCAAAAGCTCCCTCCGAAGTAACCATAAAAACCCTTCCATTCTCCAAACCAGAGGACACTTCCAAAGCACCGTCAACCTCAGCCGTCGCCTCACCCGCCTCAGACGCCGCCCAAAAGGCTGCTTGCCAACTCCCCCTCCGCTTCACCAACTTCGCCCTCTACTCCGACACAGGCTGCAAGAATGTTATCTTCGACCCCTTCATGCTCACCTGGGATCCATGCAAGGGCTATCAGTGGACAAACGCGCTGGCGAATGGTGTTATATTCCAGAGCATGAGATGGACTGGGGGGAGTAATGCGCAGGACTTTTATGCTTGTCAGCAGGGGTTTTCATGCAATGCGAATGTTGCGAGAATTTCACAGAGCACGAATGTTTGTTCATCTGGCGGAGGGTTGCACTTTGATAAACTTGCTATTAACCCTTAGATGCTGATGGCGATAAGAAGGTGTTGCTGGCCGGTTTGAGAGTGGGCTTCAACAGTGCAAATGCATTCCTTTACAGCAACAGACCAATTAGGTGCTGGAGATCCGACCCACTCTCGCAAATACTTGCCCAGTATACTCGCCGGCCAATCATCCGAGACTTTTCATCACTTCAGTTCTGCTTTGTCATTCGGACGAGTGTCGGACGAACGTCGACAAGAACCTTGAGTTGATATCATATTACAGCTAATAGACCAACAATATGACAAATTGTTCCGAGCCGTCCTATCGTATTCGTAAATTTTCGACGTATATTACTACACAAAGCCGTCGTTGGAGCAGCTGAGATTATACATTGCATATTCAAGCAATCACTTTACAGGGCTTGCTTACTCTATTCTTGTTCTTTTAGCTTTATCAATCTTCCACCTCATATCTAGGTACCTGTGCAATCCTTACAGCATGTCTCATACTTTCGAGCCCAATGTCGCCGCTGTCCTCCCCGTCAAACAAGGTCAACTAACCATCCAACAACGTCCTGTCCCAACCCCCAAGGAAGGCGAACTACTAATACGCAACGCAGTCGTCGCTGCAAACCCCTCAGACTGGAAAATCCAAGCCCTAGGCCTGTCTAGCAACTTCCCAGCCGTACTTGGCAGTGATCTCAGCGGCATCGTCATATCCATAGGACCAGGTGTAACACGCTTCAAACCCGGCGATCGCGTCATCGGCTTTGCCCTAGGTGTTATAAGCGAAAACATCGACAAGGCAGCGTTTCAGAGCTATACTCTTCTCGATGAGGTGGCCACGACTCACTTACCCGACAACATCAGCTTTGAGGAGGGTTCTGTACTTCCCGTTGGTATGCTCACTGCGGCTATCGCGCTGTTCGACGGCCTCGGACTGCCAATGCGCGAGAGGATTGTTGATGAGGATGGAGCTATTCTGGTGTGGAGTGGTGCTTCGGCCGTTGGTGTTTCGGCAGTGCAGATAGCACACGCGCTGGGATGGACGGTCTACGCAACGGCAAGTCCAAAGCATGACGAATGGCTCAAGACATTAGGTGCAGCAGAGGCATGGGACTATCGTGACCCACAAGTCGCGCAGAAGATAGCTGAAGCCTTGAAAGCTTCCGGAACAAAGATCCGCGGCGTAATTGATGCCAGAGCTGAAGGCAGCTCCTTTGATTCGGTTGCGGAGATACTCAACGCAGCTGATCTAACACCAGGATGCAAAGTTAGTGCGCTGATGCCGTGGCCGGAAGAAACGTTGCTGCCAGCTGGGATTGAAGGACACCATACCAACTGCGTGGGGTTCACAGACAACTATCCAGACATCGCAACCTGGGTTTTCGGCGGCTGGTTGTCCAAGGCACTCAAAGACGGGAGGATCAAGCCTGCGCCGAGGGTTCGTGTTATCGAAGGCGGATTGGAAGCGACACAGGAGATGCTGAATCTTCTCAGAGCTGGGGCAAGCGGTGAGAAGTTTGTCTTGAAAGTTTAGATCATCCACTGTCACAGTAACAAAAGTATTTGACGAGCAAGTAGTGTATCTATCTGTGATCAAGAGAAATATCGGTCATTTACTTTTCACTATTATACCTATTCATCTTTAAATCGCCACGTCCAATACAGCAGAGACGCCTCTGTCCAAACTCTCAACCGCCCCAGCCAGCGCACTCTGAAACTCTGAGATATCAGCAACCCTCGCACCGAAGATCACCCCATTGCTCGCAGCCTTCGCAATGCCCGCATAGTCTGGACTGGGCGCAAACGATATATTCAACTCCTCATTTGTAGCCCTTGACGCAGGACCATCAGGGTGAACCAGCAGCATCGACCGTTTGGGCGCATTCCACCCAAGGTTGTTCAAGACGATGGTCAGAACGGGAATGCCATACCGGGCGGAGATCCAGTATACGCTTGAGGGAACGGAGAACATGTATGACCCGTCGCCTACGATTTGCACAACGTATCGTTTGCGCTTACCGGGGATGAGAGCATCTGCTGCGTCGGCGGCTAGTTTGATACCCAGTGCGCCACCGCCGCTCCAGCCGAGACCGCCGCCGCCGCAGTGGATCCATTGTCCGGGAATGGTAGCTCGGATTTGATCTGCGACTGAGATCATATTTGTGATTGCCTCGACGGCCCAGATTGTGTCTTCGGGTAACTTGGCGCGTAACGTGGAGCAGACGTAGTCTGTTGTGAGCTTGCCTGAGTCGAGAGGCTTGGCCTTCGCATCAAGCGTCTGGATCCGTTCAGTGTAGGACTTCTGGAGAGCCTGTTCCCGACGATCAAACTCTGAAGTGGCAAGCTTCTCAGAAAGTGATGCCCGAAGATAATCTGTGATCTGTCGGAGGGAAATCTCCGCATCAACACGATATCGCTGTTCCGCATCGATATAAAAGACCAACATGCTCTCCTTCAACGGATCAACATCGAGATGGAAGATCCTCGCGTTACTTTTTGGTTTGCAAAGCTTATTAATCCAAGGAACATCGCAATCCAAAATAAGAAAAACATCGGCGTTCTGAATCGCCGAGTCAACGCCGTACTTCATACCTAGCCAGCCAGGATGATCTGCAGGGAAGCACATATCCGAGCATCCCGTATCAAGAACCCTCAGGCCCTTGATAGTATTCGCCAGCGCCACGAGAGGTTCAACCGCAGCGTGGTTCCGACCGGTGAAACCGACGATGACCAACGGGTCAGAAGCGTTGACCAGAGCTTCAGCGATTTCTTGCACGGCTTCTTGGGGGAGGGCGGCGGGTGCGACGGGTTTCCAGAAGGCCGAGTTGATGGTATATGGCTCAATGGTTTCTTCCATGACTTCGCGGGCGCCCATGAGATATGAGGGTCCTTGGGGGTGACTTGTGGCGAGTTGCAGGGCGCGACGGACCATTTGCTTGACGTTTTTTCCAGTTTTGATCTCACCGACGTAACGGCAGTACTGGGAGACGATTTGTTTCTGATCAGGAACGTCTTGAATCCAGTGACTTGAGAGTTTTAGTCAGGTCCCCAACAATGAAGCAGTAGGTGAACTTACATGAACTCAGTTCTCGAACCAAGAAGTTCTCCCTCAATAGAATAAGGCGATAAGCCCGCAAAGATCAAAACCGGCGCCCTTCCCATAGCAGCGTTATGAATAGCAGCCGCAAGAGCAGAAGTGCCAACATCAACATGCACAATGACACATTGCGCTTCACCACTCAATCTCGCATATCCATCTGCCATGGACAGCGCAACCATTTCATTGGGACATGTGATGATTCTGGGAAATTTATCTGGCATTTCTCGTTGACCTTTCACCATAGCCTCAAGAATACTAGGATGGTCAGACCCGAGATTCACGAAGCAGTTCTTGACGCCTGCTTCGACCAGGGCCTCGAAGAAGGCGAACGATGTAGTGTACCTGCGTCATGTTAGCCGACTGACAAGCATCACTTGTGGCGAGTTACGTACATGCTGGGCTTCGTCGATGCAGGATCCGTACGGTCTGATTCTGTCGCTTGAGCTTCTAATTTCATCTTGTCACAGGTTTAAAGTGATCGATGGTAAATTGGGTCAATTTCATGAGGTCTTTCTTTACGTTTAATGTTGCAACACGGGATCCATCCGAAGAGGAGTTCCCCAGTCACGGTTGGTACCCGAGCGGGGGATCGGCTCTGGCAACTGACTTCGGCAGTGGAAGCGTGATCCCCACTTCCGGCATCACAACAGACCCCGATTTACTGCCATGAAAACGAACCAGGAGATGACTATTAATTATGTGCAACGTCTGTATAGCGTCATTCATCTTACAATGGTATCGTTGGACTTTGCAGCACGTATCATTGTATGGATTTATTACCACGCGTACTCGGCTATTCCTCTACGTGGATACTGACTCAAGTTTGTAATTCGGAAATTTCCGATTGAATCAGCACGAAATGTATCAGGAACCAGTCCGAGTTTCCGGTTTCTGTCCGACCTCAAGAGGCCAAGCATTGGTAATGCGTCCTCCAACGGGCTAGACGATAAAGTACAGGGATTTTCGTAACCGATGCATGCTTGTGCCAGTTAAACTTCTTGGTTTGCACATCCTCCTAGACAGGGACTAAGAATTAGGTAGTATTCGTCGAAGCACAAACACAATGCATCCTCGGCTCCAACCAGACAACCATGACCAATGCAAACTCGCAGTCGTGGATTTAGCTACATGGCCTTTTGTCCTATCGTGGTCTCCCCGGTTAACCTTAACTGTAGTTCCCATTTCCTTATCATACCCGTGAGGCATCGGAAATGACCCGGGCTACTGTAACACGCCGTATCGCGCAGTATTTGGAATTTGGAACCGAGACAGATATGCCGTTATCTCTCTTCCTCGGATCTGCTGCATGACGCTATTACCATCCAACCATTTCATGATCCTACCGTGTCGTCTGTGACCTTGTTACCCCGGAATTCCTCTTCCATCACACGGGAACATCCCAGTCCCCCCGCCTCCACACCCCGCACTTGGCTATACCTCTTCAGTGTGTCGATCTAGATCCGTTTGTCCAATACCAGAGACTCGAGGGTAATAATTGCTGACGCGAGAGGTAGGTCGCTCGTTTCCATAAGAAGGAGGCATGCACCACCCTGTTCCTTCGATGATCTCAAACTCGACATCACCGATTCAGACTCTCCTCAGCTTTCTCTTTCACAATGGCTGACCTCAACGAGAAAGTTACCTTCGATCATGCCTCCCTCAAGGGTGCTGAGTCTACTGTGGAGCAGACGCCTGAGGAATCAGAGGCCACCAAGAAGCTTTTGCGGAAGTGCGATCTTCGTTTGATTCCCCCTCTGATGGTGATTTTCTTCCTATCTTTTATGGATAGAACCAATATTGGTATGTTCTCATGATGCGAAAGACCTGTCTGGGAGAAGGTTGAGCTGACGAGAGAATCTTGGTGTGCAGGTAACGCGAAGATCCAAGGAATGACAGAGGATCTCAAGATGACTGGTAGCGATTACAACATGGCACTCTTCGTCTTCTTCATCCCCGTACGTCGATCGATCTGATACAAGAATAAAAAATGACCAATTCGCTGACTCTAACTGTGCAGTACATCATCTTTGAAGTCCCGTCGAATATCATGATCAAGAGGATATCGCCTTCGCTCTGGCTCAGTGGGATCACTGTTCTCTGGGGTATGTCACTTGAACCCGTTTTTGAACAGCGTTAGACTGACTTTCCAGGCATCTCTACGGTCGGCATGGGCCTCGTCAATAACATCCAAGGCCTGATAGCATGTCGGGTCCTCCTCGGCTTCTTCGAAGCTGGAATCGTCCCCGGCTGTATCTACCTCATTAGCATGTACTACAGACGCTATGAAGTCCAATGGCGCATGTCTCTATTCTTCAGTGCTTCCATTTTGGCAGGTGCCTTTTCGGGTCTCTTGGCTTTTGCTATTGCTAAGATGCATGATGTAGGTGGACTTGAAGCATGGCGCTGGTGTGTCTCTCCTCCCCAATAGCCATCATTCACTAATAATCGAGCAGGATCTTTATCCTCGAGGGTATTCTCACAGTAGTCATCGGCGTCATTGCCAAATGGTGGATCCCCAATTGGCCAGAGACCGCAAAGTTTCTCAACGACGATGAACGGTCTAGACTTATCGCTCGTCTAGCTGATGACTCGGGCGATGCAAAGATGGACCATCTCAACAAGGCAGCTTGGAAGAGAATCTTGACCGACTGGAAGATCTATCTTGGAACCCTAGCCTACTTTGGTATCGTCAACAACGGATATGCTGGCTCGGTAAGATGGCATCCCGCCCACATAAAAACGGCAGTACTGACTCGTGTAGTTCTTCATCCCTACCATCCTCCGAGAGATGGGCTACGCCGCCGAGCGCGCACAAGTCCTCACTATCCCAGTGTACATCGTCGCAACCATAGGCTGTCTATCAGCGGCATACCTCGCCGACCGTCTCCGTCATCGCTACGGCTTTACCATGTTCGGCGTGGTCATGACCAGCATTGGCTACATCCTCCTCCTTCTGCAGCACCAAGTCCCCACTGCAGCACGATATTTTGCCCTCTTCCTGCTCGTCACGGGCGGCTACATCACGCAGCCCGTCGTTCTCGGATGGCTATCCAACACCATGGGCGGACACTACAAACGCTCTATTGCCTCAGCTGCACAAGTTGGCTTTGGTAATCTTGGTGGTATTGTCGCTTCTAATGTGTATCTTACACGCGAGGCACCTGAGTACTGGACCGGCCTTGGAGTTAGTCTTGGTATGGTGTGGATTTGCGGTATTTCTTGTACGGCATTTTACTTCCTTGCGATTAGGGAGAATAAGAAGAGGGACCGTGGGGAGAGGGATCATAGACTTCAGAGTGCTGATGCTGATAACTTGGGCGACGATCATCCTCACTGGAGATATGCCACTTAGATAAAGAGAATGAAGGGATGTATTGTTTCAATACATCTGACAGCAGCATATTACCATGGGTCGTGGTTCAGACCCATCTTGAGCATTCTAGTAATTCTTGTATGTGTAAGAAGTGTTATTTAATTATGGCTAACGGCTGATGGTTGTATTGCAGGCCTTGTCTCGTCCGTAATTGGGCATGTCAGCCCCACCACTCATTGAAGTGCTTCAGGCTTCGTAATCCCCTTTCCAGGCTAAACCTCACATTATTAGCCGGAAACGAAACAGACTCATTTTGACTGACTCTTACCTTTATCTTTATATACCATATACTTAATTGCGCTGCCTCTGTCGTCATGAACTCAGCCGATCAGAGCCGTGGAAGTCTTGGCACTCTCAGTGGCCTTCCCCACGAGCTTCTGAGTGAAGTCATCAACTGTTTGCCCAATGCCGACATCAAGAACCTCCGCCTGACATGTTCTTTTCTCGGGACCAACGCTCTTCCGCGCCTCAATCGAGCATTTATATCCACGAACCCACGCGACATTGAGGTCTTCACCTTGATCGCAAACCATGATGTCTTCCGGTTCAAAATTACCGAGATCATCTACGATGATTCTCGCATCGATAGCTCCCGTGCCAGGCGGTATAAAGGCGTGTATGAGGGAGACAAAGACGACCCCACAAGAGTGCCGTACTGGTTCCAACGGGTTTACGGTTCTATGATTCACATCATTGACTCTAAGGAGGAGGAGTATCCGTCCTTCCCTCATATCAAGGAAGCTTTCGAGAATCGCTGCTCCTTAGCTGAATCTTACGGAGTATATCGCAAGCTTAAATCGCAGCAAGATGAAGTGCTTGCCTCGTGTCGTGACGCTGACGCTCTGAGATATGGTTTTTCACGCTTTCCAAACCTGAAAAGAGTTACTTTGAGTCCTGCTGCTCATGGGAAACTCGGAAGACCTTTGTATCCCACGCCTACTATCAGATCCCTTCCACAGGGCCTAATATGCCCTCTAGAGCGTGGTTGGCCTGTGTCAGCCCCATTGGAGGAACATCCTTTTACGCCATGGGATGACAGATCCAGGCAAGAATGGCGTGGATTCTGTGTCGTTACGAAAGAGATCGCTCAGCACGTCCGTGAGAACCCAATGTGTGGCCTTTCCGAGCTTGTTGTGGAAAGCCGGCAGCTTTGGACAGGAATAAGCTGCCGTGTCTTTGATAACCCAGTGAGTGAGGAGTATCGAGATCTTGTCACCATCCTGAGTCACCCTCCACTGAGACGCTTGGAGTTATCACTTGCCTGCGGTAGTGAAGCTAGGGAGAATTGGCCTTCTTTCCGATCTGGGCTCCTCTTAAAGGCTCTGAGCAAGGCAAAGAACTTGCAAGATCTTCGTTTATATACTAGCATTCCTCTGATAAGCAGAAAGTGGCACGAATTTGTGGATTATGAACAGAATGGTATGCCTCTGCGGCGCATATTCCCAGTCAATGAGTGGTCGAATCTACGTCGCTTTGCCCTTTCCCGTTCTTTTGTTAAACAGAGAGATATTATGACTTTCATTACCGTCCTCCCATTGACACTCGAGTCGGTTGAATTGAGCTTCCTCAGTTTTCTTCCCCGTGAGGGTAATTACAGGAATTTACTACAGGACATGCGCGATAACTTGGGATGGAGAGAAAGGCCGGCGGGCAATCAGCCAAAGCTCATTGTGTTTGTTGTTGAGACTGAACTCACAACAGATGGCGCTGCTATAGACGTCAGTCATGCAGCAATGGACTACATGTATTACCATGGAGAAAACCCATTTGTAGAGGAGCAGATCATGGAGGTTGTGGAGGGCAAAGGGACACTAGTAGATTTTCTTGATCCGATGTACGACGAGGAATGGTATTACCACAGGATCGCATCAGTCTAGTATTCACAGCACATGGTTAAGGGATAAGGCATTAGTCTCTCCATCTTCCATTCTGCTGGTTAAACTGCACTTATTAACCCCCCAAGCTTTGACAATCTTCTAATTTATATTGCGGCCCATTGTAGTCCACTCCGCGTCGCATCATTCAGCTAAAATGGATACCTGCCTTTGTGGAGATAGAGATAATTACTTTGTATGTGACAAACCTTAACTCAGATCGAATGCATTTTAAGACCAATTACGACCGTTCGACTGTTGATATCATTATCCTTATAGCTTTGAATCGTAAGTATCTACACAACTAAAATTGTAAGAGATGATACTACATACCTCAGAGTCGCAATGGACCCAGTGTCAAATTGGATATTGATAGGTGAATCAACCGGGAGATGTGCCCAGACTTTCCAAAGGCATCGAAGGAAAGTACCATGCCCAACCTGTTTTTTTAATATTAGCCTACTAGTTTACAGAATAACAGGGATAGCATTCGGAAGACTCTTTAAGACGTGAATTTCGCCTTTGGGTCTCAAAAACGTACAACCATGACATTTCCACCATTCTCATTATCTATGTAGTCTTTTTGAATGTCTCGGATAGCAGAAATCACATCGTTGGCGCGTCGGGTTATGTCTTCTACTGATCTGAAAAAAAAAAGCAAGAGTTAGCAATGCTTGAACAGAAGGAGATGTAATCATACTCTCCACCCTCACATCCACCGGCCCAGATTGACCACTCTGACGATGTATCAAGTCCCTTCTCTGCTCTCAAAACCCTAATCTGTTGAGTCGTCATTCCTTCGTAGTCTCCATGGTCCCATTCCCTGAACTCCTCCGTGATGGTAGCTCTTTGCCTTATCTCTGGGTAGTTCCCAGCGACGAGCTCGAAGGTTTCTCTTGCTCGGATCCTTGGGCTCACAAATATGTGCGCGAGGTGTGATGGGTCGATGAGTTTGTTAGGACCCATGAATCTGTCTCCAAGAGTAAGTGCCTCTTTCTTCCCAGTGTCTGTGAGCTCTATGTCTGTTTTGCCTGTATACTTTCCGACCTTTGACCATTCTGTCTGTCCTGTTTGTAAGACAAACTCAATCATTAGCAACGTAAAGGGATAATATCAAGTTTCAAATGTCTAACTTACCGTGCCTCACAAGAAATACTGATGGTGTCATTGTGGTATTATTTTAGTGGCAAAACTGGGCTTACAAGATATAAATAGCTGCCAAGCTGAATGGTTAAATGAGGGGCTGACAGTTACTTGTGGGCGGTAGCTGGCGGCAAAATCTCCAACTGACTGCGCAGTTGGTCAGGGTTACCGCTGGCGAATAGGCAGCGCCCCGCGGGTCGGGACGGATGGGTGAAGCCGGGGCGTTACTCTCTACAAACAACACAGGCTCATCCCTATCTTTTGTCCGGTCCTCTGCATTAAGACCTGCGACAATGGCATCCTGGCATGATCCCAGACCCTGCCTATATGCTCCGAGGAGTGCAAATATGGGGATGAAAGTGCCACCCGTTTTTTAAGTCTGCTATCTGCCATCAAGGTAGGTTTGGTATCGCGAAGCCTGTCGACTTCCTTCGACTTATATGGCAGTATGGATTCGATCACTGTTTTCATAATTTGATATGCAACAAGAACTAATAGTTCGCGACTGATAATTATTCAGATAAAGTCCTTAAAGTTAATGAACGAGCTATGAAATCAATATGTCGCCTAAATGGATATTCAGCGAGAGTAACAAGGAAAACAGAAAGGCAAAGGAGATACAGGAGCAACGTAAGGATTCAGCAAGTTCAGCCTAGATACAGATGCAGCGGCGACGGCTGAAAAGCGACCGGCGTCCATTCCCATGCACACAACAATTGTCGTCGATGGGCCTGGCAGTGGCTGAAGGCCGAGAGGCAATGGTAGTCTCGAGCTTCTCGATCTTGACAGTCATGGCCTTCATCTTGTCAAGCAGTTCGCTGTCGTTCTCCTCTCTTGCGGTCATCTTCCTGTCGTTTCCGCCGTACGTTGAACTGCATGCTGTCAGATAACTAAGCCAGTACGCTCTACGGGATACATACCTGGCGATTGTTGAAGAGCCAGTACTACCCTGCCGGCTCGAAGGGCTGGAGTGGGGAGACTCAACAATGTCATCCACGTCAATGTTCTGATTGAAAGAACATCGTCGTGAAGAACAGTTGTACCATGCGCTCGGCACAGGTCCATTGCCCTCGTTTCGTCGGCTGTGATGACCACATCGACATCGGGGGTTGGCAGAGGAGATGCCCAACATGTCGTCCCAGGTGAGAAACTGGCGTTTGTGGTCTGCTTGACAGTAGTAGTAGGGACGACCAGCGGTCGGGCTACGTTTTGCAGGATCGACTCTGGCACGTATGGGAGTGTTGGGACATAGAGGGCAGTTTGGGGGCTGGATGAGAGGGAATTGGGGGGCCATGGTGTGTTGGGAAGGGTAGTAGGCTTCCATTGTGTGAGGATAGTTCTTCAAAGGGCTTAATGATGGTAGGTTGGAATGCAGGTTGATTGTGATTGACATCTAAGACGGCGTGAAGGCGCGTTTAAATTCTTTTCACAAATATTTCTCGACTCGAATTGACTCATGTGTTAGTATGCAGGCATCACCCGCAGTGCTATTCTTGACCATCGAAGACACATTCATGTTGGTCGTGGTCACCTTGGCAGGCCGCGAGGCTGATTTCAACCATCATATCATGAAGAAGAGCATGTGTCACGCATGTTGCAATTGGCAGATGTGCGTATCTCATTTTCTGCCATGACGTGTCATCGAATTTGAAGCCTTCGAAGATATCTTCAGACACTATGTATCGTTGACCTTTTGCTTGAGTGTTAATCTATTTTTTTCTACTTCTCGCTATATGCCTGCTTTAGCTTCAACTTGTCAACTGTCAAGTCTACAATTTCGCTCCCATGCTTCGGCTCTCTACTGCTCCCTTCCTGTCGTCGCGCACCCACGCCAAGCGTCTCAGGTTTACCACAGAGTCACGCCGAGGTCGCCGATCATCAAGGCCTGGGAAGATACCCTACTGTCATTTGAGCATCTCATCGCCTCAACTGAAAATGGGATCGAACTGCAGCCATGGGCATTTGCATCATCCACTAAGAGGATCGTCGTAACCGCCAAACGAAACTCAACCGACAAATTTTCGTTTCCAATTATGATACCCTTTTTTTTCAGCTTTCGGTGCGGCTGAATATCTGTGTCACGTAGCTTGTTGAGTTGGGCGGCAAACGGTTGGCTCCCAGCTGCTAGTCAAAGTTCAGCTGATGAAGTTAACCAATTGACAGCATCTTCATGACTCTGTTGGCCGCGACCGTTAACTTGAGCGTTTAGAATCAGTAATAAGCTTAAAATACACGACAGATGACATTTTCTTCAATCCAAAATGATGCTTCTTATTGGGCACCAAGTATGTGGCTTGAGGCGATATGCAACCCCAAATTGGATATGACGTCTACGGCTGCTTCCTTAGAGTACCTCACCGACAACTACTCCTCATTTACTCACAATTTTTCCCTGTTCTTACATTCAACCGTTGTATTCTATGTTTAACTCGTTCGACCCTCGTATTCTTCGTACGGCGGGCTTTCACAAACGAACCCGGTTAATCTCCGACAGAATGCGATCAAAACCTCCGACCCCTTCACTATTGTCAGAATTTATGAACTGTTCTCAATCCTAATGTCTCCATAGTCGTCTTTGTTTGATCATAGCACTGCACTTTCTTCAGTCCCACTGTCACAGAGCCAGTCACTGTACTGCAGGTAGAAGTCGGAGGCTTTTGACACCATAGTGACTGAGACTTCCCCTTCTTTACACCGACCATACGAGGCCAAAAACTGCCTTAAGGTAATTTCAGCGCAAGAGGGAATGGTCTGAGCCGTGACAAGTGATCTTGTAAAATAGCGCAACACCAACGCAGAGACCCATGTGATAAGGGCTCTTTAGCATCGACAAAAGTTCATGAGTTATACCTAGCTGTAATAAATGGGTTGTTGCATATCATTGCCGTGTTGGTAGCGGACAATTATTGCGAAGCAGTTGCACGGCATCTTTATGCCGAATTTAGCGCCGATCGCGACTGATAACAGAATAGCATGGATATTCATGCATGTAACTGTCGTGTCAAGATCAGAGATCATCAGGGTCTGCTAATCTTTGAAACCTAAGTTAAATGCCTAATTCTTCTCTTTATAAGTCAAGATGATCGTTGTATGTATTGACATTCTGGATATTGTGGAATTGCATTCTGTGTAGTAGTCATCGGAAGATTGAACCCCTGTCATTTTATAAGGCACATCACGCCAACTCCCGCAGACCAGCTGTAAGAGATGCCGGTTTCTATCCGGCCTCGGCGCACTTACCAGATCAAGCTTGATTACCATCAGGTCCTAGACTCAACTTCTCTCCAATCATCTCACACGAAGCCGCGGATGTGCCCACATTCGGAAGCCAGGCTGCATCAGTGATAGCGGTATTATAAAAGGTCCCTTTCAGATAGGCAAGTGGTATAAAGCCCGATAGACATGACTGCCGGGGCTAATGGTGAAATGTCCAGAAAAGGGAGGAGGTTCTGTTCAAGTGCAGCTATAGAGATGTGATAGAATATTCCGCACTCACGATACACATTAGTAGTTGTGGACTTTACAGCTGATTATACGGAAGTACGGCATCGAGGATATCAGACGTTATGGACCTACGCTTTGAGGAATAGTCTCTTTGGATTGATGGGATAGATAGTAGAGCACATAGGAAATCCTATAGACGCAAAATCTATATAAGTCTAAGAAAATGCCAAGAGAAAAAGAATATCCAGAAGCATCAGAAACAATCAAGCTCATCTCATCTCTTCAAGTCCAACACTCCCAACTCAACCCTCATCATGAAGTTCACTCTCTTCCTCGCTGCCGCCAGCCTTGCCCTCGCTGCTCCTGGCACCAAGCTCACTCCCCGTGACACTTCCCCCGTTGTCCCTCGCTCTGCCCGCCGAGCCAAGTACAGCTCTCACCCCAACCAGAGACTTTGGTCTCTTGACTCCGAGGCTCGCACCAAGAACGACCAGTACTCTGGCAACTGGGCTGGAGCTGTCCAGATCGGCAGCGGATACAACAAAGTCCAGGGCACCATCACCGTCCCTGAGGTCAGCGGTGCCGACGGCGCTGCTGCCTCTGCTTGGGTTGGTATTGACGGAGATACCTGCCAGACTGCCATTCTCCAGACTGGTATCTCCTTCTACGCTGATGGATCCTTCGATGCTTGGTATGAGTGGATTCCCGACTATGCCTACAGCTTCAGCAACTTTGACGTCTCTGTCGGCGATCAGATCCGCATGACCGTTGATGCTTCCTCCAAGACCAAGGGTGTTGCTACCCTTGAGAACTTGACCACCAACCAGAAGGTCACGCACAGCTTCACCAACACTCCTTCTACCCTCTGCGAGACCAACGCTGAGTGGATTGTTGAGGCTTTCCAGGAGGGTGGTAGCCAGGTTGACCTTGCCAACTTTGGCACTGTCACTTTCACCAATGCTGTTGTCTCTGGAACCAAGGGTACTTCTGGTCCTTCTGGTGCTCAGATCATTGACATCTCTCCTGACCAGGGCCAGACTGTCCAGGCTGTTGGTTCTATCACCAGCAACTCTGTTACTGTGAAGTATGTTGGTAACTAGAGATGAGGAGGATTTTAGCTTGATTGTTGACTGGAAATTACTTGGATGAGTTGCATGAAATAAGATGTGAAAGTTCGGTACATATTACGGAAGTGTTGAAGATGGAGAGAGGTTGGATCGAGTTAGTACTTCAAAGTATATATAAATTGGATAACGTACATGGCTGAGTTTTGATACCTGACCCTTTCATCGTGCAATAAGCTTCTAGTCTGGGAAAGGCTAAGACAGTAGGAAGAACCAAGATTGCTTCTGGATACAATAGTCCCGCTGAAGAAAGGGCCCTTGTCTTTAACTACAAGTGTTTCATGGGAGCTCTAAGCCAGGACAGCTGGAACTATGTAAGTACTACAAGGTGTAGAATAAACTTTAGGGAGCTTGTATAGATAATAACGAAGATAGCATTCTCGTCTCCGAGACAACTGTTGCCGAAATGACCCAGGCATTTCTTTTCATCAGTCTTGAGGACTTTCCTTACTACCTACTACCGTTTGACTGGAAAACGCGAGGGATTTCTGGGGTCATGCTCTCCTGGAACTTGACCAGGGCCAGGCATGGATGTCGCGTTACCTGTTACATCGCCCTGATTAGCCACGCTCCACCCCGGGCAGAATTGCCAGCGACGCTACGCTTGTTGATACCACGGAAGTCTACCCATGTAAGCTTTGTACCATAAGAGAGGACCAAAACATACCGCTTATAGGAGCTGACGATGCATCACTCATCCACCGCATACCGCTCCACGATGGCTTTAGCAACAGAAGCGGCTGTAGCAGAGGCGAAGTCTTGCCAGTCTTTATTTTTGTGACTATCGGCATAGTCGCAAATTCCCTTGACTACAATGCAAGGTACATGGTCCCATACACCGGTGCCTTCCATCTCAAACGCAATAATGCCATGGTCGGCTGCAATTCGATCTCGATCCAAGGCACTTTTTATAACGGAATTGCCTGAACCAACTCGACCGATGAAGAGTTGTGGAACAAAGTCTGCACCTGCAGGAGGATTCGCAGTGCGACGTCTTGCAACTAGTTGAGACGGATCACACCCAAGTTCGATGCAAGAGGACTTGGTGGCTGCGTTACAAATGGCATTCGAGTCATTCGTGCATTCGCTGCATGATCTCCTGTGCTTGTGATGGTACTTGGAGGGATACAGCTTGTCCTTCGCCGCTCCGGGATATTGATAGTTGGCGCAACGCTGGTCTTTTTTTGCAATGTTTTGCAAATGTTTTAGATAGCCTGTGGCAGCGTGCTTTAGTCTCTGATCGACCAATTCCGTTTCGAAGGCCGCAAGCAATGATCGTATCTCCTTATTGGGTCTTCCGAGACTGTCCTCAACCGACCTTCTGATGACGAAGTGATAAGGGTACTGTCTGCCGAAGTCGTATTGGAGGATAGACTTGCTCATCACTACATCTCCTAGAAAGGCATTCGTGTTGGCGATTACAGGTGAACCGCCACAGATACCAACAAGGAGTGCTAGCCTCAAGCCAGTATATTTTGCTGTCAGTTTGACAGCTGACCTTGCCGCATTGATTGTGCCCATGCCAGGTAGAGTGGCCAGGACGACCTTGTGCTGTCCAATCCGCCCAGTGACATAGGTATTCCGATCTGAACCTTGTCCATCGTCGTGCGTTTTGGTCCAAAGTTCGTCGAAGAGTAGAGTGACAGCATCAGCTTCACGAGGGAGAGCGCAGACGATCGCCACTCGAAAGCTCGCTGGTTCGGTGGGAAGCTTTGTCGGAGGCATCGTGTTTGTGATGATATGATTTGACTTGATGGCAGAAAAAGAACTCACAGGGATGATGTGAGGGGCTGGCCGCAGCATGCTGGCCCATCACGTGCACGGTTGAAATCTCCATCTGCATGTATTTCTATTATGCAATTCGAAAGAGCTTTCTTTACCCCATGAAATGAATTGCCAGGCTCAAAATAGAGACCACTCAAAGCTAATATGCAATAAGAGCTAACTAGATAACCCAAACGCCATCCCATATGCGCCGGCCCGTCCCGAAGCTGTCCGCGTCATCCAACGCCTCATCTAGGAATTATAGACAATGATAGGCGCAGCCAGTTTAAACTGTGTATTCGTATAGAAGAGAGGTTTTGAAATGCTTATACTATTGCTTAAAATAATCTCTGACAAACATGATAAACTCAATAATACTTTACCTGCGCATGCGGGGGATCATCAGGAGCTTGAGAGTCAATGTGGCATCGGTAGAAAGTTTAGGGAGCAGAAAGCACCAAGTCAAGTACTCGGGGAATATTACTTACATCATCTAGCTGTGTCTTGATGAAGATTGACAGACAACATAAGTATTATTGTAACTCATGATGATAAATACCGTACAGAGCGAGCCAATCACAGTGCGTACCAAAGCTGGGCCCCGCTAACCATTCGACGTACGAAAATACCTCTTTGTCTGCGATCTCATAACCATTAGCCTGTAATCCTACATCTTGGCATTGTGATAGCCGGTTATATATCTGAACTCCGGCACATTTTATGCTTATCTCGTCGCTTTTAGTTTCCCTTCCTCAACAAGCTTAATGGCAAGTACCCCGCACAATAGTTCCGCACTGTACAAGGATTCCTTGTGCTCACGAGTCATCCTTCTGTCTTGGCGTGTATGGAGCAGAGCGAATTAATGCTTATCATTGAAAGGAATGAACTAGATACTAGGCGAGCTTTGTATCGGGAGAGATGTTCGGTGATCGGAGAACTACGCCGACTGCCGATCCTGGAGATATAACGGTACATATCCCCCAATAGATCATTCTGACTTGTCTCCTGCCTTCGATCTTATTCTTCTTGTAAAGTTACACCAATATCACAATGGAGTCCAAAAGTGAAGACAAGCCCGCCCCTCAGCAACGTGTCTCCAAAGACCTTGCAGATGGCGAGATCTTCAAGCCCGGAGATACTCTGGCTGATGATGAGGAACTCACCATCGCTTTGGCAAACTATGTCCCTGATACGGTCGAAGAAAGACGTCTTGTTCGCAAGATTGACTTTACACTTCTTCCTTGTTTGTGGTGGATGTATGTTCTTGCGTACCTGGATCGTGGAAATATCGCAAGTCTACTTATCAACAGTGACAGAAGAACGGCGACTGACGTGTCCAGGCGAATGCAAATGCAGCTGGTATGAGTGAAAGTCTTAACATGAAGGACAACGGTATGCTTCTAGTTTCAAGATCCAATAATTACATCTGCTGACATGAAGACGCTAGACTACTCGCTCCTTGTGTACCTGTTCTTCGTCGGCTACTTCCTCTGCGAAGTCCCCTCCAACATGATCATGAACAAATGCCGCCCATCAATCTACCTCCCAACCATAGTCTGGGTCTGGGGCTGTATCGTAATTGCCCTCTCACAAGCCAAGAGCTACAAGGGCTTCCTTGCCGGACGGTTCTTCCTCGGCTGCATCGAAGCTGGTCTCTTCCCTGGCGCCATCTACCTTTTGACATGCTGGTACACCAAGAAGGAAATTGGTAAGCATTATTTACCTCGGTGATCTCTGCAATTTACTGACTCTCGGTAGGCAAGCGATTCTGTATCTTCTACACATCTGGCTGCATCGCCCCAGCTTTGGGTGGTATCATGGCCGGTGCCATCGTTAAAGGTCTCGAAGGAGTCCGGGGCATTCCCGGCTGGCGCTGGCTATTCATCGTCGAGGGCGCCCTCACCGTCTTCTGCGGTTTCGGGCTATACTTTCTTCTACCAGATTATCCTCGAAACGCCCGCTACTTCTCTCCCGACCAGCGTCGCCTCGCGCAGATTCGCATCCTCGTCGATCGGCAAGTCAGTGTCGGCAGCACAACACGCCGTATGACTTCGTGGCAGGCTTTCAAGGCTGTTGTCACTGATGGAAAGACCTGGTTCTTCCTCATCGCTTATAGTATCATCATCCTGGGCATGTCGATCTCATACTTTGTTCCGACCATTCTCAAGACTATGGGCTACACAAAGGTCACGGCGCAGTGGATGACCGTCCCCATCTGGATCACCGGCGCCGTGTGTCAATTGGCTCTATCTTGGACTTCAGACAAGTTCCAAGATAGAAGATGGCATAGCTGCTGTCTTTACGGACTTGCAGCTGTCGCATGCATAATCTCGGCCTTCGTTCATTCCGCAATTGCCAAATATGTCATGATGTGCCTGCTTGTTGCTGGCCTCTACACCGGACTCCCTCTCATGCTCAATTGGACAAGCGAGTCAATACCTTTTCCCGACCAGAAGCGCTCCATTGCTATTGCCTTTGTCAACTCATTTGGCCATCTGGCCATTATCTATGGAAGCTATTTGTGGCCCAGCGCCAATGCTCCCCAGCACTTGGTCGGTTTTGCGACTCTGACAGCTACCTGCAGCTTCGGATGTGTTATCGCGATTGTTGCGCCATGGTACTTCAAGCTTCTACCCAAGGAGCCTGTCACTAAGGCCGAACGAGAGCTAGTAGCTCTTCAACAGCAGGACCAGCAAAGACAGGCGCCATGAGTATCCGCAATGGTGATCAGGTCAGGTAGAATGCTGGCATCTACAGGGACCTAGCTAGACGACCAGTTATTCAATGACTAAATGAATTCACTTCTGGCTTTTCTCAAACGAGTATATGTAATTGAATATCGTCATACTTGAGTTGTCGACTTGCCTTAAAAAAAAAGAAAAAAAAAGAAATAAGGCAAGTGAAAAAACTCCACATAGTAATACAGCATTTAAACCAATCAGCGTGCAACACGTCCCGCTCCCAATCTAGCGATTACATTTCTACAGTTATGCCAGTGAAGCTTACATTCGCCAAGACTGCAACCCTCGCGCATAAGCTTCTAAACTACAGGCCCGAGTCTTTTCTCTCGGATCGACAGTGTTTTCCTGCTTTATTCCTTTCTCCTTGTCGGTGTTCCTTTCCAACCACGATGGACAATACCACCAAGCGGCCCCCGTCAACAGAGTGGAGCGAGCTATTTGCGCAAAACCCCTCCTATGAGCCGACTACGTACAAGGCACTCGACAACCTCGCGTCGAATGGCGACCTCGCTTTTCTGCATGCCAAGTTCTGGAACGAGATCCGTGAATGGACCCGGAATGACATCACGGATATGTCGCGCATCGTTCACCCAGATCTTGCGGGACCCGGGAGCATTTTTATCGGGGGCATGAACCATGCGCTCAACGAAGATATTCTTGCGAAAAATGATATCCATGCGGTTATTGCTATTCATCCCAAGGACTCACTTGCATGGGACAAGAGCAACACCTCCTACGGTCTACAAAGGTTCTTCCCTGGCGAAAACGGCATCACAAGCAGCGTCGTGAAGTACCCCCTCATTATTCCGCTAGAGGACAATGCCAACTCAAATCTGATCGACTACTTCGATGAGACTAATGCTTTTATCAAGTGGCATACTGGCGAGGGGAGGAATATCTTGATCCACTGTAAATCTGGGCGCTCACGCTCCGTCGCAGTGCTAATCGCGTATATGCAACAAAAGTTCTGCTCCGAAAAAGGCATTGCGTCTGTGAAGGATAAGAGTGAAGCCAAGGAGCAGATGCGGATGCACCGCGAGGAGATTACAGAGGCGATACGTACGCAACGCCTCCCTGTCGTCGTCATAATGGAACGTTTTGATGAGCTGCTGGCACGCTACGACCTCAAACTCATCGAGGATCCGTGCTATGAGAGCGAGAAGATTAATAGGCCTCCTGCTTCGGAAACTATGAAACCTAAACTTGGTGAGCCAGACGAACAGCCGGAGCTTGTAGCGAAGAAGGAGAGTAAGGTCGTACAGACAAAAGGTGGCGCGGCAGTGCTTAAGATATGTGTTGCTTCAGCTTTCTTCAAGAATAACCAGAAGCCTACGGAAGCTGTGGTGCACCAATTCTTTGAAGTCAATGAGGCCTATTTCTATGAGCTAGAAGCGTTAGAATACAAGGGAAGGTCGTATGTTGGTTCTGAACATGCATGTCGCGGCCTCGTGGAATTCTTCTTCAGGTACGTTAAGGATGGGTATGGTCTCACGTTGCCAAAGAATATAGAGGAGCATGTTAGGAGGGTTTTAGTAAAATAGAATTAACAAAGGCCTTTAATAGTTTCAATCTGAATTGTCCTCTCGCGGCTAGTCTAGGTGATTTAAACTTTTAACACGTGATTATATGCTCAAGAGACCGCCGTCAAATATCGGAGGTTGATATCTTAGCCTTTTCACAATCTGCCTTGAAAATAATTAGATTACAATCCGGAAATGGTTTGATACTACGCAGTTTATGCAGATCAGCTTCAGCTGGCCTCACGTCGAGAGTACTGGCAAGATGGACGAAATCCGACCGCGGGGAAATAGCCCGCCTTACATACACGAACCTGACGCCGTCCAAGTGGAGGCGCTCAAGGCGACTACAGATGCACATATCTGCGGCTACTTTTCTGAAAATCCTGGTAAGCACCTGCGAATATGGCTGGGACACCGAGTCAGACCGGCTAATTGCCGCCATTTACTACTGGAAAGACTACAAGGCAGGCTGCGGTTCACCATCCACCTGCAGCACTCCCAGCGGCGGCAAGTCATGGGGCTGTTGCGACGAGACAAGCTGCTACATCCCCGCTACATGCGAGGATGCTTCAGCTCCCGATTGTGGGGGCACTGCTGCCTCACTCTGCCCTTACTCTCCAATCATGAAATGGTAGGACTGTTTGCTGAGTGTCGATATCCAAGATTGACAAACAAATCTTAGCACCTACGGAGCCTCGTCGCGGTGCCTCTACTTTATTTACCAAACCGCTTCTGACGACAACGACAAGGTGACTTCATGGGGTTGCGGGGAGACGCCGACGACATACATCGTCGGACCGCTGCAAGTTGAGCAAACCGCATCAGCGACGGCCCCGACGAATGACGAAACAGACTCGAACTCCGGTCTTTCAAAGGACGCCACGATTGCTCTTGCCGTTATTCTCCCTGTTGTAGGGTTGGCGATTCTTGTGGCTGCAGCCATGTTGTTCATCCGGCGGCGTAAGAAGAGAGAGCGCAACGCGGTTTCTCGAGTCGCTGATGGAGCAAGATCTGAGATGGAGCAGACTACGGAATGTGCGCCTGTCCCTGCAGTACCGCCGTATGAGATGGGTGACAATGTCTTGCGGCCCGAACTAGACAGCCGTGAGGTACGTTATGGGGCTAATTGATGGGCAGAATTTTATCCCACGGTGGAAAGGAAAACGTCAACAACAGACACTGAAGCCACTAAGCCCAAATCGGTAGGTGAATGGAGACAAGAGATACCGAATTGCGACCGCCTATCTTAATGTCTCCACCTACTCCGTATATAGCGGGAAGATATAACAAGTTGCAGCAGCTAAAAGGTCTCTGGTTATTACCTTGCTATGAGTACCCAAATTCCATAGTCTTGTAAACGCTGCCATCAACTACATCTTAGCCAGGCTTGGCTGCGCATCAATCATCTCCTTCAAGAAGTTCTCATCGCTCTTTAGCCTCGCTTCCGACTCTTCAAAAAGTCTTGGGATTCCGGCCTCGGGGAACGCTAGATCCTCCAGGACCATGCGACTAATTCCCTTGGCGGTCAGGAAGACTTGCGGCATTCCGTGACCGGTGAAACCGCCCATGATAAACATATTTTTTCGCCCGGGCACACGGCCGATGCGGGGAAGTCCGTCTGCTGAATAGCCCATGACTGCACGTAGAATATCTGGTTAGCATAAGACAAAAAGAGGCTAAGGATGAGCATGGACACTCACTTCCAGTCCAGACTTGATCTGTACGTGCACCGCTGTTTTCCCAACCACGGAAGTGTCGCTGCATGTACCCTTCGAAGTAATCCTTCGCTCTTTCAATGATCTTCGAATCGTCAACACTACCGTACCAATCCTCAGTATGTCTGAAGTAAGCCGATCTAGCGCCTCCAACAATAATGCTGCCATCTGGTCGAGGGATAAGATAGTCGAAATCCGTAGGACTGAATCGAATAGCATAGGAGTCTGCCAAAAGCGGTGGATTCGGAGCAATGATTCGGCTGCAGATGGCACGGTAAGGGATTATCTTCTCGTGATACTCGGGAAGAAGCGCGGCGGTGTAGGCATTTGTCGCCATGATGATCTTTCGAGCTTTGATGACACCGCGACTTGTAGTGACGCTCCAGCTCCCGTCAGCTTCTGGGGAGGCAGAAACTGAGGTCACGGGAGTGTTGGTTTGAAGGTTCAGGTTCTTGTGTTCCAGAGCTTCGGCGAACATGTGATGGATCAGCTTGTAAGGCCAGAGATGACCGGTCGTGTACTTGAATGCACCCTTTGCGCCTTTCACGCCTGAGACCTGGCTCACAATTTAGAATTCCGTTATAAAAACTGGAACTGGAGTAAGGAAGAAGGCCATAGAGCATGCTTACTATTTCGGCATATTCGCCATCGACATAGAATGCGTTCTTTGTCGCACTCACACCACCTTTGATAAGCCTATCATATCCAGCCTTTAGCAGCGCATCGTGCTCTTCTGATAGCTGTACATCGACAGCCTGAGTAATCATCAAATCGCAATCTACCTTGTTGTCCAAAACATAGTTCTTGACAGCTTCGACATTGGCGAGCTCGAACTCCGCAATCTCTGCTCCGGCGTCGATACCATGCTTTGAAGCCATTCTCGAGCACAAGTTGTAAACATCAGGCTTAATATGCCCTCCTACATATAATTAGCATTGGGAGTCGATATTGGCAAGGAGTAAACGAACCATTTCTTCCTGTCGCTCCAGAGCATAATTGCCGGGCTTCCAAGACAACGATTGACTTGTCCTTTGACTCAGGCTGCGATAGCATATGTGTCACGAGTGAAGCACCAGAGTATCCGGCTCCAATGATAAGAATGTCGCATTGCGAGGGTAATTCTTTCGTTGATCGGTGATTGTCAAGCGATCCCGGGGAAGAGCGCCAGAAGGAGGTCATCCCATTAGGAGGGGGGAATGGTTTCGACGACATGTTCAAACTTCCTTGAGTATATATATAGAGATCTTAAACTTCAACTCAGCAGTGCTACCCAGCCAGCTTTCTTTAAGTATGAGGATGCAAACAGTTTAATGCGAGGTTAGACGATCTCAGCCAAACCCACTTGGACTGGCTTCGCTTGCCTGCACAGTACGGAATGAAGAGCCGAAGCCTGCAGGGTTACAGTAGAGCACGATGTGGAGTTTATCTTCGCGTATCGGCGGTTCTACTTCTGAAGCCCGCCTTTTAGCCCGCTCCCCAGTTGCTACAGTGCTGAAGCTTACCCCGCATCGTGCCTAACTCAATATGCTCTGCCTTGGCATGGCACGTTTAGAAGCAGCAATTACACAGCTGCTACAGAATGGTGAAAGCTTTCAGAGAACTTCGAGTCAGCGGTTCTTAGGTTATTTTAATGGGTTTCTTTGTGAGACGGTGTTATTCGGATATCGGCATCTTATCAAACATATCAATTAAACTCGGAATTATGAGTCACTTGCTAATAGAAGAATAGCCGTCTTACCCGTAATCCTTCACGAAGGATTCTCTGTTCATCTCATCTATTAAAGCAAGTAGACGGCTGCTCATGCTCGATTTTTTATATTTGCCCAAAACTCATGCTTTGATGAGCCTTTATAACGAAGCCATGCCAGACAAACCTTGCCCAACAATTATTCTCATCGGCCCCGAAGGCGCTGGGAAAACAACTATTGGAAAAGTCCTCTCAGAAAAGCTCAACAAGGAATTATTCAGCCTCGATCGACACCGCAAAGAGCTCTATGCACCCTTCAACTACGACGATTCTCATGCAAACAAACTATACGAACAAGAGGGCGTGGGGGCTCTGTTGAAGTACTGGAAGTACTTCGAATACAGAGCTGTCGTGGACATCTTGAAAAATTCTCTGAAGCCTGGAGATAGGTTTTATGGCAAAATACTTGACTTTGGGGCGGGCCATTCTATTTTTGAGAACAAGGAAGAACTCGATCACGTTGCAGAACTTATTTCTCCTTATAAAGGGGTCTTTCTTATCCTCCCATGCGAAGGCACCAACGAGGCGCTTCGGATCATGGAGGAACGGAGAGGCCATAAGCTGAGCTACAATCAACACTTCCTGAATCATCCAAGCAACAGGACACTGGCAAAACATATCGTCTACACGAAAGATATAAGTCCGGAGCGGGGTGCTGATGAGATATTGGAGTATTTGGACGTTTGACCATATTGATGGGGGCTCAAAGAAAGCCTAAAGAAGATTTTATAAATGCCAGAAATCAGGAGACATCGTTTGTCAGCCACTCAGCTAAGTATTGTGATTATGTAAGGTTTGTCACTCTTCATATGACACAACAGCTTCTGTAAATATTCACATGCAAATAATCTCTCTAGTGAGCTTCTGCCTACCTAGTGAGATGGTCCGACCACTGTAGTCAGGTTGGCCATGACCCAATTTGGTAGGTGTGAATAAGATTAGGCCAGGCGTAGCAAGCTTAAAATATGTCACCGTTCCTCAATTGACTTTCAATCAATTTGTGTACTATCAATAAACACCAGACAATGTTCTTAGACGCGTTAGACAAGCCGATAGACGATGTCGTTGTCGTTGATCAATCGTGTCTCACCAATGCAATCCTGGCCAGAGATGTCGATACAGTAGAGTCGATGCTATCCTTCGGTGCCGATCCAAACGCTCGGAGAGTCGGTAAAGAAGTACCCGCCTGGCGCTCAGTAAATAGATGGCATGCGAAGCCAGAGAGACAAGATCCTAACTCGTGCCATGAGCTGTATCCTCTTGATCTTGCAATGACAAGCCGCCCAGCTCGCAGTCGAATCGTCAAGCTAATACTCGAGCATGGCGCCGATCCGAATTCTTGCTACCCTGAGACTACAATCGCTCATCGAGTTTTGGAAAGAAGAGGTTCAGGCCCCAACATGACATACAGCAAGCGGAATATGTACCTCGACTTGATTCTTCGGCACCCACTACTCGATGTCAATCTTCAGGATCGGGAGGGCATCCCATTGATTCAAGCTGCTTTGGAAGTAGGGGATGCAGAAGCTGCACGAATACTGATCGACAGAGGCGCCGATCTCCGTTGCAGGGACGATTCCGGTAGAAACATCCTCCATCTTGTATCTGCCGACGATTTCGGAATCGACCTCGTTAAGCATATCATCGCCTTGGCACCAGATCTCCAATATCAGTTTGACAAGAATGGCAGAACCCCACTTCACTATGCGATATATTGCCAAAAACCAGGAAACCCAAGAGACGAAGTCAACCTTTTGATCTCCGCGGGTGTCGACGTTACGGTCAGAGATGCCAACGGCGATACACCGCTTCACACCCTCTTCAGAAGGCCGTTTTTTCTCGTTGCAGACTACTACGGTGATGCGAGCTGGCAGGGCTTTGTCAAGAATACAATTGACTTACTGCTCTCGAAGGGAGCAGACATCAACGCGCGGAACAAAGCCGGGGAAACACCTGCATTCGGCTACTTCCATGCGAGCAGTTTCAAGGTTGATCTTAGCTGGGCGAAGATGGATGAAGAGAGGCATACCCTGTCTAAGAAATGGGGTGGTGATAGATGGAAGGTCGACAAGGAACTTGAAGAGCAAACTGTGGAGGAGACGGAGCCGAGAATGTGGGCGTTCCTTGAAGAGATGGGAGTGGAATGGTCGGTTGTTAATACCAAGGGTCAGTCTCTGCTTCATGTTGTTGCTGGCCAAGAACGGTCATTCAGAAGGGTAGCCAGGTTTCAGTTCTTGATGGGTAAAGGACTGGATCCTATGGCAGAAGACATGCAAGGTCAAACTGCGCTAGATATCGCAGCGCATGGAAAGGCAGACGACATATTGGCATTGTATAAATCTCGGTAGATGATTGACTTTTGGAGCCTCTGGGTAACGGTACGAGTAAGGTGTGCGATGCAAGCATTAGCTGTCAGGTCTATCAACTCAAAATAACACGCTCATAAACATAGTTCAGGCAGCATACCGCTGGGTAACGGTACTTGAACAATGGTAAGCTTAGTTATACTTTACGAGTCTCATCAATACAAATGAATCCTTTGTAAGGCTAGGAAAAAGGTAGTTTAGGCTACTGATAGCATTTTATAGATTATTGCCATGGAACACAATATGTCCAAACGTCTCATCTCCACTGATATCAAAATCACCTAGCGCCTTCGCCTTTCCTTTAGCAAAAGAAGCTCATAAATCTTTCGTCTTGTCTCCCAAGCTTTCCAGAACATTTCTCGACCCTACTCCATGCAACATGGGAGCAGATGGAAGCTGGCTGTGTGTAGTCAAGGGTTCCATCCCAGCCCTCAATAACAACGGGGAGTTGAAAACGGCTGGCTGAGGCATATCGTACACCGCGAGCTTTGAAGATACTGCCGTCGTGAGCAGCTTCGATATCTCCACCTCGAAGCTTTATCTTTATCTTCTTTGGATCTCCCATGCCTGCAAGTGGTTTGTTAGACCTGTCAATCTGAAGGAAGGAGAGAACTTACTAAAGCCATAGGAAGTTGTTCTTTGTATGTATGAGGCGGGAGGAATGTGTGGTAAAGCGGCCCAAGCTATCTGGATAGACTATCCTGCTAACTTCAAATCGAAGAAGTGGGGGGCATGATATAGCCAAGAAGCCATCTATCACTAAGATTAACAAACCTTCACTTCATATGTCGGGTATATGAGTCTAAACTAAAGCAGCAACTGGGATTTTCGGATACAGCACAACAAGCATCCTATATTCGATGCAGTGTTACCCTGACAGTTGGGACTATCAGCTGAGCGATGAGGCTGAAGTAAAACTCCGTCCGTGTCGTGGCTAAAACGCCGTCTTGCGGCTGTGGTTAAAATCCGACTACTTTAACTGACACAATTGTGGGGAATGACAAAGCCATGACATACCGTACAGAGTCAGTAACGGCCTTGGGCTGTGGAACCTTGACCAATTATCTTCAAGAGATATAAGATTCTTTACCATTCCCGCGGGAAGAACCCACATTTATCGGAATTTACCCGCAATGGCTGAGACCTTAGCCGGGACTGTGACGCAGCGATATTATGAAAAGGGAGATTGTGAGCGAGGTGCAGCAGGTAGGGGCAGTCGGTGACATCGTGCAATATTGGCAATAGCATATAGTTTCATTTACCGAAACATTAATTGGAGCTTTGCCCATGCCCTATTGGCTTTGTCGTATATATCAGTCTGTGAATCTCGACGTACACTCAGAGGTATGGGTAAAACGCCAACTTTATCACAAAATATCACATTCTTTCTCTTTTCTGATATTTTATTGCTATAAGTCAAAATGCTGTACACACGGACCATCAATGATGTTGAACTGTCGTTCGACGACCGAGGCATGGTTTCATCTGAGCCAACTATTGTCTGTCTGCCAAGTCTCGGTCAAGATCATCGAGGCTACAAATACATCCTCCCCTTCTTAGTGGGCAAGTACCGCGTCATCAGAATTGTATGGAGAGGCCATGGTTCCAATCGCGACCCCATGGATAAGTGGAGTGTGGAGGATCAAGCAAGCGATACGATTGCACTCCTCGACTCCCTCCAGGTTCAAACATTCATTCCTATCTCTCACTCCCACGGAGGTTGGTGCGCCATGGAGATGGCAGCGCGACTGGGAAAGGAGCGGGTCCCAGCTATTCTGCTGACGGATTTGATCCTGACTCAACCTCCTCCAGAATTCATCAAACACCTCCAAAAGACCCAGAACAAGGATACTTGGTACGAGGCTCAAGCCGCTCTAGTCAAAGGCTGGCTCGACAACACCACCAACAAGAACGTCTTAGATCATTTTCAGAATGACGTGGGTGCACATGGGTTCGAGAACTGGTCTCATTTCTGCTGGCTAGTGGAAAAGAATTATGAGCGCTGGGGTTCACCTATGGAGCGACTTGAGACTATTAATGATCCCCCTTTGGTTCGACATGTCTTCAGTCATCCCAGAGACGAGGCGTACTTTGCAGCACATGATGAGTTTGCTAGCAAGCACCCTGAGTGGTTCAGCTTTGCCAGGCTTAACGGCGAATCTCACTTTCCGGTTGTCGAGCTTCCAGAAGCTGTGAGTTTGCAGCTTTCAGATCTCGTGAAGCAGGTGACGAGTAAGCAATAAGATGGACGGGTAGGATAGCTCATATGACTAGTGGTTTTGAACTCGGGATTGACTAGGAGAGACTTCCAGTGTCAAAGAAATGGCCCATTTATGCGACTCAATAATATATTAAGAACATGTCATCAGTCAACCGCTTGCATGATATCCTCAAGTAAACAAACACAGTACAGATACTTAGTTCTCATGAGCCAGTATATGTAACCAAATCCTAATAACTCTACGACAGAGAAGGTCCTATGTGGTTCCATAGGTTATCGGCATCGTGATTCTATCTTGTTGGAATCTATTCACTGGCATGGCAAGGAAGAAATAAATGTCACATGTTGAAACCAACGTGACTTGACAAAATCCCAAAAAGGCATCGATGTAAGCCTTATTGACTGCAACTCTGTGGTCTTTATGGAGCTAAGAGTCGTTTTTAATAGCTAATGATATGATAAATCTAAGGAAAGTCTTTTCTTCGGTGGTCCTGGATCAGGCGATGGAGCCAGTCCAGAGAGTCTAGATCTGGATCCTAATGTTGACGATTCTATGGCTTGATATGCACTAATAGTCGTGCTAGCCAGTACAGGCTTTCTCCAAGTCTCGATTCAGCAAGATCTTCAGCGTTGCAGAGCTTCTCAAGCGAGAGCTTCTTATCCCAGTAACGCTTCCATGACTTGAGAGATTGGTTCAGAGTTCGAAAGAATATGGCAAGTTCACTGTCGATTAGGAATATCGTAAATGCTGTTCTGCAAGCAAAGAGTTAGCGGGGTATCATAAGCGCACTCTGTCATAGACTTACCGTATCCTTCTCTCTGTCTTGATCCAATCATACCACCGTTCTGCAAAGGTATTACAGGACGTTTCTTGCGTAGCCAGTTTGCGAGTCGTAAACAGTGATAGACTTCGACCAGCAGTGACAAGCATAGGGATCCGAAGCATTCGCATTCGACAGCGTTTTCTTTTGTCGGTCATTCCTAGTTGGAGATATTGACAATAGCAGCTGCATTCGAAAGCTCGATGTGCATATCGCAGGCCTTCAAGCCACAATCGTGATCCCCATTGACCATGAGTTCAAATTCTTTATGCTCAAAAACGATAGATTCTAAAGTGTCGAACCCCTCGGGTGTTATGTCGGAAAAGTCTTCAGCATTGTTATAAATAGAGCCGGATACGATCATGGTAAATAGTAGTCGAGATGATATCTTTTCGGCAGCAGCGAAGGTTGGGCGGTGAATCATGACGTGATATGGATACATTCTCCGAAAGAAGGCTTCGAAGGCTTGATATACGTTGCTTATGGTGAGCACTGAGCAGCTTCTCAAAGATAAAGCGAGCATTTATTCGGGAGCTACGGCTAGCAGAGGAGATATCGCAAGGATCAGTTAGAGGAATGAGATCCAACAGTTCAGGTAGTCGCTGTTCAAGCGAAGTTCGATAAGGTCACCAAAAATTGGTGCTCCCAAATCTTCTTCTTCCAAGGGATCGAGTATCATGCTGGAACGCATCAAGTTATTCCAAATCAGTGGGAGATTCCACATGTCGATATCCTCATGAGACAGTAATTGGCCAACATCTTCTTAGAGGTCACATGGCGGACTTCCAGCCTCATCGGGGAGGGCAGATGATGTTTCTAGGGCATTCCGAAAATCGAGAATGTTATCGGGAGACGTGTAGCGAAGGAGAAACAGAGTCTTTTCATTTTTCGTGACATTTGACCGGGTTGCATCATCTGAGTCTTGAGTGCTTGCAGAATCTTCCCGGGGGTTCCAGGACTCGACCTGAGGTGCGGAAGAGATTGGGTTGGTAGGCTTAGAGCGGGCATCTAGGACACCCTCTACCCGATCGTAAGAACATCTCCATCCACGGCTTAGACAGGTCTCGCATGGCTCATCAGTGTCGCATGCCTTAGGACCCCTACCACGTTTGACATCTGTGGGTATAGGCCGACCAGCACGTGGTCACATTGTTCGCGTGCCGCCGTGTCGAGTCACTATTGGTTGAGCTAATGGTACATGGTACAGGCGGGTATTGAACCTCACGCTCTCGAAAACAGGCGTCCACAAAAGAAGCACGGAGTATACTGATCCGGCATATTTGCATAGCGCGAGCTTGTGGATCGCTTGTAGCTGGATACTATGGCTTACGAGACCTTTCGTGTCTAGCAAGATGACATTCGAAAGAGAACACGCTACCGCAAGTACTACATGCTTTGGGTTGGTTCATTATGAAGAGGCTCGGCATGGGCCAAGATATGAAGCGGACCTGGAAGGGTACTGTTAAACGCAAGATGGCGTTGCAATACAACGAAGCATGGATTCGAGACGTGACCGACTTATTGGCCAAGCTGGTTAAATCTGCACTTTGGCGTCTTTAGCCGTGGGGACCGGTCAGGGAATGGAAGGAAGGGGTTGTCAGTCTCGCTAAGATGGCAGTCAATAAATTTACAGGGGTACCCGTGGATCTTGGACCCCACAACCCAGAGAGTAAAGACCGAATCAGACAAAGGCAAAAAGAGACACGCTAGATATTTTCAGCCTAGACGGAGATTACCCACAAACCTTCTCATATTACAAGTGCAGATTTAGCTTGGTTGGGAACAGCTCACTCTCTCCCTGCTGTTTCATGTGAGCTTCCGCGTAGGGTAAGCAGCTCGTTGTGAGAGGAAGCTTATCACGGAGTGTCTATGAGGACCGTCATGTCGAAAAGGATATTTACAATATCTACTGAGAAACGGTCTTTGCCTATGCTATAGATCGATCAAAGAATAGTCAGGGCACTAATATACATCGCCAGTTTTCATCACGGAAAGCGTAAATCGACCGAAACACATTTAATATCATGAATGCTGCTGAAACACGGCCAAACCATGGTTTTAGGGCACAGGATTCGAGGCTCAGGAAGATAATCTTCCAGCATCAGCTTATCTCAGAACTATTTGTTCTCTGCAATAACTAATTTAATAAATAGCTATGCCTGTCTACATATCTGCCATAAATTTGTCAAAATCGGCCAGAATACTTAATCTCCAATGTTCTGAGAGGAATGTAGATAACAATAGCGGTGACAATAGCCAATTCCGATCCCAGATCCCCAACAGCCTTGGCTAGAGGGCCTCTAAGCCATACTGTACCCATTCCACAAATGATTGGACCCCAAGCACTGACAAAAGTAGCAATGGCTGGAATTCCCGATGGGAGAGCTTTGCCATCATCCCAGATAGCAGGGTCCATGCTATCAGGATCTGCTCTTCGGAACCATAGCCACTCAATAAGAAAGGCGGTCACCGTCGTTCCAGATGTATAGGATAGGATCGAGACTAGTGGAGAGAGGGATGAGATGAATGACTTTGAAGCGGGGATTGCCACCCCGATCAGCACACCTGTCGTGATTAGTGCCAAGATGGCCCTGTGAACCCTTTCGAGACATGGAACCACAGCTTGCGCGGGCAGGGAGATACTGTATATATATCTTGCTGAAGTGATGACCACTGTGAGGGCGAGGATAGTCAAAACGAATCTCCCAAATCCACCTAGTCGTGAGATCAGGATCTCACCAACAACGGCACCAGTTCCGCCTCGCTCAAGTGCTGTGGCCCAGTTCGGTATCATGAGGGCAGCGCCTCCCAAGGCAGCACCAAGTATCATAAGCAGTGAGAATATGACACCAAATCCGGAAAGGAAGTAAAAGGCAAGACGGAAGCGAGGCGCCTTCATCAGCATGTAACAAGCGTAGCCACCGATGATACCTCCCCAAGCAAATGAAATACCTGCCGTCAAAGAGATGAGACTAAGCCAGGGTCTTGCGCCCGTTGCACGCGACGGTGCTTGCTGATGAAGCTGGTCGCCAGCGCAGCCGATGAGAATGACGACGCCAAATGCCGCGGGGATCCAAACATATCGTGCAAACCCGTGTAGGACTTTGTAGCCCATAAAACCGATGAAGCAGGCGGTGAGAAGAATAATGGTGATGCCTCCTTCGATGGAGAGTGTGCGTGGATTGACCGAGGCGAGTGTCTGACCTCCTGTGACAGAGGCGACTATCCCAAAGATGGCAGTGCCCACCAGGCCGACGAATGAGATAACCTGGTTAAAGTACCTCCTACAAGGGTTCGTCAGCATGCAAGGAAGCAACAGAAAGACTGTCAATCCACGACTTACCCATAGACGTTAACGAAACTGACACCACTGTCTCATACCGAGGAGCGGTGCGAGGGTGAGGATGTAGCAAGACGGTATGAGAAGAATCAGCTGTAGGCAGATAATCATTGGAGCTGCCTGCGCTGGCGACAGCCCGTACCCAAGCGTCGTGGCGGCCCCGATACCAATCCTGTAAGCCCAAGGCGGTCATGTCAGCTAGATATTGCATATTCTGAGGGCTTAGGTAGTATTTACGGAAGAAGCCCCATGGACGTTTTTGAGAATAGTGTGAGAATATTGACGTAATTCTCAGCTCCAGTAGTATAGGTTCCAACCCTTGGAGTTCGACACCGAGGTTGACGAGCTTTTGCCAGAAAGAGTTTACTGGCTCACTGGTACCAGGGATAGATACAGCATCCTTTTTTCTTTCCACGCCTAGCTCGGTGTCTATGTCCTTGGACATCTCCGATGATTCATGCTTTTGTCCATCGAGTCTGTTGGGTAGATGATGCTCTTCGAGATTGGCTGCCATGTTTCTTACTTGTAGTACTGGCTTGCAGTGATGAAATGATCGAGCTGATGATTGTACTAGAGGTTGGGTTCCTGTAGTGCCACAAATGATCATTGGAGGGTGAATCGCCTAGTTTAAGTACTTATGACAAGGCTGATACATGGGGATCATGAGGTACCGAGAAGATATCATAAAAGAAGCGGCTATGGGACTCTCGCCTGATAGCCGACGCAAGTCGGATCTGCACCACATATACAGTGATAATTGTCCGGACCTTGAGGATGCGTATCTATTGCCAATACTCTCACTCCATCTGCTGGTACAGAATTGTACTGGAATTAAGCACCAAATGGGCATGGGCATACATTGTCAGTTTAGACTGTGGTACTCCGCACTTTCAAAGTACGCTATTTACTGTTGTGGCGTACCTGGTGCCCGTAAGGCAAGGGAGCAGGAGTCAGTGGCAGATAAGCTGAAGTTAATTCGGTTCCGATGACTGATACCGAGTCTGGCCAGATGAACATGTTGGTACTAGCCATCGGGACTTGGAACTCACCTCATTGGGTGCACTACATGTGATGCTTGAAGCGAAAGAGATAGGACCTCTAAATGTATCACGTTGATTTAAATTCTTGGACTGCCAGATGTGGATATTGAAATCAATTTGTTGTTCCAAGTGGAGATATTCAAGCAGTAACAAAATCATTTGTTCTTTCGCTAAGATGGAACAGAAATGTCTTGGGACAAAGCAGCTTCCAAACAAGTAATCTGCGGATACTGAAACAGCGCACTCGACTCCGTGATTGCATCCAGATCATGGACCTCAAAACCCGCCCTTCGACCAAGACTTACCCCCTCCTCTGCTCGGGCGATCATTTCTTTCTCAAAGTCTTGGATAGCCTGCGCCATAGACTTCTCCCCGGCGTCCACCTTGCGCAGCTGGCAGCCAAGCATGTAGGTGTCGAGCATGCCATGGTTGGCAGCTTCGCCACGGTCTGGTCGAGTTAGCAGTAGCCCAATTGCCGCCTTGAGCGTGTGACGCCGTCTTGGATCTTCTTGTCAAAGGTTTAGATTCATCGGATTGGTGTTGAGCATGTATGTGAATGGCTCAAGGATGAGTTTTATTATATGAGACATGGGTACCCAATATCAAGGGATATAAGAAGAATATTCACTTGGCATTCAAGTATGAACGGACTTTTCTTTTTGACTAGGACAGACATATCGCGTTATGTGCCACCTAAAGCACGCCAGATCTACTAGACATGTCGAAAGATCCACTTATTTGTATAATTCTGGGTCTCTAATCTTTGTCTTACTACCATCGTAGATATTCCTACTAATGGTAAGACGGTTCATCTAATTCCCATCGGTCCTTATGATTACCCAGCAACTGGTAAGGGATGCTGTGTCTTCCCCTACAATTACTTCTCCGGATCGAAGCTTCCATTAAGATGATGCATTGTTAACTTGACTACGAACCTAATAACCTGGAGAATGTTGAACCCGTTCTCTCCCAGGTCATGTAGATCGCAACATACATAGCATGCATAACTTAGCGGCGGTATTCGGAGCCGTTCCCTGTCTTTGGACTCTCGCTTGGAGATCAACAAGTGTTAGTGTTATTCCCGTCAGTAGATGATGCGGGGTTTGTGGCTAGCCTAGCCCCTCCTCGATTAGGTCATTTTGAAGATGTACCTCAACAACAAGAATCTTAAGTTGAATACTTCCTTCCGATCTTTCTTATGTTCTGTCTCAAATGACCTTGTCGTTTGCTGAGCGCTTTGATTCAGTTGTGTTGCTTGTGTTTGAACATCGGCTATGGCTCAGGCATCTTCGGCTCAAGGTACGTATCTAAGGCTCTTTAGACACTGAGGCAAACTTCGGAAGCGAGAGCCGGTCCTAAGAACCATTCCCTTACATCGTAATGCAAAGATCATCAGCAGAATAATGGGCTAATCATAGTCAGGGGTTTCTTGTCTCGTCTGTCGCTCCCGCAAGGTTGTTTCCATTATTCATCGCTCTTATGATTGACTACTAACTTTCTAGGTGAAATGCGATGGGTCTATCCCGAGTTGTCAGAACTGCGAGACCCTAGGCGTTGATTGCCCCGGGTACAACGTAGCCACAGGAACGAAGAACAGGCTTGAGGGCGCTACGCTTGAGACTGTCTATCGTGCCTCAGGTGTTGAGAAACGGCGTGTTGGCTCGTGCGAGGCTTGCCGAAGAGCAAAGGGTCGTTGTGACAAGGCTCTGCCAGCCTGCTCGAGATGTCTTCAGAGGAGTCTCGCTTGTCGCTACCCTCAGCGACAGAGACCCAGCGCTACCAGTCGATCAAATGGATCAGAAGAGAGTCCTCGGAGTGATGAGCCGAGACCTGATGTAGCTGACATCTCCCCGGGTACGGCTTTTGATCCCCAATCTTCAATGTCTCCACTGGAACCCAGTGCCCGGTAATGGCTGTGATCGCTCAGAGTAATTTTGGTACTGACAAAATTTAGACTACAGAACAGGCCTTTTCCGTGGGATGTACAGACTCTTAAGACATTAACAGGGATTTATTTCAATCGAGTGGCTACTCTTCGATGCCTTGACTTTCTCCACAAGCCTTCGTTCAACCATTCACTTGATAAGGGGTCTTTAGTGGAAGACTATGGCGAGGCAATCCTTTACGCGATTGGCGCCAATGGACTGCGGTTTGTTCCATGCACCCTGATGCATAACACGAGTATGACATACTGACCCGTAGTAGTATTAGAGAGCTTGAAGGCAGCTCAAATCTTAATACCCGGCCTGATACCTCTAATGTCCCTGGAAGGATTTGGGCGGAAGAGTCACAAGCTCTCGTTATGAGAGAAATAGGCAAACCAACACTAACGACAGCCATGGCAAGTCTATGCAACATCGAGTACCTAGAAAAGAGGCTAATCACACACAGACTCTCGTACTACTATGTGAGTTCGCCCTGCACACCGGTCAAGACGCTTTAGCCTTTATGCTCTGCGGGTGTTGCCATAGTGCCGCTCGACTACTCGCTCTCGATCGCCCGACTCCGCCGAGCGATAGTGGGGAAGTCTCGGAGGATAATATCCTAATCGAAGCTCGAAGAAGGGTTCTATGGTCATGCTTCATCCTGGACAGCATCGTCGGTAGTGGTGTCAATGAGAACTTGAGGTGGAGGGACGGAGCACCTCACATCCCTCTTCCGAGTTCGGACCAGTCCTTTCTTTCTCAAGCCTCGGATACCGAGGCGCCATTGTTTCTGCCTCGGAAGTCTGACTCATTCCCTTCGGGTGAGGAACTGCAGAGATATAACCTGCGCTCTAATCTGATATACTTGATGAACATGAGGACCAGGGTCTTACGGTATGCCCCTCACTGTTTTAATAAGACCTTTAGCTAATTCTTCCAGCCTTATCCGCACCAATCCAGACGGTGTGGATATATCCAATATCCAGTCTCCATTCATGCAGACTCTTGATGCTCTAGAGGCCTGGAACAACAGTATCTCATCACAGCTGCAATTGACAGAGTTCAGCATATATGTTCACAAAGAACTGAACACTCTGGAATCACTCTTCTATCTTCATCTCTCCTATCACATTCTCGTCTGCGACCTAACACGGATATCCATCCCTGGCTTCGCTTTTCCACTCGCAGCAGCATTCCGCGCAGCTCCCCAAGCATTTACCTCGCACTGTCAAGAGGTCTGTCGGCATCATGCTGCCCAGGTTAGCAGGATACTTAGAATGATGGCACAGCATTTGAGCTTTCTGTTTGCTGAGTCTACAACCTATGCGGCAACTTATGAAGCGACCAAGATTATGATCGTGTACGCTGCCTCACTGAGTGACAGTGAGCATGATACGCGGATGGGGCTCAAGGAAGACGTCATGTTCAATATGAAGGTGCTAAGTGAGCAGACTCGCGGAAGTCTACCAAAACGAGCAGTAAACCCCCCCCCCCCCCCCCCTATTCATGTAGAAGCCTTCATGCTGACGTTTCCAGTGTCGGGCACTGACACGTCTTCTTGACCGATTTGGATTCAACGACATGGTAGACGATAGTCGTGTCACGCCTCCTTCGTACGTATACCACCCAAGCCTATTATCATCAGTCACTAATCAAACCATACGTATAGGCGCACCGCAGATGATGCAGGGGAAGTCAGTGGCCCTCCCGAAGCTTTGTACCTTTCCGACCTCGCACCTTTTCGCCGCGCATACGACGACGTCAACCAGAACCGGGACAGACGTGAGAGTGTGGCTGGATCACTTGCTAGCTCGTCTCGAAACCTCACTCAGGATGCGAATGTTTTGAGACCTTGGAATCAGCAACTAGCTCAACCGCCGGGTTCTTCGGCAGTGCCTGGTAATGAGGTCACTTCTGTGGGGGATTGGACCCAGGCTGCTGGGGATATGTCCAACGAAATAACCTGGGACTTATTCTCTCTACCGGATTGGGTATTTGAGCAGCATGAGATGGACTTTGGTGCCTAATGAAAGTCTTTGTGTCTATGGTGGACTTAACCATGACTTCAAACCACCCGCGTTAACTACAGCGCTTGAATGTTATTTAAACTGGAACAATGCCTATCAACTCCTTTGGTGTAATCTCTGGTCTCTTTATATACTTGATCCAGGAATACGGGTCCTCCATCTCATCCTGGATGGTATCCTGCTGAGCCCCCTGCTTACCAGCCATGCCCGGGAATTCACCCGCCAATCCCACCACGCCGACCTCATTTTTATACTCCTCCCATAGCTTCAGCATCTCAACCATTAACTCAGGTTCAGCTTCAGCCAAGTCATTCGTCTCTCCAGGATCTCTCTTGATGTTGAATAACTCCCATCTTTGAGGGCCCTTTGGCTTTGGGACGTAGGTGATCTTCCAGTCTCCGCGACGGAGAGCGCCTGAACCTGCGACTTCAAAACCTGCGACATAGTCCTTGTCGTGGATTGGTGAGGATCGCGACATTTTATCCAGTTGGTCGAGGAAGGATTTCCAACTTTTGCCGCGGAGAGGCATGACTGTTCTTCCGGCGTAGGTGTCAGGATGGCCCAGACCAGCGTATTCCAAAATGGTGGGAACGATATCCATGACTGTGCAGAAAGCATCTGTGACGACACTGCCCTTTGCGTTTGATGCGGCTTCCGCCGTAGGTTTGACAACGAGGGGTACTCGACATCCACCCTCTGTCGAAAACATCTTATACAGCCTCGAAGGTGCTGTAGCCGCCTGAGCCCATCTCGAGCCATACCAAACGAAAGAGTTCCCACGACCAATATTCTCTAAACTGTTGTCGTAGTATTTATGCACATGGTCCATGATGGTAGTGCCGACGAGAGGAAAAGCTTCATAGCTCGCCCCCTCAGCTCCATTATCACTCATGAACAGAATGACTGTGTTGTTATACTCATTCTTGTCCTTGAGATGCTGAATCACTCGACCAATGTTCCAATCCATACGATCAACCATGCCAGCATAGACTTCCATTGCGCGTGCACTAGCAGCTCTGGTTTCGTCATCCAGCTGGTCCCACTCAGCAGGTTCACCGGGAACAGTGGTCACCGGATGAGGCACCACCGACTCATCAATCAGACCAAGCTCTTTGAGCCTCTGTAGACGTTTCTGTCGTAGAACCTCAGGTCCTTCATCATAGAAACCACGATACTTGTCGCATGTCTCTTTTGGAGCTTGGAGTGGCCAGTGCGGTGCTGAGAATGGGAGATACGCGAAGAAAGGCTGTTGACGATCTTCCTCTGTTCGGTCCGAGAGGTAATTCAGAAGCTTGTCGGCGTAGCCGTCAGAGGAGTACCAGTCAGGGCCAAGTTCACTTTCGGCAAGGAACCTTCCGTCCTCGGCGTGCAGGGCTCGGACAGCTGTCTCGAAGAACTTGCCCGGCTCAGACTTAGGGTCTTGATACTCAGGCTCATACGCTTTATACGTCAGAGGTGCACTAGAACTATACATGATCATTCACTTACCGTAGTGGTTCGCACATCCAGGGAGTAAAGCCAAACTCTTCTTGAAACCCCTCTTATTCGGATGATGCTCCGGCTTGAGCCCCAGATGCCACTTGCCACTCATGCAGGTGAAATATCCGCCATCTCTCAACAGTTCAGGAAGTGCGACAACCCTCTCATTGAGATAGCCTTCATGGCCAGGCTTGCCTTTATGAGCAGGCGAGCTCCTGGTAATCTCTTGGAGTTGACCTAGCCCAGCGATATGGTGATCCGTGCCCGTCATGAGCATAGATCGCGTAGGACTACACGCTGCAGCGACATGGAATTCTGTGAAGCGAATTCCTCCAACTTCGGACGCCAGACGATCAATGTTTGGCGTTTGGATCTCCGAACCATAGCAGCCGCAGTCACTGAAGCCAAGATCATCTGCGACGATAACAAGGAAATTCGGCCGTGTAGATGGTAACGAGCCCATTGTTGATGTTGGCCTCACGGCGAAAGAAGACGTTGGGAGGATAAACAACACATGTAATAAAACATGAACATCAGAGACTTTTCAAATTCGATCTATGGTTCAAGACGCATCGGCTAGAAATTAGTACCACGCTGGTGCTACCCTCAAAACCCCAAGAGATAGCTCCGGGTCCCGCTGACTCTGTCGGAGCCGCGGCCATGACTGAGCCGATTTAGCGCCGGCTCTCGCTGCCGGTGAGGCTAGGGTCTCCATATTCCTACCCACTTTCTTTGGAACGACCAGATAGTAACCAAGGTCTCGGGTCTACGATTTGTCGATTGGCATTTTGTCTGATCCTGGGGTAGAATTGCGTTATGGCTTAGCTCTATCGCTTGTGGCTATTTACGCCCTGTCTTTAATCTCTGATAGCAGTTCTCGCTTTTTGGTAGGTTGAGACTTGCTTGTATAAAGACATCAATAGCCTATGGCTGGAGAACTCTCATCCCCTGCCGTCACCAGCTCTCCCTTCAATTCAGCATCTGGCCGCTGGACTTCTTATTTTATTCCTAGCCTACTCTCCTTGTCGACAGCCTACAGTATTATGGCGGACAATATCATCACTGCCGTCAAAGGCGGCCGCTTCAGCGAGATGAACGGGACCATGCTCTTCCTATTGATGTGAGATAGATACCCACAGCCGCGCTATTCCCATCCATACCCACTTCACGGTTGAATACCAGCTGCTGATGATGCTTCGCAGGTATATGTGCTTCTGTTCATTCAATTTCGGCTACGATGTCGGCAACTTTGGATCCGTTCAAGGAATGCAAGCTTTCGGTCGTCAGTTCGGCACCTGCGACAAGGAAACAGGGAATTGTTCACTGCAGCCATGGTTATCATCTGTCATGACATCTGTGCCATTCATCGGAAAGGCCCTGGGTACTGTGACTTGCGGTGTCATTGCCGAGCGATGGGGTAGAAAGATCGCCATCATGGGTCTTATCATTGCGTCTTTTGTGTAAGTCTTTCCCCCTTGCCCTAGTTCTTCCCTTACTGACCATCGAAAGAGGTGTCCTTCTCCAGACGACCGCAACAACGGCTGCTCAATTCACCATCGGTCGCTTCATCTCCTTCGCCATGACAGGCATGACTATCGTCGTCGTTCCCATCTATCAAGCCGAGACAGCCCCCAGAGCACTGCGTGGCCTGGTGACCTCTTCACTCCAGCTCATGATCAACCTCGGCGCCCTAGTGGCGTCGCTTGTTACGTGGCGTACTAGCTCGATGAAGACCAACGCTGCTTGGCATATTCCCGTGGGTTTGCAATTCCTTGCACCTACGTTCCTGCTCGTACTATGGTTCTGGGTCCCTGAAAGTCCCCGATGGTATTTACTCTCGACCCTTATAGTCCTCTATATTGTACTAACGCTGCTAGGCTTCTTGCCAAGGACCGCGTACAGGAAGCTACCAAGTCCCTCCGCCGAATCCGAAAGGACAAATCTGAAGAAGACATAGAGTTCGAGATCCAGGCCATTCAACACGCCCACTCCAACGATCACAAGGGTAGATGGTCTGAGCTGTTCGATGCTAAGAACAGGCGCCGCACTATGGTAGCTATTCTCGCCATGTTTGGACAGCAGATTACAGGCCAGGCTTTTGCCTCGCAATACTCGGTCATTTTCTACCTGTCTCAGGGATTTGGCGCAAGAAGCTTCGTTTTCTCTGTTGTTGGCTCTGTCGTAGGTCTTGCATGCCTCTTTGTTACGTGGTTCACTGTCGACCTGGTCGGCAGAAGAGTCTTACTGCTTATTGGAGGTACCGGCATGGCGATATTTCTATTTATTGTCGGATCGGTTGGAACCATCCCAAACCCCAATGAGATACAAAAAAATACTCTCGTAAGTACTTGGCCCAGTTACAAGGTTACATGTTACTAATAATACATAGGTGGCTTCCTTCATACTCTTTCCCTCCTGCTATGCCCTCTCTTGGGCGCCCGTCTCCTACATTGTGCTGTCTGAAGCAGCATCCAGCCATATCAAGGAAAAGACCAACCTTCTCGCCTCCGTCATTTCCGTCTTGACCACCTTTGCAACATCATTCACACTTCCCTATCTTCTGAGCCAGCCTTATGCAGGACTTGGCGCCAAGGTCGGATTCATCTACGGAAGCTTCTGTGTAGCCATGGTCGTTCTTGCATACTTCTTTATTCCCGAGCTCAAGGGCCGAAGCTTGGAAGAAGTGGATCAGCTGTTTGCAAGTGGGCAGCCTTTGAGAAAACTTGGTTCTCTCGAGACCAGGACGGCAGAGGAGGCTTTTGAAAGTGACTCGAAGCAACAGCCCAGGACTGAGGTGAAGGAGTTGGTGTAGTAGTCAAGGCAGCATGCTATAGACAACATTTGACTAAGTCATGAGTAAGCGTCATTAATGCCAAGTTTCCTACTTTGACAATCAGATCATGTAGCCACGTACTACTCTATGTCCCCTAATAACTATAGGACCGTATATAACAAATTGGTTATTCATGTTTCCCTTATAGAGAAATAATCCATTTTAGGCCATCCGTGAATCCTACCTACTCCTTTCAGCCAATTTGTGTTACAACCCCAGCGTCGCATTAGACCGAGGCCACCCAGGATAAATATGCATAACCCCGCGCCGTCCTAAATCCAGCAACCATTTAAGGAGTGCTCCGCGAGTAACAATTGGTGCGGTTGGTGTCAAGGACGGGCCGGTGGCAATAACCTATCTGCTTAGGTCTTTCTATCAGGGGCCAATTGCAAAGTCCGTGAAACGGACTTTATACATCGCGGACTATTCTTGCCGAATATGAGTTGTAGTGCAACCTAGTCAGGTTCTCATGCAAGAAACATATCATGTTCAGGAAACGATTGAAATGTAACTAGAACACATTATCGGATAAATCTCCAGATTGGCAGGAACATATCTTTGTAATGCTTACGATGAGCTTTTGGAATGCAACATCTAAACCTGCCAAGCAAGTATTCGCAGCATTATAAAATAGCAATTACGCTGCTCCCAAACACCATTTTTCACCAGCCACAATATTGCCTCCGTACCATAAACAGAAACTATCCATCGCGCGTTCGTTAGTCGCATCATCACTCAAAATGAAGAACTTCCTCGCTATCCTTCTTGCGCTTCCGGCTGTCTTTGCCGCCCCCGCAGCCAAGGCTGGAAGACAGGTCAAGGCTTGCGCTTGCGCCAACGACGCTGGTGAGACACAAATCGGCGGGTATTGCCCATACATTGCCGGCAGCAACGTCAACGTCGATGGCCAGGATTATGTAAGTCACCGTCACCCGAGTTCACTACAAGTCAGACCGCAACAGGCGTGTTTCGCTTGGCTTCCTTCATTCCTACGCGCACGAGGGGCTTGATCTGAAAGGTTGCGCGCTCCATTGAAACAAGTACTAACAACGCCTTTTATAGTGCTTTCCTGCTGCCACTTGGTCGGAGTACATGGACACCCGCTTCACTGCCGAGTTCTGCCCCGGCTATTTCCCAGGGTACCCCAACCCAGTCTGCAAGACTGTTACTGTTTGCCCGTTGATTGGAGACTACCAGCAGATCTGTTAAGTGTATTAGTGTCGGCTGGGGGTAAGAATTGCACTCGACAATTTTTCAATTGTATATAAAACATAATTTATTGTTTATTAGCTCGAATATAAAGATGAAGCACCAGATCAATCGTCAGCCTCTTCGTCAGATGAATCTTGGCCATAATGCTGCAAGATCCCCCTCGATGCCTTGTCTTCCCTATCTGGTTGTAAGCGTAACTCTTCCATCATCTGCTCTCTATCAAAGATAATCTGCGTGAGCCCAACAAAACGATGTTCGCGACCTTTGGCTGTTATCCTAGGGTTACTCGCTATCTTCTGCACCGTAACCAGCGTGTCGCCGTCAAATTCAACGTCAGGAAAGGTAGAGAAATCAACGGCTTCCAAATCTGCATCTTCCGTTGGTGACCAGTTCGGAATGACCTTGCTTCTAGGCTCAAAGATCATTCTTCCTTCTTTCCTGTTATCCTTTTGTGCAATATTTGTCAAGAAGATAGCAACGAATCTGGGAGGCTTTGATCCTCTCTTCTTAAACACAACCACTGCAGCGTATATGTCCGCTTTGCCTTTTCCAAGCAGCTCGCTCTCGTCCGCCTGATGGCTGCTCCTGCGAATCCGGCGTGGCATTATCAATGGTAGTAAAGGGGGTGTCTCCGATGCCCATGCGGTATCAGACTCATGGTCGCTGGGGAAGATACCGTATAGACGATAGTCTGCGGTTCCTCGGGGGAAGCAGAGGAGAAACGGACTTCCAGCTTCACGAGGCTGCCACGATGGGACTGATAGGATGGTCGCATATGGCTTCTTCACCAGAATGCTTCTTTGCATCGCTGTTGATACTGTGTCCACGTGATCGGAAGGTTCTTCTGAATCGGCTGATGTATGCTCGTCTTCTTTGGAGAGAAGCTGCTCTTCTTCGTGAAACATTATACTGTCCTTCCGAGCCATTTTTACCGGGAAAAAGGTTTGAGGCCAGATCAATCGTAGGTACCTCTGCGACTCACCAGTTCCCTTCCGAAGGAGTGGTATCCATATTCGTGATACATAACGCGTTGTCGTGGTACTCGTAGACTCAATATCCCAACAGTCAAGCACGCCAAATACGAAATGAGGAACCAAAGTAGGCACAATGGGCAGAGTGATCTGCAGTCCGGTGTTGGTCAGATGAAATGAGTAGGAATGATCTCCTGGTGTGTAATGCCTCTGCAGCTGCGGTGAGCTGCTAACAACCACGGACTGAGAGTCGGAGAACTCCCAAGGCGAGCGAGGGAGAAAATCGACATATTGCAGTCGGGATGCAAAGAAGCTATGATCTGCATATTTGTGGATGATCTCTCCAAGTAGTCTGGTGAAAGCTTCAAAGCCTTCGCCGTATACCAGCGGCATGGAGATATCGAAGAGTCCGAGGAGAGAGTAGGCCTGATCCTCAATACGTGTCGTTGAGCGACTTGATGCCCATGCCATTCTCTGTGCAACACTGTATCTCCGCAGTGGGTGGGCCTTGGAGAGCCTTCCCTTGAGGAGACAAGACCAAGGAATACCCGTGATCTCGGTGATGCAAGGTGCCAGCTCAGACTTTGTCGCTATCAGAGTCCAGTTGCTGGAGAAGAAACTTACATTCGGCGGTGCAATTAGTTCCTGAAGAGTCCAGCCTCTTGTGAACCATCTTGCATTCCTAAACGCACTATCCGCCTTTGTGCATTCATCCAAAGTCATGGCGGGGACATCCTCGAGGTATACGTAGCAGACAGCAGATCTTCGGTACCATCTGAACATGGAATTAATAGCTTCAGATAGCTCCGCAGAGCTACTCTTGTCGATACAATTGGTGTCTACCCAAACGTGGCTCAATTGGTCCTTGGCAGCTTGAGCGCAAGCCCAGACGATCTTCTGAAACCCGGGCTTGAAGCGGCGGTTCTTGCGATCGGCCCAGTCTTGTAGTGAGACTTCACCGTCGCCCCAGGTATGCGATAGAATAGCATATTCGGGAATGGACACGTCAAAGAATTCTTCCACCTCGAGGGTCGTGGTATTGATAAGTCGCATTTTACGTCCAAGATGGCTGAAATATTAAGAATTGAAAGGTGAGATATTATTATTGTCCTCAGTAGATAAGTCGACCCGTGACCCATCGCGCAGCCTTATGATCGACCGAAATCAGCCCGTTTGTGGCTCAGCGTCGGATCTGTTGAGATTTCAGCCTGTTTGATTGGTGCTGTGAACACAGCCGCTAGGCTTAGACGGCAACGGCACAACATCATCAACCTACCCTACGCTTAATAGATAGGGTCTTTCGATTTCATCTTCCAGTTACACAATATCTGATTATTTCTCACTATTACAACCCTGAAACTATAAAAGAAATATAGTTTTTAAGTTGACATGCCTCTCTGGGAGGCTCCATAGATGGTTAGTTTTTCTACTAAGTAGTAGGATCATTACCAAACGACTCACCATAACTAGATAAGAGGCCCAAAAGTGAGATTCTGCTAGGACGTCAAGGGAGGCAAATGTATATATGACTTTGATTCGATAACTATAACCTCATTGCAAGATAATGCATCTTTCACCCTTTAAGTAAAAGCCTTATGAAAGTTATTAAACCCTGGGTCAACCTCCTCATCATCTGGCGTTCCATAGCCGCCTCCTCCAGGCGTATTGATCTGGATATACTCTCCAGGCACAAGATGCACAATCGCCTTGCCACCTAGATTAATTGCTTCCATCTCATGCTGCTCATTGAACTTAAAAGCAAGGTTTTCGCCCTTTTGGCCTCCATAGCCCCCAGCCATTCCGTACGGTCTGTACACCCGTCGATCACTCAGGATACTGAACTTGAGATTTGCGCGCGCTTCGATCTCGCGAATGATGCCATCGCCACCACGCCAGCGACCTTTCCCGCCGCTGCCCTCTCGGATGCCATATCTTCGTACAAGGACGGCAGTACGCTTTTCTATCACCTCACTATCGGTTTGACGGGTGTTCGTGGAATGGACCTAAATGTGGTGAGTGAATGATTCAGAATGAACGCGAAGGGGGCAAAGCACAACTTACGTGCACCCCGCTCGCACCGTTGTAGCCCTCACCAGCACCGACCCCTCCGCCAATCGACTCTCCATAATTCCACCCTGGTTCAGTCTTACCCGTCACTGGATTCTTGCCCCCCATGCCCCAACCGAGAGCATTTGCACAACCCTGACTTGCGCCAAAGCGACCGAAAGCACGGAGGACTAGGTCGATTACTCGCTGACTTGCCAGTGTTGAGCCACAGATGGCCACAGTCGGAGTGGGGTTGAGGATAGAGCCCACGGGCACGCGAATATCGCAAGGTGCTAAGCAGCCTTCGTTTAGGGGGATCTCAACATTGACCAAGCATCTGATGCTGTAGATGATCGCCGAGTGGGTGATAGAAATTGGACAGTTATAATTTCCCCACATCTGGGGACCTGAGCCAGCGAAGTTATATATAGCACTACCTGTGTCTTTGTCGATACTGATCCTGACTTTCATGACAGTGCCATCGTCCAGGTAATCTGTCGCTGATAGAGGACCCGGATGCTCATAAGCCAGTTTCTTAAAGAACTCTCGTACTGCAAGCTCTGCATTATCTTGGATACCCGTCATGTACTTGTGCACCACCTCTAGCGAGTACTCGTTGCAGAGCTTCTGAAGGAGGGTTATACCGCGCTGGTTAGCTGACGTCTGTGCTTTGAGGTCTGAAATATTGTCTTGAATACGGCGTGTTGCGCTGCAGCCAGGATAAGCACCGACTTTCTCAAACGCGGCCCGGACTTCACTTTCAAGAAACTCGCCACTGCTGACGATCTTCATGGATGGTACTATTATACCCTCCTCCCATAGAGACCGTGACTCGGGCATCATACTCGTGATACCCATACCGCCGATATCGGTATGGTGACCTCGAGACGCAACGTAGAATGCTATCTGATCTCCCACGAAAACAGGTGTAACCACTGTTAAGTCCGGTAAATGGGTTCCACCCCAAGAAGGATGATTCGTTAGAAGAACGTCGCCAGGTTTAAGCTTTCCGCTCCAGTGGCGATGCTGGGCCTGGACAGCAAATTGCATGCTTCCGAGATGGATGGGGATATGGGGAGCGTTGGCGACAAGTTTGCCCTCGGGTGAAAAGATGGCGCAGGAAAAGTCGAGTCGTTCTTTGATGCTGCTTGAGATAGATGTTCGTTGGAGGGTGTTGCCCATTTGCTCAGCGATGGCCATGAAGCGATGGGCGAAGACGGATAGTTGAATGGGACTCAGGGTGTCTTTCGATGTAGATAAGGTCCGTGAAATAGAACACTTGAGTGATTGTTCTTCAGAAGCTATCTTTTCCAGCACAACATAGTTGACTAGAATATGTGCCTGGAAGAGAGGTTCAACAATTATTGTCTGTGTCTCGTCGATTATAATTGCTGGGCCGTTGATAAGACTTCCCTCAGGGATATCATCCAGCTTGAAGACTCTCGTCTCCTGCCATGAGCCATCAAGGTATACTCTTTGCCTCACAGCAGTGTCGGAGAACAACTTTTGCTTACTTGAAGCCATCTCTTTGCATGCTGACGTCTCATGACTCGGTGCACCAGTGCTTCCTGAGCCTCGAACCTTGACAGATTCGATGATAATAGGCCTATTCATAGAAAAGGCAAATTCGCGTAGATGCAGAGCTGTAAAGGCAGCATCATAGTCGCCATCAGCGGGTTTAGAGATGGAAAGATTTGTATCAGTGCCAAAATACTTCAACACAAGTGCCTCGTCAAAAACCAAGCTTTCCTCTGAAGCTTTTTGGGACACCAACTCCTTAGTCACCTTGTCCTTCAGTGTTAGCAAGAGGCTTTCTACCCCTTTCATGGCTTTTATGTCGAGCTCGGCTGCGAATGGCTCGAACATCTCATACTGAAGCTCCGCATGCGCGATACCATGAGCTGAGAGCAGCGATGAAAGTTTGTGTATGATCACGCGCTTGATGCCAAGCTTATCAGCAATAGCACAAGCATGCTGGCCACCTGCACCACCAAAGCTCACGAGATTGTGGCTCTCAGGAGCGTAGCCTCTAGCCTCGGTTGCGTATCGGATCGGTCGACTCATTGTCTCGTTGGCTATGTTCAAGAACCCTGAAGCTACCTCCTCGCGTGTAAGATCCTGAGACGTCTGCCGGTTGAAGTCTTGAGTAATTTTCTCAAACTTGCTAGCCACGATTTCTGTGTCTATTTCTTGATCTCCAGACTCTCCAAAGATGGCAGGGAACGACGAAAGTACGAGCCGTCCGAGGAACAGATTGGCATCGGTAACGGTCAGAGGACCTCCCTTTCTATAGCATGAAGGCCCCGGGTGCGCTCCAGCAGACTCTGGGCCAACGGATAAGAACCCGTTACGGGCAAACAAGATTGATCCACCTCCTGCAGCTACAGTTGCAATATTAAGCATGGACAGGTTGATAGTTCGCCCAGCGATGGATGTCTGTTGGAGAAAGTCGTATTTCCCGTCATATCTCGACACATCAGTGCTTGTACCACCCATGTCGAATCCAATAACAGGTGTCCCCTCATCAACGTCGAAACATTTCGCTGTCCCCACAACACCGCCAGCTGGTCCGCTTAACAGTGCCTCGTTTCCTCGAAACTTATCGGCCTGCTTGAGCCCACCGTCAGAGCACATAAACTCTACCCTCTGGGGAGGGATCTTGAAGCCTGCTTGGAAATTGTTGATGTATCGTCTGATGATGGGGTATAAGTAGGCTTCCGAACAAGTAGAGTTGCTCCTTCTGAGGAAATTGATCGCTGGGCTGGTCTCAGACGAGATAGTGACGAATTGAAAACCGACCTTCTTTGCGATTCGGGCTACCATCTTCTCGTGGTCTGGAAAGATATAGGCATGCATGAAGCATACTGCGAGCGATGTGTAGCCTTGTTCCAGTAGGGCCTCGAGCTGTTGTCGTACGACTTTCTCATCAGGTCTCTTGAGAATCCGGATGACTTCAGCGCTTGGAGTTTTGACCAAGTTCGCATCGTTCTCGATGTTGACTGTTTTTTGCTTGTGAGGGTTCAGATCATAGTCTTCTATGGTGACTCTCTCATCAATCTCGATAACACTAGAGTGTAGGGCGGTTGGCTTGCGTATCTCAAGGTTGAACAATTCAGGACGAGACTGATCTCCAATAATGCAAACATCTTTGAAGCCTTTGGTAGTTGCAAAAGCAAAATTCTCGCCATTGCCCGTGAGGAGAGAATTCGTCGCAACCGTGGTACCGATACGGCATGATGCTGCGATATTTATCAGCCACGAAAGAAATAATTTGGCAACTAAATCCACCTATTCTTGAAGCATCAAGCTTCTCACCGACAGGAATGGTCTTTCCTTCATACTTCTCTAATACTCTTCGAATTGCCTCGGCTGGTGCATCTGGATAGTTGGATGGGTCCTCTGATAAAAGCTTGAAGATGAAAGGGTCGTTTCCATCAGCGCCTGTAGCGATCACATCACAAAATGTGCCGCCCCTATCGATTGAAACGCGAATGTCGCCCATGATGTCCAATACGATTTCTCGAACTTGCTACATAAGCACATAATGCCATCTGATGCTGGTTTTGAATCATTGATTGAAGCGATAGCTTTGGACAAGCCCATTATTCCCGCTATGGCGCAATTGGGATCTACAACAATGATCGGCATGGCCCCGACATATTCCTCCTGATCGAGGAATTTTCTTGGTATCGCCTCGACTCCGAACTGGCTTTCGCCGATCAGTTTGGCCTTTTCCTTGTCACGCTATCAGCATCACTAAATCGATGATTTTACTTGCATGCTATCTTATCTTATGGAGGCCACTGCTTCATGCTGGAATCTGTTAATTCTATACTCTCCAACACACGGCAAAGGTTTCAACATCGTCAAGCTACGCATGATCAGAAAGGAAGCATTTATTCATCATTTAATGTCTAAGCAATATCTAGGCCACCCAAAATCATCGATCATCAGAGCTCCGTTCATTAGAGTAATCCTATGATTCTAAAAACTCCCTGATCTTGGAAATTACCAAGTCTGTTTTCTCAATATGCACGCTATGGTTTGCGCCGGGAACCACGAGCAATTCCGCATTATCAATCCGATCAGCAATTAATCTCGAGTTATCTGGGCCTGTTAACATATAAGCATCCAGTAAGTCAACGGAGAGACCTACCTGGTGGACAAATCCAGTCCTGTTCGCCAACAATGACCAAAGTCTTGGCCATGATACTACCCAATTGGTCGACGTAATCAAAGTACTTTTCTTTCTGGGAATAAAGATCGTCTGCCTACCATCAGTGCTATACTATAGCATACGTTGGTGCATATGCCTTACTGTGTGACTCTGCGACATAAACCGTATCACGGCAAGACCTCAAGCCGGCATTTGCATCATAATCTTCTCGATACAGGGGCATCATAGCAAAATGAACCAGCTTGAAATCTTCGTCGTCGTCATATGCGCCAAAGACCTTGTCTCGCAGCATATCTTTTGAGAAGCTGGGTACTTTGCTGATTCTTGCTTCGAGGGTCTTGATGGCGCCCGCTTCATCTAGGGTCGGTGTAAGAATAAGGGTTCGAACTAAACAGTTATGAGACCTACGGTGATGCGAGGCTGCAGTCCCTCGTAGAATCAAGTGTGAAACTTTGAGGGGATAAATGATGGCATATTCCTGCGCGAGAAAGCCCCCGAAACTTCCACCGCAGATAATAACCTTCTCATCGGGTCCTGAGAAATGCTGTCGCACACCTTCAATATCATCGACGATCTGTTTGAAAGTGTAAGGTTTGGTACGGGAACTTTGGCCGTGCCCCCGAAAGTCAAAGGAAAGCACACGGATCATATCATTGAGACGGCTGTATACTTTGTAGTCAGACCTATGGTCACCTGCTATTATTAGACGTATACTCTCAGTCCAAACTATCAAAACATACCCATTCCTCTTCCGCCGTGAAGAGTAATCATTAGCGGCGCATCTTTTGGTCCGCTCAGCTCGTAAGCGAGCTGTGCTCCGTTTACTGTGATGAATTCAACCATTTTACCCGCATCGAAGAGTTGTTGAAGTTCAACAACGGCAAGACATGACTACCAGCGGAAATGCCTCCCTCAACGCCAGGGTGATGGAAGCGATCCAAGGCCACCGAGGATGATCCGAGCCTGAGCAACTGGTCCGGTTCACCGATCTTCACCAGGCGGGATTTCCCCGACAGGGAACCAAGTTGCCTCTTTGAGTAATGATTGCGGCCTCAGTGCGCGAATAACACAGGGTTCGCCGAAGCACGCAATTGACTATCTAATGGCAAATGGTTTGGTACATCCAACTTGACGTTACATAGGTAAAGTACTGAAATACCACTGCTCCCATGAGGGTTACTTTCATATCACTTCTGCGTCCTTCTTCAGCATTCACGACCGCTTCACCGTCAATCGCCACAATGGCTAGTCATGCAGTGGGCGACAATGCCATCAGTGCAGCACCCTTAGCCGCTACTGTTGATGCCAAGAATCGTGCTTCGATTACTTCTAGCCCTGCAGCTGCAAGTTTGAAAAACGACACTATTGCTACAGTGGCCAGCAATAGAAGATGGTTCAGCTGGCATGAGCCTGGGACGTCACCAGAGGAAAAGAAGCTTATTTTCAAGCTTGATTGGTTCATGCTGAGTTTTGCATGTCTGATGTTTTTTATCAAGCAGGTAGGTACTATGCTACCGGCGCTTACACTATGCTAATTCATGCAGCTTGATCAAAACAATATTTCCAATGCTTATGTGTCAGGAATGGCGGATGAACTCGGCTTCGGTCCTGGAAACGAACTCTCCTGGATGAATACCTATTTCTCCATCGGCACAATCTTGGGTGGTCTCGTCTCCAACTTGATCATCACCGTCTTGCGTCCTCGAATCTGGCTCTCAAGCTGCCTCATAACCTGGTCCGTCTTCGTCCTGGCTCTGTTTAAGTGTAACCACGCCTATCAATTCTATGTTCTTCGGTTTTTCATCGGTGTATTTGAGTCCGCTGCTTGGCCTGGCGTTATGTACTGCTTGGGTTCCTGGTATCGCAAGAGTGAGCTAGCACGTCGAAGTGGGCTTTTTGTAATGAGCGGTGTTATCGGCCAGATGTTCTCTGGATATCTGCAAGCTGCTCTATTTACTGGTATGCATGGCAAAGGAGGGATGTCCGCTTGGCGATGGTTGTTCATTTTCGATTTCATCCTCGCTATCCCAGTTGCGGCCTATGGATTTGTGAGTACTTTTTGTTCACTTTGTCACATCTCTTTGCTGACAAGATGGTTAAGATCACTTTCCCTGATACTCCACATACCACAAGAGCCTTCTATTTTAACGAATGGGAAAGAGAAAGGTCCCGCCAGCGTATCGAAGAGGAGGGCCGCAAGCCCGTGGGAAAGATGGACTGGAGTGTTATACGTCGAATATTTGGCTCTTGGCAGGTGTATGCGTTTACGGCAGCATACTCTTTCTGGACTTTGACATGTGGAAGGTAAGCTGATGCCTAACTTTCTGGCAAATTCGGCCTCTAACGGGGAGCAGTTACGTGATGCAGTATTTTGGGATCTACCTGAAAAAGACTGGTTGGTATACGGTACCTGAGATCAACAACATCCCAACTTGTATCGGTGCTGTCAACTTTGTGGTCATGGTATCAACAGGCTACATCGCCGATAAGCTCGGTGGGCGTGCTCTAGTCTGTGGTGTTGTAGGATGCTGGATGATTCTCAACTACTCCATCCTCACCGCGTGGGACGTTCCTCACAAGCTACGAATGGCGGCTTTCATCATGCACGGCTGCTACGGATGCTTCACACCTCTGATCGCAGGCTGGGCCAACGAGGCTTGTGGCGGCGACCAGCAGAAGCGTGCATTTGTACTGAGCTTCATGGTTTCTGTTGGTTCTGCGGTGGTTATTCCCTTCCAGCAGATCCAGATGGCATCTGGTGAAGCTCCTGAGTTTGCAAAGACGCATGGATGGGGAAGTGCACTGGCCTGGGTTGTGGCGCTGACACTGTGGACTGGTGCCGGTTTACCCTTGGTGCAGAGATGGAGGCAGAAGGAGGTTGTAGTGAGTAATCGAGAGGATGAGGTGACTGAGGTCTAGGTACTCTTCTATAGTTTCATGCCTTAATATCGAAGTCCAGATAAAGAGTCCAACTCCACATCCATGGTGCGGGCCAATGGAGCATCGTCGGCAAAGACAACCTTTCTACTACAGAATTTATTGCCGTCACCACCTTCACTCTCGTTCCGGTTTCTCAACGCGCTCGCTTGCCATCGCATCGAAGGAAGATCTTTATCCTGACGACTGAGACTGACGGCATTGCAAAGCCCTCGGGCCCCAGGGCTATGAACAATATCTATAATATCCATCGCCAAAGGCGCAAGTGCGGTATCACGGACTGTTTTCGTCTTCGTCGTCATGCTCGCACCAAAAACGAGAATTGCTGAGATCGTAAGAGTGGCGTTCATCCCCAGCCAAATTTAGAGCTTGATCCTGTCTGCTGCGATGTAAACTACAGGCTCCGAGGCTCTGAAAGATATAGGTTCGGTTTCGTTCTATAATCTCTTCATCAATGCACTCCAGGATGCGTGGTAGCCCAAAGTCAGCATGCCCGCCACATAAGCATCTGAATTGGGACTTATCCAGGGTTGACTGAAGTTCTGCAAGAAAGTATACTTCAAGCTTTCGGATGTAAAATCCAGAGCCAGACTAGCCAGCCAGTCATTTCCAAAAGCCCCGTCATTTCGTGTCACAGAGCAGGTAGCGTATGATTGCGACGTAGTGTCAGAAGAGACAACCTCACAGTCTCTTGCCCGGTACATGCTGCTATGGCTACTTCCGCAAACATGTAACAGTCGTAGTATACAATCTCCTTGTCTCCATTTATTATTTGAACCTGATGCTGACCAAAGGCGGGGAGTTTTCCGAACTGTTTTGTTGTTGTACGGCATCTATCTCTTTCGCTGATGCTGGAGTCAGGCGGAAGAGGACCATCAAAGGGCTCGACTCCGGGAAGTTGGACTATAACCAATTTAGTACCATAGAAGATACTTGCGTTTACAGGTGATTTGCCCTAGGGGTCTATTTCTAATCTATAATAATAGATATTATACTAACTAGTCTAATCTAAACTAGCTTTCTAATATTAAAATATTTAATAATATTTATATAAATTAATTAATTATTACTTAATATATTAATTTATTATATATTAGCTAGGAAACAAGAGAATAGAAGGTTAATATAACTACTAGTTAATATATATTTACTTATATTAAAATATCTTTTTAGATAAATGTAGTCTGGCTTAAATGCGTAGATGGGCTTATTTGCTATTATTGCCGCAGCACTAATTACCGCTGTTGCCCGCGTGTCATCGTATAGGATGGCCGGCCAATCTGTATGAGGACCGATCTCCCCGATCAAAGCTGGGGTCGCTATATCGAGTAGCGTGATACCAGGTATCCACGAGAGCGAAGACGACGCGAGTGGCGCTGCGAAGCTATGAGGCCACATCAGAATGATGACGGCTGTTGCCCAGAGAGACCAACGCAGCAACGTCTCTGTTTTTACTGCTGGGATGATGGGACACGTAGGCTGAGGAGACGGGTTAGCTCTACAAGCGTTACACCGCGCTTCTCGAGAAAGGATGAAGATTATCCCCCAAGCAAGCAGTGCAGAACCAGTGCCAGCAACAAGTCTGAGTGAAACAAGTGCCAGGGATAGCAGGCCTGTAACCTGTGCCTGATATAGTCGAGAATGGAAGGTGAATACAGTTGAACCGGATCCGATTTTGAAATGGCGGCCGTCTATCTTTATGACCAGCACCATGATGCCGATGGCTAGTCCGATGTGAATGAGGAAGATATACCACGATTTGCAGTCATTCCATAGACCGCGGTCATCTGAGCGGATGAAACATTGCCTAGAGGCGGGCTGTTCCGTTTCACCAACGATGTTGTAGACTGCAACAGAATTACTCGTACTGGGCGCCATGAATGATGTGCTGATAAGGGTAGTGTTTCTTATGCAGAGAAGGGAAAAGAGAGCGCGCAATATGTAAGAGATAGTGTTGAAGCCTATATACCATACACCAGGATAAAGGTACGGACAATTCTAAAAAGAGGTCAATACTCCCATTTCAGTTGAGATTATAACTCTTGTTGAGGAGTGTATTGTTCACAATATCTTGAAATGAAACTAAGTTTATCAATGTATTGATATTCAACAAGATCCAGCAGAGCCGCATAAATCAAGCGGGGTATGGACAACACAGATTCAATGGACTTCTAGCTCGTCTTGACTGTTCACGCAACTCGAAAGTCCCTATGCTTATCTTGGCGTAAGGCTGTATGGTCCCAATAACTTTTTATCTACCGACCTACCGCGCACCGTATATTTAGCAGCCAGTTGATAGCAACCAACATTGGAGTGGGGTATTAATAGATCATCGTCCTTTAATTGCATTACCTCGCATGTGCATCCCTGCACTGAAACTCTTTATGACCATTTCATGTACATACGTCCATCTTCTGCTTTGGCAGTCAATATTCGAGGCATTTCCTCTAGTCGCGTTTACGACCAGAAAGCAGATAAGATCAACTAAAAGACCAATTCCTTATTACTTAAAATGCTTATCACTAGTCAAACTAAACGATGTCTTTGTATTTGGATGAATTCTACGGAGTGCAGCATACAAGATCCAGGGACCATGAGAGCTGGAATAACCTACACTAACTGCTGAGCTCTACCAACCGTCTTAATGCCGACGCCTTAGGTAATCATTCCAGATCCTTAAAATTGGTAAGGAAAAGACTTGGCGGGGGTGACTCCGTGGAGATGTCTCGACTGGTGTGGAGAAACATGGTCTCCCCGCGGAGATGCAAAACTCTGTTCCTGACAATGTCATCCACGCCATGACATGACAGCTCGTTCTGATCTGATGTAAAACCATTCGATTCTACCTCGTAGAAGACTTCAAGAGCTGCTGATTTCATCGGGCCGTTATTGAATTGAGGCGCTGGCTGAAATGTACGCCAGCATGGCTTCACCTCTCACCGAGACGTGTGCCATGCGGTATTATCAGGTGAAGCAATATTGTTTATGGTCACCGGGCATTTCCGCTTGGTACGAGGCTCTGGCCATGAGCGCTGGGAATAATAGGAGATGGACTGTCGCGATATCCGTAGCTAGTGAGCCCGCCACTCCCGCGCCTAGAGCTTTTTGACCCATGCAGGACAAGACTTGGGAATCCCCATTGAGTTTAGTCGCTTGGAGAGAAGCTGATGGCAAAAGCATGTGGCCAATGGTGTAAATTCATGTCTAATTAAGTAGCGGTACTCTATATCTAAAGAATCATAACAATTTTCGTATCTATCATTCCACCTCCGAATGTCCTATTTCGCGAGAACACTGGCCGGCACTGAAACAGGCGCTGACTCGATCCTACTCTCCTCATCGGTGACGGTGCTCTTGTTTCTGTTGGCAAGGAAGTGCATGTGCATGTGAGAGTCCACATGGGGACCCTGGTACTCAACACCATCAATCTTAACAGGGTCCTCGTCAAACAAGTACATGTACCAGTAGTACACGCCGACAAACATGCCACCGCCAATAATGTTGCCAATCGTAGCTGGGATCATGCCCTTCCAGATGTACAGTCCAACAGTAAGATCAGGTGTCTTGAGCCAAATGGCGAGAGACATGTAGAACATATTGGCGACAACGTGTTCGAGGCCGAGGACAACGAAAGCAAAGATGGGCCACCACATGCCGATGACCTTGGAGGCGAGATCCTTGGCTTGGATGCCGAGGAATACGGCGAGGCAGACGAGCCAGTTGCAGCCGATTGCTTTGAGGAAGATTTGATGAACTTGGGGAGAGATTTGTTTCTTGCTGGCGAATGAAATGACGACTTCTTTGTAGGGTGATGCATCAAAGACTCCGCCATCTAAGAGAATGTTAATTGCGACCTTAGCACTGAGTGGGTGCCATGACTTACATCCCATAATGATGGACATGACAAATAGCGATCCTGCAAGATTGCCGAAAAAGCAAAGGAACCAGTGTAGCAGCATCTTTCGGATCGGAAGCCGACCTTGAAGGACAGCAGTTAAGGTAAACTGATACCTCATCAGCCATAATGCAATAATAAAGTATCAAGCTAGCTTACCATAGTAGTTGCAGTAAACAAGTCCGCGCCTGTAAGCACAACAAGCACTAGGCCCAAAGGGAAAACACCAGCGCCAAAAAGCTTTACCAAACCGGGCGCGTTCTCAGTGTACCAGGGGGCTGTCATGGCACATAGCGAGACGCCACAGCCAAAGCCAAGAAGGCATCCCGCGGAGACAGCAGAGAGGAAGACCTTGTCGGGACGCATGTTGCCTCTCTTGACGCCAGAACGGGAAACAAGCTCGATTGTTTCTTGGGGCGTGTAAGCCGCCAGGTTGGAGATGCTAACCACAAGAGGGTTGCTCATGATGAATTGATGTAACGTGAAGTTGTTGTTGTATACAATTGAAGAATTGGCTTGAGTGTTTGATAGAAGATGAGGCACTGCGAGCTTTTTATTCAGTCTTGATAAACACTATGCAAGCTTATCGCAGACTCAAGTCCGTTGTAGGCCCTGCCCTATCATGCCAAGTTCAAGCCAAGTCAGGAGAGTTATGGATTCTTATCAGCATGAGATCATAGACTATCGGACTGATGGTGAGATGGTTTTCGCTGTAGACGAGAGATCCAAGCCCTAGCAAAGAAAAGGACTCAGTGCTAGGCCCGGCGATCTCGGCCAGTCTCTCCACCATCAGAGCATGTTGGGAATGGAAAATCCAGCTGTTTCAGGGCTATTGACTTCTCGGCAGTGAGTGCTAAGACTACAGCGGTATAGCATAAACAATTCTTGGCTATCCGGTCCTATCACACTGTTGTTAAACAGGCTTGCATCCACTATCTGCTTCTCCTCCTCGGTGGCCTGACTTGTAGGATAGTTTATTAGCCTCATGACCCCTGTAGCGTACCGAAATTAACCACCGATGCGCTGGAATGGGGGGCAGAGCCGCAGAACCCCCCACTGCTCTATTTAGAACTTAATCTTTAGGTACCGTCCCGGCGGGCTCCGGTCATTGGGTCGAGATTTCTCACCTAAGAGAAAAGGGCGGAAGTGATGGAACGATTTATGTTCACCTTGGGCTGACCGACCTACACCGCCCCAGCAAGGTCAAGGTCAATTCAGCAGGGCCAATTACAGCATTTCAATTACCGAATCTCGCGGCAATAATTCATGTCCCAGCCAAACCTGCGCCTTTGCGCGCTAATCCTGGCAGCCAGTCCAGGGTCTATCTGCACCTTGTTTGCATACTGCAAAGTTACCATACAATTAAACATGTCAAGTTAATTAGTCGCGCATCCCACGCCGCATATGCCTATTTAATGTTGAAATGACGCATCGGCGGCCGCATATGCCTATTTAATGTTGAAATGACGCATCGGCGGCCGCATATAATGTTGAGGTTTTGATGCTTGCGGCCAATGTCGCGTCGTGGTTCTGGTCGTTTTGCGGGCCGCTGACGCCGCAGGTCAGGTCATTTTTCGAGATCGGAAGAAAAGATGGGGTTCAGCGGCCGTTGGAAACTGCGGGTTATGCATCTCCGGAAATGGTGGAGGTACAGGGTAACGCTGTTATCTAGGATGATCTCTGGGGCTTTGTGATATTTGACAAAAGAATATCATATCGATGTGTAATGCCTCGGCGGTATGATGTCTTGTCAAGATGTTATGAAATGTGGCGGGAATTCCAGCTGCAGATATTGTGAGTGGGAAAATTGGGGTTTGTGCATAACTCAATTACCTCGATTTCACACTGTTAGTTTTTGTATTCCGACTATTTTTTTTATTAGCATTGATACTATAGCGATTGGTCAGGCATTGTGGTGCAACGTCTAAGTTGTCAGCTAGATGTATTATTTGTAGTTGAGACCTGTGGCTGGGAGCTTATATTCACAACGCAGAACTTTAGTGCTTTAACCATTTACATTCTCGACTCTGCAACCATCTCATTTTCCAGCATTTTCCTTATCTCAACTATCATATTCTAATCTCTTTTGATTGACCCCCGATAAGCGTCACAGATGTCTGCAGTCCGAGTCAATATCTGCCGCCCTTGGCCTGCCTTGATCTTGACCTCATGAGCTCTGGTAAATAAAGGGGAGATTATTCTATCTGTTAGAAACTTAATTGCGAGCGGGGTTGCAATAGTGGCTGATGTTATGGAAAGCAATGCCATGTTATTTGCCATATGTATAAGGTTTGTAGAATTAAATTCAGCTTCCTATTTATTCTCTACCTCTGATAGTGAGTAGCCTCAAGTAGTTGTAATATGTTTGCGGATAGAGGATCAAGAGGGCTTAGCAGTCATGTGGATGAAGTTCTCGTGGCCATTGTCAAAATCCATTTCGAGGCAAACCCAATAACTCAAGGCGGATCCTGTTTCAAGATTTCAAGGAAACAAGGCGCTTCCTGGAACATTGTCAATCGGCTTTTCGAGTAGGTCAGCTCGACCCCTCAGAGACAAAACTGTATCGCGATTACAGTTCAAGTGAACTACCAAGTATCACAGCAAATCAGCAGGAAACTCTTGGACGCGCACATGCCCTAATTCGAAAGCATTAACGTGAATGATACTATATAATTGAGTTTTCCCCCTCACTGTCCCCTCGGTCGGGAGGATTTCATTCACAGGTTTTCCCTAATGCAGCAATAACCTCGCCCGATCGTCTATCCAAGTTCAACACAGCGAGTACTGCAAACAACGATACTGAACTCCCCAACGGGGGACAAAATGCGCTGGTACAGCCTCTACGCGGAGGCTCGACTGGATATACTCGATTTTGTCGCCAATTCCACTATCCATGAGAAAGGCTCCATCGCAAGATACGCCTGCGTATCTCGAGAATGGCAGGATTGGTTCGAGATATTCACATTCAAGCGCGTGGAAATCTCACCCTCCGATATCATGCCATTCATAACCGCTTTCCTGAATCTTCGCCGTCGAAAGTACCTCCAATGCATTGGCGTGAGACCCAATCTGCCGATTCATAAACACAATCGGGATCCGTTTCTTGATCGTGACAAATTTGTAAACATACATCAGCAAATACAAGCTCTCGCACAGAAGCCCCCTACGTTATACGGCAATTATCCTTTGCTGAAACAGCAAGAGGAGGAAAACAACTATGCCTTCACTATCATCTTGCGGGGTTTGTTCATAGAGCTTTTCCAGTGGAGAGTGGAGGACTGTCATCACGAGGGTATCGAGTTGGAGATCATTGCCGACTGCGAAAGTCATTGGCAGAAGACAGCGGGAGAATACCGGGAACTTAATTCTCCTAGCGGCACTGGCCATGGGAACTTTTATAACAGTCTCTCAAGTGAGCTTCAGATCTTTCATGCCCCTCCGTATCATGGACATCAAGTGCTGCACGATGGCGAGTTGGATTTTCACTTCTGGCTTAAGCCAGACGTGCCTTTCGGAGGGGAGTTGGGTCCCAAGGTCGACGTCATCTCAGGCCTATCGATCCTCCGAAGAACTGTTCGTCATTTCGATCCTGAAGCAATCGCCCATATCATAAGCCTGCTTCCGCGTCTCAGGGCACTCCGATGGGAGGTCAGACCTCATGCACATTGGGAAGCCGAGCATAAGTTTCATCATCATCTGCGGTCGCTTCTATTCGCCTTACCCCCGGCTATGGACAAGGTCAAAATCCAACAGCAGCCCACGTCAAAACCACTGAATAGTCCAGGGCCCTCTGAATACCTTCCAGGTCTAGGCCCACGTCTGATCCTATCATGTCCATACCTTACCAACATATACATGGACATCAGTGTCGACGTTGCCAAATTCTTTGGCATGCGTCATCGTTTGCAAAATATTCAATATGCCTGCATACGAACTAACCAGGCATTACTCGACGAACTTCCCAACACCTCGAATCAGCTCTTTGGCTGGATTGGCAAGGCGGTATCTACAATGCCAAAGCTCAGGGCTCTATGTGTTTTTAACATAAATGACACTGTAGCTTGCGTGATCAACTGCCACGTGGAGCGTGAGAGTTTCAAAGTCGTTGTCCACTGCAGTTGGCCATTCGATGTCAGAGATGATACTAAGGCCCGCTGGCGAAAGGCCGGGGGACATCAGCCTGACGAGTCTGTTCGGTTGGTACTAGAAGATTCGTACGACACGGTTAAACATGAGATTATGTTGCAACAGCAGTGGCATAGTAGTCTGTGCTGAATATGCTTAGTTTGCGCGGTTTGTTCGAATTCTTGATTGGAATATCGGACCAGGAGATGACGGCTTGCGAGAAAACGCAGAGGCAACATCATGTATTCAAAGAATTAGGTAGCTACTAAGTGAGGGGGAAAAGACAGACTACTTCATGAGACCACCAAGTTCAACCTACAATCTTCTAAGCTTATCAATGTTCTGCCATCATGATTCAGGCTCTAGATCTTCCATTCACTTAATTTAAGTTTCCATTTATTAGCCCTCAAAAGTTCGTACTGACGGCCGTCAAGCCCTGTCCCTATAGCATACTGCATCAGGGTTACTCCTTCGTAGCCCTTGACACACTCCATACAAGCAGACTGATCCGGAGATACACTCTTTGTAAATCCTTGTTTCTGAAAGAATCCCACATAATAATTATCAGCATACACCAATAGATGCGTGACTGATGAAGTAGCCTTGATATGGTGTTTGAGATGGTCCATGAGAGCGGCACCATAGCCTTTCACCTGCTCAGCAGATGATACGGCGCAAAAGACGATCTGCGCGACATGGCGTGCCTGAAGCTGCCGGATTGTTATACCGCCAATGAACCCTCCAGTTTTCTTGACGATGGTGATAGAAAGACAAGAAGGATCGTAAACGAGCCGTGAGATGTAGTCTTTTGGCATTTCGGGAAGCTGAAACTGGAAAAGGCGCTTGAGACAATCAAGAGCTACCATACTATCTGTAGCCCCATCGTTGTGGATAACTCGAAAATCTATCTCGCTGTTTCGCATTGCGATGACAGCGGGCTAAGGTATTGTCAGGCTCCTCCCTATCCATCGGATCGGCGCATCTCACCTTGTTGGGCAAAGGAGATCCGCGAACTGCATCATGATATCGAGCATCTAATTCTTCCGTCTGATTTTGACAAGCTTCTGAGCCTTGTGCATCGGCTGCCATGTCTTCTTTTTTCGAAGCTGAACTCACAGGAACGATTGATCTTCTAGGAGACGGGTACTCTTCGCTACTCATGTCCAATCATCGACGACGGTTTTTGAATTCCGACATGAAAAAGGAACAGAACTAAGTAAGACGGAGTCTAGAAGAGAACTGTTGAAATATTGGTCAGAAACTAGCAAGCACCTGACCAAACATGTGACCATACAGAGTAGTTGGTTGACTAAAGGTACATGAACCTGCCTAAGGTTGCCTAAATTGTTGCATAAATCTACCTAAGCCTGTTTAAATCTATCTCGATTTCTCTTAGCTTGCCTCAAATTATCCAAACTATTAATCCCTATCGACTCCACTGTACAGCGAAGTCCCATCTACAGCCCTTATCATAGACATCATATTCCCAGCACGCGACAAAGCATAAAACAAACCGGCATAATATGGATCAGTACCATCTCCAGTACCAGAAACATGCGTTCCAAACTTCCTAATTGCCTTCAACCACTCTTCAGCCCAGCAACGGAGAATATGACCCTTGACATCAATACTCTCAACAATCACCCAGCCAAGACAAAAGACCTGCCCACTCGCCAGTGTCACGCTGCACGAACTGGGCGAGCCATATTACAAACTTTCCGACATCAGACATGAGGGTAAACCATAACTGCCCCTCGAGGGCGAAGACAGAGGGGAAGGTGACGGCGTTGTACCAAATATGTTCGCCTGTTGCAACGGCAACTTTAAGCAGTGAAGAAGGCAGTGCCGGCTTTGGTGAGGATCCATAAGTCGAACTCTATGAATGCACATGATACAGCTAAGCAGTTGGCTCATGCGTTGAATGGACAAGGGAAATTTATTTTTCCTGGTGGGGGGATTTTGATATGAAGGATCTGTAATAATGGGGACGTGCAGATTGGGTTGTCATACAGACAAGGGAAAGAAAAGTAGGCCCAAAGCTCAGATATGAATGATGTATAAAGAGATCTAATTGCATTAGGGTTAAGTACATTGACGTTGCGTCACGAAACTAAGCAAGCTTGGAAATTTTATGTCAATTTGTAGTCATTTATCCTATCCAAGACTTATCCCAGGCTAACCATGTCCAGATCATTATTATTGTGCCTGTGCTATCCGACCCCTTCCATTCTAAGGTATCATGAGTGTTTATTTACTCGTACAGCAATCTATTCGAATCACCACCGGCGAACAATAGCGCGACGTCCCGGATATGTAGGCGCCACTGTAGCATTCTTACCCGACACTCCACCAGAGGGTAGAAGAACAGGGATGTCAGGATGCTGTAGGGCTTCTGCTTCAGCGATAGGCATCTCGCCTGCACCCTCATGAGGTTCCGCAGGCTGAGGTGCGGTGGGATGCTCAGCTGCAGGAGCCTCGTGAGCCATTGTTGCTATTGGCGCAGCAGGGTGTTCGGCAGCAGGTGCTTCGTGGCCCATTGTCGCGACTGGTGCTGCTGGGTGCTCAACAACGACGGACGTCTCATGAGCTGGTGGCGCTGGTGCTGGTGCAGCGGGATGTTCGACAACAACTGGTGTTTCGTGAGCTGGAGGCGCTGCGGGATGCTCAGCTACGACAGTCTCGTGAGGCGCTGCAACCTCTTCTGCTGGTTTGTGTTCAGGGACCTCCACGACAACTGTCTCGTGCGGTGGTGCTTCATGGGCTGGTGCTTCATGCTCAGGCTGCTCAATGACGACAACGGGATGTTCTTGCGGAGCCTCAACAGGATGAGCGGTAGGTTGAGCAGCGACGTGCTCAGTGACTGTCTGGATGACAGTGACATGAACTGGCTTCTCGACCTCGACAGTGTGAACAACCTCAACGGGCTTCTCAACCTCAACAGTATGGATCTGCTGAACTGGCTTCTCAACGACTTGAGTATGCACCACTGTGACGGGTACCTCAACGTTGACAGGCTTCTCGACTTCAACCACTGAAGTATGGACAACTGTGTTCTCAACCACGGATGTATGAATGACAGTCACGGGCTTCTCAACGGGTACTTCAACAGGTTGAGTGTGAATGACTGTAACTGGTACCTGAACTGGCACCTCGACTGGCTGGGTGTGGATCACTGTGACGAGCTTCTCGACCTCCACTGGCTGTGTATGGATGACGGTCACAGGTTGCTCAATTGTCTGGTGCACGACAGAAGTCTCAACGACTGTCACAGGTTTCTCAACCTCGACTGGTACGGTGTGAACGACAGTGACTGGCTGCTCAATGGTCTGATGAACAACTGAAGTTTCGACCACCGTGACAGACTTCTCGACTTCGACTGGTTGGGTATGGATGACTGTAACGGGCTGCTCGATGGTCTGGTGTACTACAGATGTCTCGACAACTGTAACTGGTTGTTCAATCGTTTGGTGGACAGTTTCAACAACTGTGACTGGCTTTTCGACCTCGACTTCGACGGGCTGGGTGTGAATGACTGTAACAGGCTGCTCAATTGTCTGGTGAACAACAGAAGTCTCAACCACGGTCACGGGTTGCTCGATCGTTTGGTGAACCGTCTCGATGACTGTAACGGGCTTCTCGACTTCTTGGTGGACGATTGAAGTCTCGATAACTGTGACTGGTTTCTCAACAGGCACATGCTGAACCTCCGTCACAGTCGCATGTACCGTCTCGGTTTGGTGCACAACCTCAGTCACATGAACAGTCTCGTGAACCGTCTCATGGACTACCTCCCCAGGTATCGTCACGTGCACAGTCTCATGGACTGTCTCATGAACAGTGACTGGCTCGCATGCCACGGGTGCAGCCTCCTCGGCAGGAGGATTTCTTCGAAAGAACGACGGAGAAGCAGTCGCCAGACCGGCAAAGGCGGAAGCAGAAATGATTGTTGAAAAGTGCATGGCAGGCCACTTCAACCCCGGACAACTGTATTAAGGATAAGCGATTAGGAAGGAAAGTCGACTCCGCGATACCAGATCGCGTGGGAGATATAAAAAATGAACGGCAGGTAATAAATTAAAAGAAACAAACGACAAAAAAGAATCGAATGGGGACGATCACAAAACACGCTCCAGGCGGAAATAGAGCAAGAAAATAAAAAAGAGAGTGAAAGGGATGAAAAGATAGAAAAGGCTAAAAGCGCGGGAAAAGCGAGGTTTTTCTTCGTCTTGGCCTTGATGTTTTGGCGTCGCATTCCTTCCAGGAACATGAGACGTGGCTGCTGTTCGGCCGCTGTTGAATCCGCCCCAAATGTCATGATTTTGTTTTTCTCGCGCCTCGTTCCCAGCTCGGAAAGTTGGCACGCCGCAGGGAGCGGTGTTTGGAGGAGGCATCTTGGCGATGTGCACTTGTCTCGGCAGTGATTCAGCTCCCCCTGGCCGATATCAAGCATAATAGAGTAGTGTTGGGTTGACCGTTAAGCTTAAGAGGCATAACGTTAAGTCAGATAACCTTAGAGCCTTGACCCCCTGTTGTGAAACAGTCGCATTGGGGCTCATAGCGGGCTTGGCGACCTCCTGGCCGATGTTTCCCTGCAGCGGAAGACCTTGGTCCCGGCCTTGGAGACCCCGTTTCTTCGTTTCAGCCTTGTTACCACATTTTATCTACGAGATTGAGAAGAAATGACTGATGTTATACGAACTTGGGATGAGTTGGCTTCTTCACCAGCGTTTTGGGTTAGCTGTCAAGGTCTCATCTTGACTATCCTGAAACAAAACCCCGCCAAGTCTTGTATCACGGATCTTGCGGCAGGAGACTCGTCAATTCACGTAAGATAAATAGTCTTGGGAATTCCTTGCGAAGGATGTTTTCTTTTTTTTTTTTTTTGGTGAACTGTTCGTAGAACTGCAGTTCTTGCGAGTCTGGACTGGAGAAGTTAACATGAGTTGTTATCTTATCTTCAGTCTTGTCTTATCGTGATCCCGCGGTTCAGGCTATCCTTGGCAAGAAGTGCGGCTGAGAGAGGCATGGGATTTCAGCTTCAGTACCATGCTTACTCTTGCGATAATTAAATGTCCCTAATACTTCGTAATCATCATCCATCACCAGAATTTCACAAAGGTCTGGTGCTCCACTGCGCGAATCTTTTGTATACATCCTGGCACATAATTGCTCGTAAACAACCACGACGGGTTCTCAGCATGACTAGCCAGCATCCCTTGGTACAGACGCCTTCTGACCGATTAAGTCACCTCTCCGGAATCCCACTTGATATGATCCTCCAACATCTCGATCTTACATCATTCACCAATTTACGTCTTACCTCACGCCAGCTATCCACCAGTACCATCTCTTCTCATTTCTTCAGATCCGCCAAGACCGATCTATCTCTGAGTAGTCTACAATCTCTTGCAAATAGAGTCTCTCATCCTCAGCTGGGACCCGTACTGATAGAGCTCACTGTTGTTTCAACGCTCTTTGATACCCAGCCAGCTGAGGCTACTGTGCAAACTAGAAAGAAATGGTCTGGATTCGACAAGGACGAACTGCGGCGTGATACAGAGAATTATCGCCAACGCGTCGAAAATCTGCGCGAGAGGAACGTGGCTTGTACTGAAGACGAAGTACAAAAGGCGCAGCAAGATCTTGAATGGATACGGACAAGAATCCAACAAGATACAAACACGGACGTCAACCAGGTCACTGACTTGCTGTCCAGCATCTTTGAAATTGCTGCCAATCTTCGGGCTATCAATCTAGATGCCTGTATCATCGCAGGTCATACCAAGACCTGCCGACCAGCTGAACATTATCGATGGTATCGATCCGCCAACCAGAACTCAAGTTGGCCTTCAATCTGGACCGCAGCATCTCAAACCTTCCGCCTCGTCACCTCAGCCATATCCCGCAGCAGGATTCAGCTTGAAAAGCTCCAGATCTTTCCCGACACGCCATTATGCAGTGTGCAGCTGAGACATGTTGAAGATCATTTGAGAACGCTGGGCTCGGCTGGTTTCGCAGCTGCTTGCAAAAGCATCAAATCTTTCGGGCTGAGCTTCTCAACGCATATACTCATCGAAGCACCGCCCACCCAGGGAGAGTGTCTTTTTCGTCATGCTTTTGCAGCAAAGTCTCCCTACAAGCTCAATCAGCATCTTGAGTCTGATGCGGAAGATTTCACTGGCGCAGCAACAATTCTTACATATATGCCCAATCTCACGTCCCTGGATCTTCATCTTCATCATTTAGATCATCTCGTTCTTCCAAAATACACCAAGGTCTTTTCTCATATTAGCCAGAACATTAGACTCAGCCGTTTGAGGGAACTTTCTTTGCGAGGTCTTCCCCTGCGACCAGACGACCTCATCCTCTTCTTAACAAACCAACCCACTATTACAAAGCTGTCTCTTGATGGCATTCTCCTAGTGGGCGGATTATGGTCAACCGTGTTCTCATGCATCGAGGCTATGCCTGCCTTGGAGAGTCTTCACCTCAGCTCCCTTAGTACGGAATACCACCATATAACGAATCTCGACCCAGTAGAGCGCACTGTCGAAGTTGACTTGCAGGACAGAGAGAAGTGGGTTACTTGCGGAGATGGATATATCCTGCACACTCGAGGTGTGTGCAGAGAGGAGATTCGGCAAGGGCTGGATTTTAGGCCTCAGTCGGGACCTCGAAACATCTGGCGTGATGATACGTGGGCGTACTTTGACCGTATTCAGTACGAGTTCGGGCCTCCTTCGCGTGTATGGGAGTGGGAACCATTGACCGAGAATATGTAGCATGCGTTGTTAATGCAGTAGGAGGGAGAAGACTTACCCTAAGCAAATAATAAACAATTTATTATCTATCTCAGAGTAGGCAGACTTAATATAAAGATTAAAGAAATTAATTCTAGGATTATTAGGTAATTATTATATTAGGTAAAATAGTTTATAGAATGTACAATTGATACTAGGCGTTTCTGCTCGATGCTGCTCAATATTTGACAAAGATTGAAACCTTTTTATAAGTAGATTGCTGGCAGCATATCAAAAGCTCAACGCGACTACTTCTTCCCTATTAGTGAATGAATACTTGTTGGCTACAAGTTTAAGCTTCAGGCGAATCTCGGGGGATATATAAATTTAAAGAAAATTTCTGAGGGCTCGAATATGCCATTGAACTTGGCATCGATGCAATTTTGTGTCGATGTCAAACAGTCCTGGCGCAGCCCGGATATTGCGACGGAAATGCGGTAACCGGGGTGATGATTTTGAGTTTGTTGAGTGCGACGCGTTTCAGGCATTTACAGTGGGAGGACGATTCACAAACTGTGCAATCGTAAATGCCGTGCAAGACATTAGGTCACGGTCAAATCGGCAGTAAATATCGTCAATCAATATACATTGTTCAAGGAATGTCTATAGTCTAAGTCTAAGTCTACTTTCTAATCGTATCTCGTCAAAGACGACCGGTCGCAATCGTTCGACACAAGTGCATCGCCCTCCATAAATATAAGGATCGTTTCGTTATTTTTGCGTTGGATCGTTCGTCATATGCTACCGGTAGCAGCGCGGTCTTTCTCTTCTTTCTTTACTGGCGGGTGTTGATTGGAATTCGAGTCTCATTGGAATCTAACATCTATGCCTTAGCTCCTGTAATATTACAAATCTTAGTCAAACAAATGTTCATTTGCGCTGTCCACGAATGGTGTCCAGGTCCTTTTTTATTCAGTCCTGGGTCGCTTCCGGGACTCACCATTCTCTCCCTGCTCCGAAAAGTACTCCAGGCTTCCCTTGGGATCAGCCTTCATGGTCTTTCCACCCTCCTGCCATCCGGCAGGGCACACCTCGCCGTACTCGTCGGTGAACTGGAAGGCCTTGACGAGGCGGATGGTCTCCTCGACGTCGCGGCCGACGGGGAGGTCGTTGACGGTGATCTGGCGGAGGACGCCCTTGGGGTCGATGATGAAGAGGCCGCGGAGCGCGATGCCCTCGTCCTCGATGAGGACGCCGTAGCTGCGCGAGATCTTGGTGGACTTGTCGGCGACGAGGGGGAGCTCCAGGTCGGGGCCCAGACCGCCCTGCTTGCGGGGCTTCTCAACCCACGCAAGGTGGGTGAAGTGGGAGTCGGTGGAAACGCCGAGGACGGTGGTGTTGATCTCGCGGAAGCGGTCGAGGGCGTTGTTGTACTGGATGATCTCGGTAGGGCAGACAAAGGTGAAGTCCATGGGGTAGAAGAGAAGAACGACCCTACAGGAATTGAATCAGTTTAACCATCCAGGTTCTCAGGGGGAGCGTGAATCGTACCATTGTCCCTTGAAGTCAGAGAGCTTGATGTCTCTGAACTCGCCTCCAGGGAAGAGGGTAGTAGCCGAGAAGTCGGGAGCAGGGCGCTGAACAAAGGCTGAAGACATGATGATGGTGTTTCGTGATATCGATTGAAGAATCTAGAAGGTCAAAAAGAAGGGGAGGAGAAAAGGTTTAAAAGCGAGAAGCTTCGACGGAACGCGACTAAGAAACGTCTCAGGAAAAAGCAATCACTGTGGAGCCCGCGTTATCAGGGGCCCGGTCATAGAACAAGGTGGAAATCATCAAATTTTAGCGCCATATTAGCTGATACCGTGGTAACATACCGGTTCACGGCTGAGCAAGTAAAGTAACTTTATGTAATTAGTGCTATTGACTCACGAAATTCTTGGTGGCATTTTCGATGGCGGTGACGCAAATGTGGACTGACTTATCTCTAGACGGTGTGAATGCCGAAAAACGCGTTCCAGAAAAGAAAAAAACACGTGCGGTACCTGCGGAGACGACGCAATTTGATTCCAAACTCGCAGCGCCAATCAACGCTTATCAATCGTATCCATTTATATCCGGACCGGCTTCGGAGTAGCTCGGTTCGGAAAACCGAGCTCACCCTACACCCATCTTATCAGTCCTACACGCACACATCTTGTCAGTTGCGATATCGCTGCCATTCTTTGGAATCTGATGTTGATCATGATTGTTTTATTAATAATCTGATAACAAAAAATATCTAGTGTTTTAATCCGTTGCCGTTCTTTGTGCTCTTTGTGGCGAGGAGATTTGCTTCGTGGATTATGTCTGACATGTCGTCGAGCGCTAATCGCGGACTCAATGCACAAATCCTCAAGGCTACTTTCCCTCGAACCTTTGTGGTCAAGATGCCGGCTTTGTTACTTGAGATGAGACTCTTCGAGATACCAGTGTTGATAGTCTCGAGCCCATCTTCCGCCAAGCCCTCTGGCGCATAACGGAATGTTATAACGCCCAAGCTAGCAGAGCTGACAATCTCCCAGTCAGGTAGTTTTCTCAACTCCTCTTCCGCCCGCTCAGCAAGATCAAATCCATGATCAATCATCTCCCCAATCCTCTCAACACCAATGACCCTCAAAGTGAACCACAACTTCATAGCCCGCGATGCAGGCCTCGTGAGCTCCATGCTGTAGTTCCAAAAGTTTGGAATATCCTCATCTTCAATCGCCACACCATCGCGGAGATAATCTCCTTCATTCGCAAAGCTTCTCACCAAGTTCGCTTTGTCCTTCACCAAGAGAAGACCGCAGCTGTAGGTTTGGAAGAGCCATTTGTGAGCATCCCACGACATGCTGTCGGCGTACTTGAGTCCATCGACTGTCTCGTGGCGTGTCGCGGATAGAGTTGCTGAAGCGCCGTAAGCGCCATCGACGTGCAGCCAGATCTGTTCCCTTTTACAAATCTCTGCGATTTCGGGTAGAGGATCAATGGCGCCCGTGTTTGTCGTTCCACAAGTCCCAACCACCAAAAATGGTACAAGACCTGCTTTGCGATCCTCCTGAATCGTCTGAGCCAGAAGAGTCGGGTCAAGCCTAAAGTCCTCATCCGCAGGCAATCGTCGAATCTGCTCTTTATCAAAGCCAAGCATTCTCATAGCTTTCGCAACAGAGTAATGCGTCTGGTCCGAGAGATACGCAACCGCCTTCCCCGTTTCACCATGTGGTACAAAGCGATCCCTCGCAAGCACAATCCCTATCAAATTCGCCATTGAACCACCTGAGACACAAATCCCGCCTGCACTCGCGGGAAACCCAACCCTCCCTGCCAACCACTCAATCAACGTCTTCTCAATAACAACAGGTCCTGAGGCTTGAAGCTTCGAAGCACCGAGTGCATTAAATGCACTGGCTACTATGTCGCCTAGCCAAGCGACGGGCGATGTAGGAGAGGGGATGAAGCCCATGAAGCGAGGATGGTTGACGCGCATGCGATGGTCGAATGCAGTGAAGGCTTCTTGGAGGACTTGGTCGATTGAGTGCGCTTGACCTGGCGTTCCTATCTTTTGGAGGTAGGGAACGTCTGAGGGTTGTGCGACTTTGATGATGGGGTCATTTTGAACATCTTGAGTTGTTGATGCTAAGCGTTGGGTTATGGATTGGAGAGCTGAGCATACTGCTTCAAGCTCGTCGTTGTGATAAAGGGAACCCATGTTGAAATAATGCTAAATTGTCTGTTTGTGTTCTCAATTCTTGATGTCACCAATGCCGTCTTAAATATCTATATGCTTTGATGTCTCCATTTTGTATTCGCATATATCTCCATCGACCAATGCTACCCTCGCGCCCTCTATGTCCAGATCAGTGGGGCTATTCGTTCACCTTGGCATGTCAATTGTACGCCTTTCGATAATTTTGTAGATCCTGTCAGCATTGCGCAAATGCTTAGCTGCCATAGGCTGTGAAACTTGAAACTAGCGACGTTTGATTATCTGACAAGACCCGTTTTGCCGTTTTGGGTAATTTTTGGAGAGGTTCGGATATCCGAAACCTGCTGATGCAACGATTTCTAAGCTGGAATGGGTTATGAATGTCAATTGATGGAATTGTGAGAGGCAAGAAGTAATGTTAGCGAGAATGACACGTTGTAGCCGTTTTCCCCCCTGGTTATACATGCGTCACGGCCACGGCGATAATCTTGAGGCAAATGGTGGGGTCCCTAAGTGAGAGTTTGGCAATGCGCACAAACGACGCCCTGCCAAAGACTTAGGCGACCTTGACAGCGGGAAGATAACAAGCCGGAATACTGTAGTTTTTCATTGAAGATGCGCCCGTCTCGAGCCCTCCTCAAGTGTTGGTTCAGCAGTTAATTCTGGTTGGCCAGATGGTTCTCAGGTATCGATCAGGCTGCAACCTCCCCTTCTCTCTCGCCTTATTCAAAAACGAATTTTAGAACAATAGTCACACACGGCACGAAACACTCCTTATCATAGTTATAATGGCTTTAACAGGTTATTTTATCTTCCCCTGGATATCTTAATGGCTGTATAGGTTAGGATATTCTTGCAGGCAGGAAAAGAGTGCGAAATAACTAGAGTATACTACGAAAATAACATATCTGCCAATGATGACGACCTTAGCTGAGCAATGATATAGCTTGTATAGTATGATAACGGGGCCTGAGTATCCTTAAAAATGGCTTCTAAATTAAGAATATATTGGTAGGTCACAGCCAGCCATAATATTATGAAACAGAGAGTTTTAAGCCCAGATGCCACCGCAGCACCTGATATGAGCGTGGTAAACCGAATTCAGGAAAATGGCCCAGCGTATCTGGAGCGGGATTCCTATCTATTTCGCCTACTGCCACTATCAAAACCGCTCAATCGGATTGGCCTTTTTATGCGACGCGGCAGGACCACGATGGTAACATATCCCCGATCGAGCTGTGTGCAGTAAACTCAGGTGGTTATATCCGGATAATCTCATCGCTTTCCCTAAAATGCAGAAATTAGCGTGCACCAGCTTACGCTTCAGCTGCTATAATTGGATAATGATGACTCTTAGCCTTGGGCCTTATGATTCTCTGTAAGGGTTATGCGTTATTTAATTAATTCTCTCGCTAATCTCACATCCCGATCCTTCACTTTAGCAGATATGAAGAACAACTCAACGTCATAATCTAAGTGACCATAATAACAAACCAGTAATGATAAGAAAAGTACGTCATGGTGCTCGGGGTACTAAGAAAGTCACCACGGGATGTTTGACATGCAAGTAAGGAGGCTCCTCCCGTACCCCATAGGATCATCTTGTTAATCCAGCAGTAGAAGCAGGCATAAGAAGTGCGACGAGGCCAGACCAGCTTGCTCACCTTGTATCGGGGCGGGATGGAAATGTGACTTCGCCTCGTCAGCTCCCCCCGGGGCACCGCGGTACACGGCGACTCCTCTCATTTGTAGTCTGCGATACCCTTCTGCTAGGCCTTTACTGGCTGGCGAGTATCAGCACATGGAGTACTTTCGGGTCGTGTGTGTTGGGGAATTTTCTTTATTTTTTGAAGTCACCGAGTGGGAAAACATCATCGTCCAGGGCACTCTCGCTGAACCAGCATTGCATCATGCTGCCCTAGCAATCGGGGCCTTGGCTAGCAGCCGTTACCATCCTAGCGTATGGCAAAGCACCCCAGCGACCGTCTTTTCAATACGGCATTATAGCATGGCCATCCAGGATCTCCAAAGTCGGTTTGATGGATCTCCCCAAAGTGTAGAGCTTGCCGTCTTGGCGAGCGTTCTCTTCAGCTACATCGAATTTCTTCTAGATATCGATAGTCGGGTCGAGATGCATATTCAGGCTGGGTGTTCCATGCTTGAGAACCTTCTCACGAGGCACGATATGACGCTCGCACTTTTGAGTCGGGCTGGATCGAATTGCGAGGTTGGCAGTTCATCTACTAGGTATCATCTACTTGCTCGTGCTATGTATCAGGTCACTACACAAATTATGTCTTTGCGGCATTTTGCTCGAACAATAATAGTTGATAAATAGATGCTTTTTATTAAAATAATGATTAATAGGATATTGGTTCAAGTCGACCTGTACTCAATGGGCTTCACACAATGCAATAAAATACACCAAGATATACACTGGTCAGTAATTCCTTACTAGCTTAGGTCTAGCGTACTACCGTTGGGAGAGGGCGTATAAACGAATGTGGAATACTACAACCAATCGCAGTCTTTAAAGCGTATCTTTTGTGTTTTGATTCGATGACGAAACCCCAAGCCAGAAGGAAAAATCGCAATACTAACCTTAATCGGTAAAAAGTGTCATATTCCCGTATTCTTCCTGCTACGCTAGCGCTAACAACTATGGGCTAGGTAGGTAAAATCCTCTGTCTGCAGTCAAATAAATCTTGTATCTGTAAATGCCGAGCTTTTCGGTCTTTTGCGAGATTGGGTTGGGATATAAATACAGACGTAGTAAGGCATCTTATTCTCAATGTTCCAGATTCCTTAATTCTTTACCTCTCAGACCGTATATAGATTAGCCAGGCAGTTTCCCCTTCACCATCACTAGAGACTCATCGCACAAGAATTTACATCCTGCCCAATAACTCGAATCAACTATGGCCTTCTCATGCTCAACCTATACTACAACGCGCGCACTCACCTACTCTTACATTCATATCCCGCCCCAGCTCCCAAACACTCAATACTTTCTCTTCCTACATGGCTTCCCCTCTACATCGCATCACTGGCGCCATCAGATTTCCTTCTTCAAGGCAAAAGGCTATGGAATCATAGCACCAGACTTACTAGGCTTCGGGGAGACGTCAAGACCGACTGGGTTAGAGATGTACAAGGGTGAGGATATGGCAAGGGATATTGTTGAAATCTTGATGTCAGAGGGCGTTGGAATGATGGTGGGCGTGGCACATGACTGGTATGTTAAGCTCATTCGCCTCTCTGGTTGTCACATCCAAGCCGTTCTAAATGGACAGAACTGTAACGATGCTAACGCTTCATCCTTCAGGGGTTGTTTCCTTTTGTCACGACTAACAAATTATCATCCCGAGCGCTTTTCGGCCTATGCGTACATCGACCACGGATACATGGCCCCTGGCCGTAGCCTCACTACCGCGGCGGTACAACATATCAATAGATCGGTGGAAGAAAAACTTGGGTTTTCAATCCTTGGGTACTTCCTTTTCTTTGATGACGAGGATGCTCCTAGGCTCCTAGATGAACATGCAAGTTCCTTCCAAACCCGGTAGATTTTGACTTGCTAAAGTATTGGCGACACTGTAGTCCGAATCGGTAGAGTCCCTCTACTTTACTACCGACGAAGAGATCAACAAGAAATACAAGGGCGCTCTGGGCGGTTTACGCTCTTGGTTGACCGAGGGCAAGACTACCAAGTTGCCAGCCCATTTGACATCAGAGGTAGAAATTCGATCTGTGATGCATGATGTTACATCCAAATTAACGTACATGGAATAGGATCGCAAACATTATGAACACGCTTTCTCCAAGGAGAAAGGTGGCTATGGCCCTGCGATAAACTGGTATAGGGCTTCTCTGCGTAACATTAACGAAGAAGATGAACGAAGTATGCAATTCCTCCCTCTATGCCCTGTATCTCTTCCTCTCCTCTGCAGCCCCCAGTACCTAGAGATTGCTCTCTGGCACCTCCGCTTCCATATTTTACTAATACCGAATCAGAAATCACAACGGCTGCCCACGTCCTAACGCACCCAACCCTATTAATCGCGTCTACGAACGTCATTACTGCCACAATGAATATTCCAGAGCAGATGCTCCCTTTCGTGCCCGATCTCATAGTTGAGCAAGTTGCTGGTGGACATTGGCTGCAGCTAGAGAAGCCAGATGAAGTGAACAAAATTCTGGATAAGTTTGTAGCAAGGTTGGGAACCGATTAAATCGATTGATCAAACATTGGCAGAGAGTCTAAAACTGACAGACCTCAACATCCCTTGCAATCCGATATCGCTTTAAAGAAGAGACGATTCTATAGTAGCTTAGTGTTATATCTAATTTATGTGCCACTTGCGTCTCGGGACTGGAGAAGCTTGAATTAAAGTAGTCCCAGCCGCTTCGGTCAAATCTACAGATAGCTTCCGAAGTCTTTTTTTTTTTTTTTTTTTTTTTTTTTTTTTTTAGCATGTTGTCGAGGCCTGTGATGCTGATTTCGACGTGGACCGGGTACAGCGTCGTGAAGCAGCCCACCATTCTAGAAATGTGTAGCGACTCGCATGTCCATACCCCCATGATCCTTGAGTGAAACTTGGAAGCGCACATATGTCTACCGAATCAGAGACGTCTCTGACCGAGCTGGTACGGCAGGATCCGAGGATCCGTAGATCGACGGGGACTTGTCCGAAAAGCAGCGTCGTGCTAAATCCTGTTGATCCCCGCCATCCGTATACGGTCCTATTGACAGGGAAGGAAATATAAATGGGGAACTTGGTGCTCAATGCTTTCTTTGTGAATTAATCGAGGGCCTGGAACCCCCACGCTCTGTGTTTTCAGTCAGCGCTGACTCTGCGGAGGCTACCCCGATCCCGTAATGATGTCTACTCAATGAAGTGTATCAAGTCTAAAATCTTAAGTTAAAGTTTAAATGGCACTTTTATATCCAATTTCATTATCTATGCTTGATTTGCGAGAATAGCCTGTTGACCAACTCAAGTGAAAGTAATTATAATAGCCGTTGCGATGAACAAGAGCGGTTGACGTAGCTTTCTATTATCGCCAGAGAAATATTAGCTGTATCGAAACACAGATAGTCCCCGGAGCCGGAAAACCTTAACCGCAATACTCCGCAGTACAAAATGGAACAGGATATAATTGTAATAAAGGATTTTAGACTACGTCATAACGTACCAGGCTTGTTCGTTGAAATGCCGCCTTGCCAAGTAAATGTTCTGAGGAACAAGCTCTTTTTATGCCGCTATGCCCTGGACCTACCCTCGGACCCTCGGACCAGCCCTTAAGTCTAACGAGCATAAGCTTAGCCAACCTTGCGTCTGCGGCGCTAAGCCTTCCGGGCAATGTTATTTCAAGCAATGGACATGATCCATCTGTTGCCACACTACTGTAGAAAGGACTTTAATTCATCTGTTGCTCGTGGAGATTCAACTTCACTTCGCTGGCTGGAGCATCACAGAGAACTACAAAGAATGCACTCCAATTAATTAACTCCAAACAAGGAAATATTCCATGAGATACAGTCATGTGTATGCGTTGTATGCAAGCATAAGCTCATGGGCTTTAGAAGAAAAGTCGTTGCCCGTAATAAGCCGTATCACATCAATCACTTTGCATGAGCCATATTCACTCCATCCTAAGGAACCTTTGGTGATGTTACAACGAAGGATTGCTGACAGGCAGCCGGCACCTTATCGTCTCTTGGCATTGGAAGTCTGTACTAAGCAAGTGAAGGAACGAAGCAATTCTCCGAACGTGCAGTTTCTTGCCGGATATCGAGATCAGACGCTTCACTGCACTTTGACTGGCGGCCAATAGGGACTCAAGGTCGTTGGTGGGAAGCGGGCCGTAAGACTGCCAAGGATCTCGATGTCGAATGCGGGTATTCAGCTCCGCGTAGATCTCTCCATTTGTAGCCGCGCAGTTCTAACCTTGTACTTAGTTGCAGTCTGCTTACTATAGAAGATTAGTCTTTTTGAGATCGCAGCGTGATCAGTCTACTTCAAGGCAAATTATGTGTCATGGCACTTGTGAAAGGATTCATCATGCGTTTTAGTCTGTTCTGAGCCGAATCTGGGCTGAGGCAGGTTGATCATACTGTTCCTCTTGTTACTCAAGAATCCGGTAATTGGTATCCTTAGGCCTATAAATATGCGTTGACTTCCCGCTGCTCTTGTCTGGCTAACAGATATTCCAAGGCACACTCTGAAACCAAAGAAACAAGACCAACTAAACCATCTTTCATCCTTCCAACAGCCACGATGTTTTCGGTGAGTCCTGGAACAACCCTCAGGTAGCCAAGATTAAGGAAAAGTAAAACCAACGTTGTCAGCTCCGTACCACCTTGACCCTCCTCGCCCTTCCAGCTCTTGCTGCAGCCGGCAATGTCTGTCTCGGTGTATTTGCTGTAGCTGGTCTCGGTGACGCTCCCCCTGACGTCTACTACGTCGCCTTCGCCGCCGGATCGCCATGTGACGAAAGTCGATCAGCCATGTTAACCGATACTCTCAATGAGAACTGGTGCTCAATTTCCAATCGCGCCCCGCAGTTCGACATGTGCGGCAGCACGGCCACCATCTTCAATGCTGGAGAACCTATTGGCGATGATGCGGACTTCAATGACTGCGGTGCCAAGTTGAGCATCAATGGGGAGGAGTTTGATGGAGAGGTTCTTGAGGAGCTTGCGGAGGATAACCCTTGCAGCGCCACTTGCAATAACGGTATTGCTTTTGGCAATATTGGTGGTCTGAGGCACTATGTTGATGTGCCCATGTGTGACTAATGCTGGGCTGGTTTATTCGGAGAATATCGAGACAAAGTAGTTGAATACACTTTACCTGAAGAAGCTATTAAGGTGTATTTTGAGAACAATGCGATTTATCTTTGATTTGCATCCATGCGTGACGGTGTAACAGTGTTGAGGCTCAGGGCTTTCTCGATCTCTGCATTACTCGGGATATTTACCACCCCCCAAATGCTTATTCTTCTTGAGTATAGTTACTTTCCGCCGCTCCCGAATTGCTGAGACACAAGTAATGGGGTTATCTATTTAGGTATTAATGGGAAACAGGAAAGGTCAACAATACCGCCAATGTCAAACTCATTGGGAGAAAGAATTTACAACAAGTTCATATAATAATTTAAAGTCTTTTTAATTAGAAAGACAATTTATATGGAAATGGGCTTGTAATAAATAATAGATAGTGGAATTAACTTTCGGCTGTTTATGTCATCTGAGGATGACTTCAGATGTTGATCAATGACGTATTATTGATGTTGATATGTGGTGACAAAGCGACACATCATGTTCATTACTTATTCGAGAAACCCTCCTCGTTCAATTACTCCATTCCACACGATAAATCCAAATCACAAGTCACCATGTCAGGAAGTGCACCTAATGATCCTGCCCCCGGCGGTCACTCTCGAGAGTTGCAACAGACACCCTTTGACTCGAACCAACATGGGCAGGCCCAGTAAGATAACCTCAGTGGTCCATCATCTACTTGCAAAACAACTAATTGCTTTTTAGGAATATCATTGATGAGACAAAAAACACTGGTGGCCGAGTTGTCGATGCAAATCTCGGAGCCAGCATTGATGCAGCCAAGTCTGGAGAACTCTCCAGCCGTGTTGCTGATATTTTGAATCAACCTACTGGAGGTCGTGTTGGTGGAACGTTGTCAGCACAACGCAAGGCGTCGGAGGTTGACGAGAAGGGCTTCAAGGTTGGAGAAGAAGGAGACTTCCATAACTTGGCTCACAGCAAACAGCCTTGAGCATCATCAGAGTCCATCTCAGACCAATAGCAATTAATACAACCCAGCTTTATTCATATTCCACATAAGAACAGATAGTCAATTCGATTTTAACTAAATATATTTAGATCTGCTATAAGTCGCTCATAACTTTTATATTATATTTAAATTAGTAAATAAGTAACTAAGCTACCTAACCCATTAGCCAAAAAGCCTATAGAGCAAAAGTGCCAGTGCAGAGCAAAGAATTGTCATCTAACTGGTCATTGATAGAGTGACGGGCGGAAGATAGATTTACTACCTTCAAATGGCAAAAAGAGAAAGCCTCGCTGACGCTCGCAATCGAATATAGGAACAGCCCGATGCGGGGGTCGAACCCGCAACCTTGAGATCGCGTACTCGTAAGAGTCTCACGCTCTACCGATTGAGCTAACCGGGCGTGGCTCTTAATTGTTGAAAGAAGCTGCTCAGATTTGTCACCATGTTGGCTGACAGATCTGGTTGGAAGCGATGGATCTACGCTCTGTCACCGAGGACTTGATGTGTGTAGTATTATCAATCTCATGCTGACTCTATAGGCGCGTCACTGGACATGACGTAGTTGGCAATAAATTACACGTTACTGCACCAGAGACAAAAAGGCAAGGTAAATCAGCATCCTAATATTCATGGTAAAATACTCCAACTCGCTTCTAAATTCATCAATGCCCATCATAAATTGCAATAAACTCAACCACAGCTGCAAAACTCAAACAGTAAAGCGGAACCTCGGGCTTCTCTCACCCATAGACTCAATCTCCTCCTCAGTCTTACCCTCAAGCAAGTAATCCTGCTTACCCTCATCACGGAGCTTGTTCTGTCGCTTAAAGTGCAGATGGAGGATGATGTTGAGGATCAACGACACAACAAGCATTCCCATGCTGGCACCGTAGCCAGGGCGGTAGTGAGGAGCATACTGGCTGGAGAAGAGGAAGGGAGATGCGACACCAGAAGCGTTACCGATGGTCAGATGCATACCCGTTGAGAAAGCTCGCTTTCCGTAGCGGGGGTTGTTGGCGGGTACCCAGGCGAAGGAGATACCGGATGAGAGGAAGATGCCGATGGAGACGAAGCAGCAGCCTGCATATGAGACAGCGGCGCCCTTGCCAGCGATGAGCATACCATAGCCGATGATAGCGGATCCGATGCCTCCCATGACAAAGAAGCCTCGCTTTTGGGTGATATCACTGAGACGGGCGCCGATGAGATAGGTGATGGCTCCAATGGCGTAGACAGGAACAGTCATGGCTTGGACCTCGGCGGAGGACCAGGTACCCATAGCCTTGACAATGGTAGGCAGGAAGACGACAAAAGAGTAAAGCATAGCCAGGGTAGGGAAGAGAGCGAAGCAGTAGGCCCAAGTGGTCCAGTCCTTGACGCCGTCAAGAACATCTTCCTTGAGAAGCTCCCGGTTGTTTTTCGCTCGGCCGACTTGCTCATCATGAATCTTCTGCAGATTGATCTTATCCTCTTCAGTAAGAAACTTGGCAGTTTCAGGGCTGTTAGGCAGAACGAAGGGAATAACAACGCCGGTAGCGATAGTAGGTGCACCATTGATAAGGATGATCCATCGCCAAGCACTCCAGCCCATGGCACCATCCATAAAGCTGATGCCATAGGCGACAAGACCACCGGCGACACCAGAGATGGCAGCTGTGGAGAAGAAGTATGCGATACGAAGAGCGAGACTCTTGCGGCCGTAGTACATGGAGAGGTAGAGTACGACACCGGGGAAGAAACCGGCCTCGCAGAGACCAAGGAGGAGGCGGCATGCGATGAGGGCTCCTAGGTTGTTAACCCAGGCACTGCAGGTGGCGACGATACCCCATGCGATGGTGAGGCCGGCGAGATAGTAGGCGGGCTTGAGCTTCTTGATGATGAGGTTGGAGGGGGACTCGAAGAGCTGGAAATATGTTAGCTTTGTTGGGCTGGTGGGTGATTGGTGAAACTTACACAGTAGGTGACAAAGAGTACGGAGACAGAGAGTTGGAACTCATTGCCTGTCAGGCGCAAATCTTCTTCCATGCGAAACAGACGAGCATTGCCAATGTTGACTATAATATGTTAGACACCTCACTTGTGAGCAGAGTTGAGTGGCATACCTCGATCCATCATGTTCATCAGATAAACCCACATAACCATAGGAATGATGCGATAGTCAAGCTTTCTGAGGATAGCCCTCTCAGTCTGCTTATCAACATACTCATAGTTCTCACCACGCGCCTCCTCAATGCCTCTCGCCTCAGCCTTCATGTCAGAGCCAGAAGACGAGTTGGGACGCGTAGGCTCTTGATGAGCGGAGACATTGTCATGGGCTGTCATCTTGGCTGCCAAGTTGATGTTTGAAGAGAATGCCAAAGAAGAAAGGGGAGTAGTTTCAACCCTGAGAAGACGATGCTGGATGATCGACGGAAGAGAAACAAAGGTGGACGAGGGACCAGTTTTATACCAAAGCCAAGATATTTCTTACCCCGTGGGCAAAAAGACTCAAAATATCTGGAACTCCCCACAAACCCCAAGGTAGATTCTCCATATCGCAGATTCTGTTATCCAACGCCAAGCATATGCAAGCTCAACCATTGCCACGCGAGGCTTGTCTTGGCAGCTGTAACGCCTTATCCAATCACTCCCATTCGTGTGGGAGCCTCGGACAATATCCACACGAGGTTACAGCCAAGGCTCGTCATATCTCCTTCACAATCTCGGCCCATATCTGCGTTGACGAGATGCAGAAATCTTCTCATGATCCCCGGATTTTGCTGTCCTCCCCACATGCCAAGGCTGTGATAACGGCTCCGCGTTCTGGAAGTGCGTCTTTTTCTGGGGTCATAAGCTCAAAATACCGCCAATTTCACCATATTGAAGCTGAAGGTGTAGTCGGTGATTTTTCAAGGGGCGGCTATCATTTGAGGCTGCAGTATTTGACATAGCCGACACGTGGCGGACGAGCGGAAGAATTACCACATCGATGGCAAGCTGGTGCAGATGGGGTTTTATCTTGGCCTTTTCTTGGCTCTCCGAATGCAAATTTGGGGTGAGAAGAGAGATGTGCAGTTTTAGGCGAGATGAGAAACTATGCTGACCCCCAAACTTTGACGAGACGAGCGGCCTCCTCTTTACTCCGCCTTTCTGTGCCCCAACTTATTCATGCTTAAAATAAGGATGACCAATAGGAATGAGGCCAATTTGTTGAATCATCAGGGTAGGTAAGAGTCCATCTCCTCGCTTCATTCCAATGTGCTGTCATTCTTCTTCTTCACTCTTTACAGGGCCAACAGTGTCAAATTTAGCCAAGTCTGGGGTAAAGAAGCACAGATGGGGCACATCAGATCATCTCAGATCACAACATTCGACTTTTTTCTCTTGACATCTGCATTGAAATCTCTTAAACAGCGGAACTTCTCACCGACCCCACGGGGAACCCCATAAACCAGAAGATGGAGACGAGTTGGAGAATGCGGCCGTCGGGACGCGCCAGCCAAGACTGCCAAGTATGCCAAGCGCCAGTTATACGCGGTCAAGTCGAACGAGTTTTGCTCTTCTGGTGGAGCGATCTCTTGGGTACTCGTCATGGTATTTCCTTGTTCCTTTTGCTTGGTTGTTGAGGGCTTTGTGTCTTTCTCTTTTCTCGGCGTCCGGTAGGCCGGGAATCGTGGGGATTTGCTTGGCGTGTCGAACCATCGCGGGGAAGGAAAGAAAAGTCTGGGGAATATCTAGACTTTGAGAGAATTAATGCTGTTAGCTAATTCTCTGAGCTGAGATTTGAGGTACACTATGCATATGCTGAAGGTCTAGGTTGCCATGTGGCTTCTGCATGATAGTGAATCACGCTTGTAATTTTACCGCCGCGTTTACTACCCGTGTCCTCTGCCGTGAGGGGAAGCCCTTTCACTGACAAACAGAAAATTCTAGTGTCTTGCAGATCATTTGGAGAATACCACCATCATGTAAACCAAGGGGTCATCTAAGGCCAAGAAGGTGCCTTCGAGATCCATCTCCGACGCATCAGGATATGTATGTCCGTCTTGGCCAGTCTAGTGCAAATGCAAAACATGCGTGGCAGGCACACCTCGGTTTTCTACCGAAGAGGCTTGACAGGCGTCAGGTTTGTTGTGCTTGCTGTGCTGGGGATGTCAAGATTGATCTGCAGATGTTTCATGGTGTAAATCCGACTGTGGTCGCAAGAGGGTCTTGCGGCTGCCAAAAAACAGTATCCTGTCATATGACCCCGACTTTGGTGTTTTCCTGGTTGCTTTTGGAACTCAACAGACAGATTAACAAGTAGGAATCGCTTGTCCTGATTGTCTGGCATGATACTGCGTAGCAAAGGGGCCATGCAATAGAGCAAGTTGACCTCTTGTGTTTTATCTGGCTTAAAAACAGTATCAAGACCATGAAAAGATGTTTGATAAGTGTTTCTGTATATTGAACTCTCGCCTAAAGCGTGACGCCAGGCAAGCATATCGTTTTGCAAGGCCAGAAGAGTAACAGATCAGAAAGCAAGCATTTTGTTCATGGTTTCGGAAGACGTTTGATGGACCAGACATTTAAGGCATAACCAATTGGTGACAAGCGTAAGAATTGTAGGGCAGTGTTGCTGCGCACCAGCAGCCAGGCAAATTCAGTTGTGTCAGGTCCCAGGGTAGCAAGCGCTTTATGCCAGTGCACAAACAGTTTGCATAACTCAGTGGCTGCTTGTGAAAGTCGCAGTGCGTGGCGGGGCAACAGGTGAATGCCCATTGGACCTTAGGCAGCCACCCCCTGCTATTTATCCCTGCTAGACTGATTTTAGCATTCTCCTCTTCCCAACTCTAACCACTCTCAACCCTGCACGCGCATCCACACACGTTATTCCCGAGACAAGGGCCCTTTTCCCTTTTGGCATTGTAAGTTGAGTTCTACCGAATGACTCCTTCGGCAGCGCTGACTGTCGCGCGTTGAAAGAGCCTCGTTTGACGGGTTTTCGCTGAGTGAGTTGTCGCTGACAGGAGCACAAAAGGTGTTCGCCTACGCGTCCATTTATTTGTTCGTCACTTCTTCCCCACAAACATACATCGCGACAATCGCTAAATCGACCAAGATGTTCAAGCAACGATCTCACGAGACTCACCACAACACTCACGTCCCCGAGATTGAGGCTAATCCGGGTGAATACACCGTCGCTGTCCTCGGCGACAGCCTCTTCGGGCGATTCAAAACAACCGGTAAATTCGTGAGCGTCGAACCATCCGCCGACGAGATGTTCAAGCTTCGATCTCACCAAACCCACCACGACACCCATGTTCCCCAGATCAAGAACAACCCGGGCCAATACACCACCGCTACCCTCGGCGCCAGTGATGTAGAGCGCTTCAAGGTCACGGGCCGAATCCTGAGCATCAACGAAGACTCGCGTATCCTCAACCTCGGTGTTGGGGGTGACAAGATCTTGAATGTTCAATACCGCATGGACCAAGGTCTCGTCCGCCTTCTCAAGCAGCATCAGCCAAATATCAAGACTATGTACATCCACATGGGATCCAACAATCTCAAGAAGCAGGGTCTTCTAAAGGGCGATGCGGATGCTTACGGTGCGTTGATCAAGCAGCTGCGCACTGAGTTTCCTGACATAACCATTGTCATCACTGCGCTGTTCATCCAGCGCGGTCTGGGTCTTGATGTGATTGAGGACGCCAATAACAAGCTCAAGGCTATCGCTGATGAGAATGAGTGCGAGTTCCTCCCTTTTGGAGATGACCAGGCGGGGATTATGAGTGAGGACAATGTTCACTTGAACGAGTTTGGGTATCGCAAGTGGAACGAGATCCTGGTCAACGACATGAACAACCACTGAGCAGCACGCTCGTATCAACTTGGAAAGGATAAACAGAACCTGCGTGGTCGGAAGACCGCCATGCATTTGCATTTGACGCGAGCGAGCCAATGTCTTTACAGAAGTAAGTCGCTTCTAAAAGCATCCCGCCGCAATGACTGGGCTAACTATTTGTTTATAGCAAGTGCAGGAATAAACCTGAGGTATGATTCTTTACTGGTCCCGATCGCGATATTGTATGGGGAGTATCATGGCCGCGAAAGTTTGGATCATTGAAGGAAAGATGGTCATGGATATGACCCTCACTCTATCAGGGTGAAGCGTCGGCAAAGTATCAGACACATTACAGTCTTGTATTTCTGTCCTAGACTAGAGATTTCGTGGCCTTCTTCATTTCCTTCCCGTGCACTCTCCAACCATGCTGTGTCTGCCAAAACTCGCCGCCATCACTAGTCAATCATTGATAACGACTCTGCGAGTCTCACTTTCGGGAACGCGAAACTAAGTTCATAGCCTCTGTGATTTCACCCGAGATAGGCCTATCGATATAAACAAGAGCCACTGCCAAATACCTCTAGTTACCGACAACAGCCAGCAGACTGTTCACGCGGCTGTTATTCTCCGTATCCATATCATAAGGAGGCGGACGCTTCCACAACAGCTTAACACCCGGCTGGAAGATCATGCAGTGCGAACTTCCACCAAAGTGAAACATGCCGATCTGCTGTCCCTTTGTAATATGAGCGTCCTTCTCAACAATAAACTCACAGCCTGACACTTCAGCCATGCCGATAAACACAATAGCCATGAGCCCAATCTTAGGGTTATCAGCCTGAATCCAGATAATGCCCCGCGTAGCTACAGCGCTGATATAAGGCTGCGAGTAGTTCGGCGCCGCGGGATCAGGATCATCTGGATTACCCGCCAGGCCCTCAAAGTAGTTCTCACTGTAGTACGACCCGGGAACGAGCTCAATGTCGACGACTTTACCACTGACGGGCGCGTGCCAGCGATGATAGCTCTTTGCACTGAGGAAGGCTTGGTAAACGGTGCCGTCGACGAGTTTGCTGGTGTTGGGGTTGGAGTTGAGCATTCTGTCGAGGGAGTAGGGCTGGGACTTGAGCCAGAATTGATCGTGGAGCTTGACGTGCTCGGCGACTTGGAGGGGAGCGGATTCGCATGCATTGGTGATGACGAGGGTTGGATCAGGATATTCTGGGGTTGGAGGGGCGTCGTCTGGACAGGCGATCGGGCGCATGCCCTCTCTGAACTCTCGCGTGAAGAAATCGTCCCACGACTTGTAGCCATAGTATTTTGCGGATGGATCGCAAATGAAGATCTCATCAAATGTTGGGCCGCAAAGTTCACCAGTGTTGGCTACAGTGGCAAGCATATGGAGGGCATCCTGGGATAACCAACCCTCTAGACCGGACTGGGAGCCAGAAGACTCCAAGAACGAACCCCAAGTGTCAAGAATACCCTTGAACGAGGCGTTGACCTCAGGGAGAAGCCAGAACTCGTAGCCAGCAATAGTTCCCATGGGCCAATCAAGCACAGCATTAATAGGAAACCCAATCATCCCCATGGCAGTAGGAGGGTCTTGCTTATCAAAGAAGGGAGGGGCAGATTGGATAATGAGCCTGACGACAGCGATGAATTCATCAAAGGTCTTGAGGGCTGGTTCACCAGTGGGGTCATAGTACTTGGAAGATTGGGTGAACATGTCGTTGGCAAGAGTCTTGAGGTAGGGGGTGTTATTGACGAGATCCTGAAAAGCATCGATCTTGGGGTTGGGGTCAAGAGCAGCATAGTTCCTCTTTTTGGCTTGCTTGAGCTTGGAGGCGATCCAGTCCTGGATCGCTGAGCGTTGCTCGGGGAGCCATTTGCCGATGGGGCGATGGGCTGTGAGAGGGAGTGAGGTCATGTTGGACAGTGAAGTTAATACGAAGAAAGAGACTGCAAGTCTTTTGAAAAAGTAAACGAGCAAGGCCTGATCAATATGGTCGAGTTTATATACATAAAGATCCCAAATCCAAGTACAAAGCCAAGCAGAAAGGAGATGCGGAGTCTCACGGATCAGTCCCAGCCGACGTGACACAGAACCTTCACCACCAATGATATCCCAGTACGACCGAGACATACATTGCTCAGCCCGCCACAATTCCAAGATACCTGCCCGAAAAGCTCAGAAGCGCAGCAACTGCCGTCATAAATGCACTCACTCGCAGATAATTGCATCACAGATCTGAATACTCCAGTAGAGTTTGCAGCGCTTACATGTGAATATTGCACATTGTCTGAGACATGAGGAGGAAAGAGTCGAGACCTTGAATGATATCACATATCGCGGGGTAACTGCCGTGTCCGTTTGTGTTGTACGAAGTAACAGGTGGTATGTGATACTGTCGCAAGAATGGAGGACGAGGAGGGGAAGCTGCGTGAAATTGTGAGATGCGAATGAAGTATCGAAATGACACCGAGCTGGGAATAAGAGCACATAATATTACAATGAAGATCGGCAAAAAGGTGAGCTTTTTAATTGCTCATGCTCGTGGCCTGTTCTTGGTTCAGCATAGCATTGAGGCCGACTCGGCCGGTGATCACTCTCAACCACCCTAGGCACGGCACGCAGATAGTCACATTCCAGAGCTTCTCGGAGGTCTAGCTGTATTGGTCAAGAGCTTCTAGAACTTGGCGCAAAGCTGAAGATTCAGATCGCGCATGTGAATGATACGCAGGACAGGAAAATGTTCAGGAGGAACAAATCTGAGATTCTCGTGTGTCTCTATCCTTCTAAATGGGTCGATGGCCAAGTAGATAATAAGAACTTCCTGGCCGATCTTATCTTATCTTATCCGGTCAAGCTAAGGCTTAGAAATTAGCTTGTAGCCACCATGCTAAGCTGTAAACACCACTTCGCGCTATCGTGAACTATCGAATTGCTAAGCCAATAGCGCAGTGTCGGAAATTACAAAAAGTCTTCTATAAAGGAGTATTAAATACAGCTGAGTCCCTAGAATGTTTAATCGAATCGCTATCCACTCGTTCCTCAATTTTGCGCTTCGACGCCCTTCCGTTCGTTAATTTATTCTTTGTAAATATGATGTTGCTCAAGTACTCCGCTGCCGTTGCAGCTTTCGCCCTCTGTGGCCAGGTTAGCGCTGGGCCTTGTAAGCCGATTACTCGTGTCACGGGTTCAAGCTCGGGAACCTCCAGCACGGCTGCGACCGAAGCTTCTCTGACTGCTACGAACTCGCTCTCGACTGAGACCTCGGCAACGATTGACACTTCTTCGGCCGCCACGTCTGTGGAAAGCTCAGCGACGACTGTTTCTTCTGAGGCCTCAAGCACTACTGGCGACTCCTCCACTTTGTTCACCTCAACGACCGAAACCGCGACCCTTGACGCAACTACCACCGAGTTCGTTTCTACCAGCACCGAGGCCTCCGATGTCTCTACGACAGCAACTGCGACGACTTCTGCTGCGCCAGTGTGCGAGTTCACAGGAGACTACACCAACTACGTCCAAAACCCTTCTTTCGATGATCTAGACGGCAATGGACAGCCCACTGTCGAACCGTGGATCATGCTCGGCGTCTCATCTCTGACAACCAACAACCCCAGAACAGGAGCCCGCTCTATGTCAGTCCAACCCCCCTCACAAACCACACTACTAATAAATCCCCAGGGCATATTCTTATCCCGACGCCGCAATCGGAGGAAGCTCATCCATCCTCCAAGAACTTACCAATACCGTCGCCGGCCATGAATACGTCTTCAAATATCACTGGGCCCTCATCGAAGGACAACCTCTCCAGGAAGAGTATTGTAGAATTGGTACATTCGCTGGCGCTGGGGGTGCGAACTCGCAGTTCTTTTATGTCGATGGCGATCAGGAAATTGTGCAGGGTCAGTACTATGAGCAGGAGTATCGCATTACTGCCGAGAATGATAACCAGAGGTTGTCGATTGGGTTCTTTTGCAGCAGCCAGCCGTCAGCGGGAACGGTCAAGATTCAGATCGATGATGTTTCTGTTTATGACTACTATGAGGGCTGTGAAAGTCCTTGAGATGGAATGGGGTTTCGGCAGATGATCTAGTGTTGAGGATGGTTTCCGGGAGCAAGAAAACTTCCGACCTTGTAGCAAGGTGCCAAAAGTAACTGGCCTGAGGTCTTCTAATTCTATAATGAGCTTACCTAAGCCTTTTTGTCACTTAGAATAGGCATCCTAAGTTTTATTGCCCCCTTGGAGCGGAAGTCGAGATCACTCGAGCTGCATATATACCATCAGAGACATTTCCCTCCATGATTAGCCTTCTCAACAACATCTATAATGACAATTCACAACTTCGTTTCCGTCTTGAGACCCATAACATCCCTCAAGTCCTTAATCTCTGTATCAGGTCGATGGGAAGCCGGTTTCGCAACCCGTCCTCCATAAGCCCAGTCCTTCCTCAATCCCGTCTCACGACCTTCCAATGCATCGGCAATATACTTCCCAATGATCGGAAACATTTTGAACGCGTGCCCAGAGTCGCCTGTTGCGAGAAGAAGATCTTTATGCTTTGGATGGCGATCGATTAGCCAGTGTGCATCGGGTGAATCAGTGCACCAGCATACACGTGCATCAAGAAGAGGGCGATCGGAGAATTGAGGCATGACGGTGTTGATGAATTTTCTGATGGCGACTTCGGCTTCGTGCGGAATGCCGTCTTGGGGATGATCGCTTGAGTACCGGGGGATTGAGTAGTGAGTTGTTTTGCCGTTCTCGTCGATGAAGGTGCCTTTTTGGTACTGATATCCGGGGTTATTGTCGCAGATCTTGATCAGCTCTACTTATAAGTCAGTGATTCAGATTTTAAAACCGCCATCTGAAGCGTAACCTACTTGTATCTGGATCTGGCTCAAACATGAACCCAAGTTCATAGTTGTCAATCACGGGAACTCCCTTCCATTCGGCAGCTTCTGCATCAGTAAGCTGAATATGCCCTAACGTCCAGCATTTTGACCACAACTGCTGCGACAGTTCGGGCAGTAGTTGCGGCGATGCAGCACCCGTGCTGAGGATGTAGTGATCTGCATGAAGAACCCCACCAGAAGCAACACGGATTCCTGTGAATGAGCCGGAAGCATCGAGCTCAAGACCAGTCATTGTGCCACCAAGGCCCGAGATGAATTTGACGCCCATCCTCTCAGATTGAGAAGCCCATTTCTCAAGGGCTCTTCGTGCATGAACCCAACCGCCGAGACTGTTGTAAAGACCTTTCCAGTTCTCGATCCCAACGGCATTCTTTAGCTGGGGAACACATTTGACAATCTCGTCTCTGCCACTGATGAGTTCTAGGTTCTGAGCCTTTCCTGCCCTCTTGAGGTTCTCGTAAGACTTCTCAAGAAAAGACTCGGCTTTTTTGTCGCCTGTCGTAGTAGTAATACGTCCCTGCTTTTGTGAGTCTAAGTCGCAAGGACGGCTATTAAGATCAATGACTTACGGTTTCAAAAAAGACATCATGCCATTCTGGATCTCTCCATGCTTCAAGAGCTTCTAAAGCAAGTCGCGTGTAAAGTGGTTCGTCGTACTCAGTACGCATCACCTTGTTCAAGTCATGACCAGCAGAGTCTAGACTGGGCCATGGGTGGCGGTCGATACATACGATGTTGGTATAGCCACGCTTAGCTAGATGGTAGGCTGTACTGATACCGAATGTGCCCCTAGATTCCGAATTGGCGGTTAGCCTTGATGGTGTATTAGTAGGGGCTGAGACTTACGCTCCGATGATGAGGATGGACGAATCCTTGTTTAGAGGTGCTACTGAACGGGCCATGATTGAGAGGACTGACTTCGGACTAAGCTGTGAAAGATAAAAGATAAGGTTTGAAAACAAAAAGGTGCTATCAGACGCTGAAGATGGCCGTTATATTAGTGATATGACGCCCGTAACCGGAGCCGATAAGATATCTCGTGACAAATCAAGGCTGGACCTTCCTCACGTCAATTACCCCGCAGAAAACATTACTTTATCGTTCTCAAGTGGCAACCTTTAATCAGAAATAGTCGATAGTTAAAAAACTGTCAAGATAAGGTAGGGTAGCAATTATTCTCCTTTACCCCGAAGCTAAGGACCTGATGATCCGGCGACCAATCAGACGCTAGCTCAAATGGCAGCATCGCTTGGACCTTCTTGTTGCATGAGGGGCTTGATAAACTAACATTTGCCGAAATCCGGGGAGGGGAGTAGCATCGAATGTGACATTACTCGCGATAAGACACAATTATAAAATGCCGACGACTTCGCGCCAAGAAAGCAATGCATCCCCAGCAGACCCCATCTAATCCCTATCTCAATCAATTTCGTTTCGTATTGCTTCGCAATTGAGACCGCCACCATGGCACCCAAGGTCGAATACGCCGACAACCTTGAACCTTCAAGACAAGAAGATGGCACCATCGAAGGCACATCGGAAGAAATCATCGACAATCCTGACAAAGCTACTGCCTTTGCCATCAGCGGCATAGACGAACACTACGACATTGACTCAGACAACTCACCCCAACCTGAGGTGAGAGCCAATGTCCCCAATGTCGATGATCTCTCTATGCCTGTTAACACGCTCCGTGCGTGGACGCTAGGTCTACTATTCACAATACTCGGAACTGGTATCAATCAGTTCTTTTCGATGAGATATCCCAGTGTCACTATCTCGTCGCTTGTCGCGCAGTTGGTAGCTTATCCAGCTGGAAGAGCCCTCGCGCATGCACTACCTATCATGAGGATTACAGTGTTTGGGAGGGAGATTGCACTTAATCCTGATCATCACTTTAATATCAAAGAGCATGCACTGATTACTATCATGTCGAACCTCTCGTTTGGACCATCTTGGGCGACTGATATTATCCAAGCTCAAGTTGCGCCTGCGTTCTTGGGGCTGAAGACACCCGTCGGGTATCAGTTTTTACTCGCGCTTACTATGCAGTTGTTTGGTCTTGGAATGGCTGGTATGGCTTATCGGTTCATTGTTGAGCCGCCGCATATGGTCTGGCCTTCGACGCTTGCTAATGCGGCGCTGTTTCAGACGTTGCATGGGAGGGCAAACCCGAAGGCTGATGGGTGGAGTATCTCGAGGTATCGCTTCTTTGTCTACGTCTTTGCGGGTGGTTGGCTATGGGTGAGTGCTTCCGCTTATCTCTCCCCTTCTACGGTGAGACTAATAGTTCATTAGTACTGGCTGCCTGGGTTCCTCTTCACTGGCCTAAGCACCTTTGCCTTCATCTGCTGGGCTGCACCAAGTAAGTCCCTCCAATGAACTCATATGATTGCGTATTGACCTCTGATAGACAACATTGTCGTCAACAACCTCTTTGGCATGTCAACCGGCCTAGCCTATCTACCCACCACCTTTGACTGGTCCCAAATCGCGTACAACGGCTCTCCCCTCGTCGTCCCCTTCTGGGCGCAAGCCAACGTCTTTGCCGGATGGGTCATCCTATTCGCCCTCGTCACACCCATTCTGTACTACACAAACACATGGTACACAGCATATCTACCTTTCTCCGGGGGCGACATCTACGACAACACTGGCAATGTCTTCAACGCCTCGCGCGTCGTTGATCGACATGGGAACTTCTCACCAGAAGACTACAAGGACTACAGTCCCATCTTCATGCCAGTCACTTTCGCTCTGAGCTACGGTATCTCTTTTGCGACAATGACTTGCGTTCCGACGTATATCTTCCTCAATTACTGGAAACAGATCGTCGGCGCCTTCAACCCGCAGAGAAAGAAGGATATTCATGCTCGGCTGATTGAGCGATATCCTGACGCTCCATGGTGGTGGTACGCCGCACTGACTGCTATCGTTCTTGGTCTCACCATTATGGTACAAGAGGTATACGATACACAAATGCCCGTTTGGGGTGTCTTCTTAGCTTTTGGACTGGCGGCCTTCTACCTCATCCCTACTGGAAGTGTCTATGCTGTGGCCAATCTGAACAGCAACGTCCTCACCGTTCTTGGCGAGATTATTTCAGGATATGCTATCCCAGGAAAGCCAGTAGTCATGCTGATCTTCAAGTTCTACGCATACACTGGACTCAGCCAGGCGATGATCTTTGCTTCGGATATGAAACTTGGGCTGTACATGAAGATTCCCCGTCGCACACTATTTGTCGCACAATTGACTGCCTGCATTGTTGGGTCTCTCACTCAAAACGCCGTCGTCCTTTGGATGTTGCACCACGTCAAGGACATCTGTGAGAGCGACCAACCCAACAAGTATACCTGTCCCCAAGGTCGCGTCAACTTCTCATCAAGTATTGTTTGGGGAGCTGTCGGTCCTGCCCGGTTATACAGCGTAGGCAAGATCTACTCAGGACTTTTGCACCTATTCTGGCTTGGAGCACTACTACCAGTAGTAACTTTCTTCCTGAAGAAGAAGTTCCCCAATAGCAAGTTGCTACGTAACCTTCACTGGCCTCTCTTCTTCGCTGGTACTGGCAACGTGCCTCCCGCTACTGGCATCAACTATAGTTCTGCCTTTGCAGTCTCTTTCATCTTCAACAAGTGGATTCGTGGAAGATACCCTCATTGGTGGGCGAAGGTAAGCTCCATGTTGACCATTGTGACATTGTATCAATGCTGACTGACTATAGTATAACTATGTTCTTTCGGCGGCGCTGGACTCTGGTCTTGCGATTTCCGCTATTGTAATCTTCTTTGCCCTCGTCTTCCCTGAAGTTAGTCTTAGTTGGTGGGGTAATAATGTCCAGGGCACGACAGCGGATGGTATGGGCACTCCGTGGAGGAAGCTGGGCACGAATGAGACGTTCGGGCCATCTTCTTGGAATTGAGGTGGTGTCAATTGATGTAATTTGCCGGTTTGTATTGCTACGACATTCTTAATAAGAAAGACTGATTATGTTGCAAATACTTCTGAAAACAAGTCACAATATGTCGTACGCACATTTGGACTATCGCTGTAGGTCTTCAGTCTGGAGGTTACTTGCCGATGACTACTTGGACGAAGTATCGTTGACGTTTACAAGGGTAGGTAAGGGAACTGAGGACCTCTAGCCGAGATGAGAAAAGACCAGGGTAAATTCAGGTAAAGTTAATACAGGCTGACTAGACTTTAGACTAATTATTTCTGGTGGCTAAGCATGGGGATCAGATGTTTTCTCGCTCCTTGGCTCTTGAACGCTGTCCAATCACGTAATTTTCGGTCAAATACGACGAGTACACCAACGCTAGTTCTAACTTAGGTGCTACTCCGCGTGTTGGTAGGGTCATCAAGGCCCGAGCTATCCGAAGCAGCCATGTATATAAATCGTCTGAAGAACAGATCAATGGATAGATAAAACCACTCAGTCTGCTGAGCTCTATAAAGTTTTCTCTTACTGCAAAAACAAGCGTGTCAATGATGGTGTCTTTGAATATTCTCAGAGCCTTGTATGTCTTCGATAGTGCAGCACGCACTACAAAACTGCTAACAACTACTTCCAGGACTTGTCTTAACTCGGCACAGAGCATCCTACCCCTTTCGCCTCCGCACTCGCCTAGCTCCCCGAAGCTCACCGGCGATCCCTGCATCCAAATTGATGGGGTCTGGAAAATCACGGAGGACTGTGTTGATCCTTTGTACTCCCAGCCAATAATCGACAACGAGACCCACGAGACACTACCACTACCTCACCTCAGAATCACCGGTCATTTCGAAGGGACCACCGTTGACTTCAACATCTACCTCCCCGAGAATGGCTGGAAGGGTCGCTTCTTCCAGCTGGTCTTCCCACTACAGAACTCAACTGCATCCGATCGGGAGATTGGATTCGGTGCTGAAAGCGGAGGGTATACCGTTCGTGCTTCCGGTCAACCAACGTATCGTGGTGATGCAGCTGCAGCTAAGGTTGGCATGATGATTGCACGCGAGTACTACAAGCCCAAGACCAACAAGATCCATGGGTATATCTACGGAGGTAGCGGTGGATCTCTTGTCACCGTTGGAGCGATGGAGAATACGATTGGTATATGGTCTGGTGCTCTGACACTTGTCCAAGCTGTACCAGTTTCCATCAACAATTGGTCTATCCGTGCTCTCGCAGGTCTGGTTCTTGAGAACAAGAGTGTCGAGATCGAGGATGCGCTTAGGCCTGGTGGTAGTGGGGACGTCTACTCAAGCTTGAGTCCCACTGAGAGAACCGCTTTTGAAGAGGCCACGGCCCTTGGTGTGCCTATCAAAGGGTGGGAAAGCTTCTACGAAACTGGGGCCTCTGAGCCACTTTGGGAATCTCTCAGAACCGTATCTGGAGCAGCTGTGACGAGAATGGATCCTACCTATGTGGAAGACTTCTGGAACAATCCGGGATACTTGGGAATAGAAAGCTCCAAGCTTGGTGATATATTTCGCAAGGAGATGCTTGACTTCGAGACCCTGATTACTTCTATCAAGTGTGACGCCAACAACGTCCCTGTTGAGCTCACCCTCGACAAGGCACCCAAATCAGGGAGAACTTACTGGCTGGATATTACTCTTCTCTCTAAGGACGGCAAAGCACTCGGCAAGATCACTGGCAAAGGTCACGATAACAGTAACGACAAGACAGTCACCCTTCACCATAACAATGACCCTACCGTCTTTTCAATTCTCCAAGAAGGTACTCAACTTCACATAAGCAACCGCATGTTTCTCGCGATGCACGCACTCCATCGTTACTCAGTCCCCAAACGTGGGGGCTTTTACGGATACGATTATCTGCGTGATTCGGAAGGTAACCCCATCTATCCTCAGCGCCCCATCCTAGTTGCGGAGCAGATAGCAAGATCTGCCAGTGGTGGCGCTACGCTTTCGGGCAAGTTCAACGGCAAGATGATCGTCATGGATAATCTGATGGACGTTGACGCGTTCCCGTGGCATGCAGATTGGTACAAGCACCAAGTCGGAAAGGTATATGGAGATCATACAGACGATAAGTTTCGTCTTCATTATAGTCAGAATGCGGATCATCAGATGGGTCTTATTGTAGGTTCCAAAAGCTCCAGATTTGTGGACTTTACAGGCCTTTATGAGCAGCATCTGCGAGACTTGAGTATCTGGTGCGAAACCGGGGTATACCCAAGCACTCCAACTAATTACACCATCAGCAACTCTCAGGTGCGATTACCTGCTACAGCTCCAGAGAGAAAAGGTATCCAGCCTGTTGTAGATCTCACCATCAATGGTGGCAAACGAGCTGAGGTCAAAACAGGCAGTATGGTCACTTTCAAAGTCCGCGTTGAAGTTCCTCCCGGCGCAGGAAAAGTTGTTTCCTTGGAGTGGGATTTCGAAGGGACGGGTCACTTTGTTAAGAAGATATTCAGAGAGGTTGCACGATCTGTTGAGACAACAGGTTGTTATACTTACAGCCAAGCCGGGACTTTCTTTCCTACAGTGAGGACTGCTTCGTACAGGGAGGAGGAGGTAGATTCGCCCTATTCTTTGGCCTTAAACCTTGGACGGGTACAGGTCGTCGTCATTTAGGCCGTGTCATAGCCTCACTCAAGACTTAGCTATTTCTATCCCTCATACTATCGAGAACCAGCTAGTTTCATTGAGCTGGCTTAATTAAATGGGAGCAGGAAATGGGTCATTTGCATGCTCGCCCTTCTGTCTATGGCACGAGAAATTCCAGTAACAGCCCTCAATGTTTGGCTCTCGCTTTGTCATGTTTTTAAATTACAAGTGGGCTGGGGTGTCGCCGTCTTTTGGTTGGTTGCCTGATCTGAGTGTCTGTCTGCCCTGTCTGCCTTGCAGCAATCCATTCTTACCCAACACTCAACTTCCCCGCTTCGTCTCAGCTGCTTCTTTCTTCCCTTTGCAAACCTGTCAATCTCACCATGGCCGACCCGTTATCAATCGCCAGTAGTGTCGCTGGCCTTGTATCCCTTGGCTTGACTCTCTGTGGCGGTCTACACAATTATTTTAGTAGCGTCAAAGGCCGACACCAAGACATCGAGACAGCCAGCCGAAGCCTTACTCTTTTGCAATCAAACATCTTCATCATCCAGTCGAGCACATTGAAACTTGGCCATCGCCACGCCTTGTCTGCCAATGGAGTCAATCAGGGTCTTGCCAATTGCGAGTTCGAACTCGTAGCCCTGCAGCACTTGATGCTGAACCTTACTAGAGATGAGGGTTTGTCCGACATGACAGGAAAGTTGAGAAAGCAAATCATGTTAGCTCGGTATCCATTTGATCAGAAGAAGTTGATTCAACTTCAAGATCAGCTTTCCAAGGCCAATGCGACTTTGAGTACTTTCGTACAAAACTTCAACCTGTGAGGAACTTCTACTAGAATGATCGTTGTGCTGTCGCTAATTCCTCGTAGTGATATCAACATCGGCATCAGCGAAGACTTGCAGATTTTGAAAAACTATACCAATGCTAACGATAGCATCACGCACAACATGCTAGGCACAATTGCCAGGCGACTTGACGCCATCAGTCCAGCTGTTCAACGTATTGAGATAGAAATGGCAACATTGTCTCAACATGTCCAGGACAACTGCCTCGACACTAGCAGCCATGTTTCAGACGTCGTTGTCCAACCTCGTTATCTGCAGAATTCTCACAAGGAAGAATCAACAACTAAAAGACTAAATCATCTAGAATGTACTTGTTCCGACCCTCCTGCCGCTTATATTTGTCGAAAATCATCTTATATTGGACGATTCTGGGGAGGTTTAGTCATCTCGAAACAAGAACATAAACGACAACGCCATCGTCCTAGTTGCATCTTTTTCAGCCACTCACACCAGAAGTCAAAAACTACGTTTACCTACCTTGGACTTCGATATTGGCTTTCTCAGAGTTTGTTCCTGTCACTAACTCGAGACTATCCGGCTGGGGCATACAGTATTTCCTTCGGGATACAGCCATGCAACATTGTTGAATGGAGTCCGGCTTTCCAAGCTTTCTTTGACCTCGAATACAAGTATCAGAGCTGGTAAAACAGATATTGTTCTCCTATTTCTATCGGGATAAAGACTACTGATACAGGTCTTAGGGATCCAAAGCACCAACAAAGCCTTGAGCACGCATGGCAACACTACTGTCATTTTGACCTACGAAACGAGACATCAGCCATAATAAGGAAGCTAAGAACGATTTATAGGTCAGGGGCTGCATCGCCGTTTGATGTAGATGATAATGGGAATAACATCGCCCATTTATGCATGGATGTAAGTTCCTATTCTGGTTATGAACTCGCGGGGGGCTTTAGTGTTAACAAAATCTTGAGGTCTATCGGCAACAACTAATCGATTCGGATTTGGAAGAGGAACGAAATTTCATGAACATATTTGAATGCATTCGCTCACTTCTGTCATACATGTTTCACGCTGGGGTGCCAATCACTGCCTCTAATTTTTACGAACAGTAATAGCTCTACATCCCATTTCTACTCGACTTGACTTACTTGAGCCAGAACAATTCTCAGGTATTTGTGGATTCCGTACTCTTTAGCAACGCTCCCTCCGTTATATAATTTCATCGCAGCATTTGACACATTCTTCTGTGTCGAAGACATCGCCCATAGCGAAGTTATGTCTTTGAATGTGAGAAGTATATCAGAAACTGATTCATTGAGAGTTTGGGGTCAGTACCCCGAGATCGCCGAAGGTAACTCCGCTACTTGACTGGCCTTTACAATCATGCGCAGCTAATGAATACGATGTAGCGTTTGGATTCAATGATATCTTCCGGGCAGTCATGCAGCAAGACCGGAAAAGCCTCGAGGCCATTACAATTGGCGACCAACTTCCCCCAGGTATCCTGGAAACAGATATGTATGGGCGTAACATATTGCACGCTAGCATCACCTGGTCAGAAGGACTTGGTCTGCTTCTACAAAGAAGTGAGGCTTTACCTCTACTCTGTGACAATGAACCAACAAGCATTAGTCCTCTTGAGCTTGCTGTAAAGTTAAGTTGGAGAGTATGTACCCAACCAGACAAGTGGGTGCTTTGCCAGAACTGTTGTTGCGCCGATTCTGTCCAAGTACTCCTAGAAGCTGACTGTTGTTTGCCGGTCAATTTGTTGTCACTAGAATGCTTGGAACAGTGTTCATTAAGATGCCGAAAGCTATTGTTCAAACATTTAGAAGACCGGCGGCGACGACTACGGGATCTTTCTCTTGCATTACTGCCCTCTGAAGTCATAGAACGGCATGGAGTCGCGGTTGATTCCTTACCTGACGCTACTGCCGCCTTGCTGTGGGAGTAATTTCAGCTACGCTCTAGTGAATTGAGAGATGGGGGACTTGAGATCAGCCATGGCCTCAAGCCTTTTAGTTCAGACCACTACTATGGAGGCTTGTTTGAAAAACCCCTTTCTCCGCAAATATGTTCGTTGGCGAATGAGTTTGGCATCAAACCTTCAAATGAGGGTGGTCTGGGGCCACTTCTAGGACGCGTTGAGGTTCTCTATCAAAATTCTCGAAGCGAAGAGATGTTCGGTATAGAGACTACCTACCTGGATTGGCTGTTGAAGCATGATCTCAAGCTGGAATACGTGATTGGTGGCTTCCAGACATCGGCGTTACATGATTTTGGAGGGAAGATTGGTAGTATTCTAGTTCCTTTCCTTCGCTACCCTATCGGCAATCCGTTTTACTTTCGATGTAGGGAAGGAATCAGTCTGATCACCAAGATATGCAACAGCGAGATGCAGTCCGATCTGCCATGTCCCTGCATATCGCGGGCTTTCAATCGACCATTGGCTTCTTTGTTCTCTGGATATACGACTAGCGCCCTGTCGTCATCTTCCGAGAAGCTCCACGTTATTTTCGACATATGGTTCCTAGTAGAGCTGATCGAAAGGAAAATAACCGAAATTGACACGCCCCATCTAGCTAGATGTGCTATTCACACAATGACAATGGAACTCCTGGGAATTAGGCACGTTGGGCCCTGCGCCAGGAATCACTTTGATCGGCAAATGAAAGAGTCGGGTGAGGATGAATGGGCGGAAGTGTTGGACGAAGATAGGCTCTTGCTGGAAAGACTCGATGATCTCGATGAAGAATTTGAAAGAGAGTTCCAAAGTCGAAATGAATCAGTGAGGGATTTCATAAGAGGATACTACAGTGAGAGGATGCGGGAAGTGGTGAAAGAAATGAATGCTTCCCCGACGGATGATTATAGGCGTGGACTACTTGCTGCTGGGGTGGTATTAGCAGATCCGGGAGAGTAGCGGGGTGATAGAAATTTCAGATGGTATCGAAATGACGGCGAGGTTATGGAGGAAGTCGTCTCATTTGGGAGGTCCTTCTAGAGCGAAAATCGTAATTCAGACATTATACCATATTGACTTGATAATTCCTAGCGCACTATCTAGGTAACTTGGAGATTTAAGCCGACGCTCAGCGACATCCGATGCAAGTATAGAAGGCTATCTACTGTCTGGAAATAAAATATAGAAAGCTCAAATAACGGTCGACTGCATTGATGAAACATTTCGGCATCAAGCCAGGACAAATCAAACGCAAATGCGAGGGCAACCTCTTCCCTAGTAGTCCTAAGGTGATCAGTGCGCGGCAAAGCCAAGCTTCGGGGTAGCCTCCTCCTGACTATGGACAACATAGTAGTTCCTCATGAACAAGTTTCCTAGCACTGAATATTTGCTGTTGAGCTGAGTCGTAATTGCTCCAGCGCAGAGACGGTTAGCTGGGTCATATACAGTATAGTTGACATCCTGTCCTGGGATAGAGAGAGTTGTGCTGTCAATCTTGAAGTGAAAGTCAGGAATAGTGCTATTGCACGGGAACGTGCGAGTGCCTCCCTGTTGGAACTCATAACCCTCGATATGGCTGTAGTAGTCGTTCACCACAGCTTCAGGGAGGTAGACAAGCGACGTGCCTGAGTCGACGATGACCTCGCCAACCTGCTTCTTACTACTTGTGAATGAACCTTTGCCCACGGCATAGGAGCTTGAGTTCATTGACCAATACTTCTGGCTAACCACGGGGGTGTAGGCGACTTTGCCCTTGAACTTGGTATTATCGATGTATCCAAAATCCCAAGTCGCAGGCTTGCCATCGAGTCTGAGATTCGCAGCAAACACCTTCTTCTTCAGAGTGGGCAGGAGAGTTTCGAAGAAGGTCTTTTGCTTCTTGGGCTGGACGGTGTTGATGGTATTAAACGCGAGACCAAGAATGCCATCCGAAGCGAACTCAGCTTGGATAACCGTGGCGGCTTGGACGGCCTGCTTGTGGGCTACGACGGGGCCTGCTTTGACGGTGTCGGTGAAAACTACGCCGCTGACCTCGTCGCCGAAGGCGTACTTAATGGACCAATTGTAATTTTTGAGAAGCTCTGCGGATGATGTTGGGACATATGTTGGGTGGTCCAGGCTTTGGAAGGGGGAAGACTCGTTGGAATACACCCATCTGTTAAGTTGCTTGTTAGTCTCGGTACAGGATGCTGAAGCAGGGAGGTACTCACAAATCGGCAGAGCCAGTGTCATATATCATCTTGAAAGTCTGGTTCCCGATGACTGTAGGGACAAAGAACGACATGCCAGATGAGGAAGGCTTCACGCTGCCCGCCTCTTTGATGTCGCCATGCATCGCAGGGTATCTTGTCTCAATCCTCTGCCTCTCGGCCGCAGGATCGAATTCTTCTGGTGTTGAAAGCAAAGCGTCGACGCTGAAAGCAGCGCCTTGGCTATCCGGCACTACGAGGCCATGGGCAGAAGCAGCCAAGGCGGCAATCAATTGAAGGAGTTTCAAAGACATATCGAAGGTGGTCGTGGAGGATGACTATGCCAGAAGGTAAAACTAGAGGACAACGAGGAAATAGGAACTCTTGCTTCCTTATGCCAAAGAGAACCTCGTCGGTCTCGTTCATAGCTCGTTCCACTGTTACATAGTTCGCGCTTTGATTGTCCGCGCTGGCTCCGCGGGAAGAAATGGCTAAAGTGCCGGGGTCCGCACACGAATTAATTTCCCGAAACTGGCTAGCTATTAGTACCGCAGCCAATGGAAGCACAGCGGGACCGGCAGATCAGGAATGAGATCCACTAAGAAACTCGTATCGAACGAACGGTCTTGGCCTCATGACTTCATTTGGACGGGGGCTGGGTGAGTTCACCCATTTACATATAGGCTGATAAACATCAGGCAAGTCAGTCGTCCACCAACGACACCCGTAAGTAACGACAATCATCATGGCTCTCATTACTTTGGCCGCCGTCGCTGCTGCGGTTGCGTTTCCTGGCCTCGCTGCTGCGACCAAGACTCCTGCTGGTGTAATTTCCGTCCCATTATCTCGCGATGACGGCCTGACGGCATATTATGCCAAGCTACAGGTTGGCACACCGCCGCAGACAGAGTATCTCAAGATCGACACGGGCAGCCCGCGATATTCCTTCCTCGACCCTCGTAATGAGGTATGCAAAAAGCAGGGGAACAATTGCAAAACGTTTGGCACCTTCAACAACAAAACATCCAAGTATATTCCTCAGACCTTGTGGTTTCTATCGCTAACTAATGTTATAGAACATCCCGCTACGAAGGTACTGGCTTCGCCGACGCCCTGGGCTACGTTGGTCGAGGCGATTATCTGAGCGACACTGTTGTTATCGGCGGTGTTTCAACCAAGAACATGTACTTTGGCTATACGTCTGATTACAGCTTCCCTGACAAAGTCACTGGTGATATATATACTATTCTCGGTAAGATCCTGCGATGTCAAGACTATGTCACATTAAAAGTGCTGACAACGAAACCAGGCCTGTCATTGGAGTGCGAGTACGCCGGTCCCAAATGTACTGACAGGTTCTCGTCGTACTTCCTGCCGGAGCTCAAGAATGCTTCCAAGATCAACTATCTCGCTTCAAGTCTCTACCTCGGACCTGATGACAAGAAGGCCGCCAACGCGAGGATGCTCCTCGGTGGCGCCTACGACAAGGCAAAGATTGACGGCAACCTTATCACCGTGCCCATGGTCGACCCCTTCAATGCCGACCTCAGCGGTGGCCAGACCAACTCGGTCAATGTCACGTCTTTAGAAGTCGTCCTCACCAAGGGTAATAACCGTACCAAGGAAACGTACGGCAAAAAGGGCGTTGGTCTCCCTGTTCTGCTGGACACAGGCGTCGCGAATTGGTACGTCACCGACAAGACTATTGGTCCTATATCCCGCGCTTTCGGTCTCGCCAAGGAACCTGACTTTGGTCAACGATACTTTGTCGTCGACTGCAAGTACGCTGACTCCAAGCGCAACGACGGCTATATCGCTGTTGAGTTTGGTGTTCACGGCACGATCAAGGTTCCGTTCCACGGCTTGGTGACAAAGTTCCCTGATGGCACCTGTGGAGTGTTCCTCGCTTCTCGAGGTTACCCCGTGTCCATCTTTGGCGACCCTTTTTTGCGCAATGTGTACAGTATCTTTGACCAGGAGAAGTTTTCTATCTCGATGAGTAATGTGAAGCATACTGCTGAGGAGAATATTGTGCCTTTTCCCAAAGGAGGTTTTAAGCCAACTCATTACTGAAGAGGGTGAAGGCTACGAAGCGACACCATCATACTAATGTATATGTAATGTTTCTGATGCAGTGAGAATCAAGCGATAACTGCATTGAGTATATGAGCGAATGGAAATACATACAACGACAAGACATGTTTTCCAATTTCTCAATTGTGTTTGTAATATTTCTATCTGCACCTCAAGAATCATCTAGCTTCCCTCTGGCGTATTCGTTTTCGACACTTCGTAATTTAAACGTAATCAGAGAGTTGCCTGAGAATCATTTGTGACTTTAGGGTAATACTCCAATTAACAATCACAAAAGCCGATAACAGGCTTCCCCGGAGATCGCAGAAGCGCTATCTTGCCATCTCGCGCACTCGACCCAAAATGGTCGAATGGGCGACCCCAGATTGAGCTATACCTTTCTGAGCCATCTCAGCGAACGCTATCATCCCCGCCAAACAGGACCATCCTTGGTTCAGTAACCGGTATCAGCACAAACATGACCACGCGATATAAATGGCAGCGAATCGCAAACAATCAACGCCTGCCACTTGGTGAGGTGTCATTCTGAACGTGCATTCCTAAGTCGACACAATGGATAAAGACCTCAAGCCCATTACCACCATGCCGACGAACTCAACCGTCGGGATGGGTGAGTTTGTTGAAGATACAGCTAGCGGTCGCAAACCCACCGCTACCTTGGATGGTGATGATGAGAAGCATTCGGAGGAACTGGGTTCTCCTCCACTCGGGATCGTGTATAGCTCCAAGGAAGACGCGAGGGTCCGATGGAAGCTTGACCTGATTCTACTGCCTTTGGTAGGTGGTTCATTGTGAAAGATCGAGCAAATGAAACCTGACCGAAACATAAACAGATGGCGTGCACATACGTCCTAAACTACATGGACAAAGTCGCCTTGTCCGAAGCCTCCATCTTTGGCATTAAAGAAGATCTGGTAATCGCAGCTGCACCTCGGAGATGGCCGCACAAAACAACTGACATCCGCATAGAACCTCGTCGGACAACAGTATAGCTGGTCATCCTCAATTTTCTACCTGGGCTACCTGGTCTGGCAATATCCCAGCTCTCTCTTGATGCAGAAGCTTCCCATGTAAGTCTTTACCCTTTCAGAAAGCGGCTTGGGTTAGGAGATGATCTACTGCCAAATATTACCTCACAGTTTCCTAATCATTTCATAGTGGTCGGTACTTTGGCGTGATGATCTTCCTATGGGGCCTCACCGCATGCACAACGGCATTCACAAAAGACTTTGCAACACTCTGCGTCAACCGCGTCTTTCTCGGTGTTTTCGAATCCTGCATGTCACCCATTCTTACGATCCTCATCTCGCAGTACTGGACACGAGAGGAGCAGCCCCTTCGCACATCGCTATGGTGGTCCGCCAGCGCTGTCGGTTCTTTCATGGCCGATGCCATAACATACGGCCTCTCGGGTAGAGATCATTCGGGGTCTAAGTATGCCGTCTGGCAAGTCGTTTACCTCGTCTTCGGGCCGATGACAATGTTTTGGGGTGTTGTTGTCTTTTTTGGTGTCCCGGCATCGCCTCTGACCGCATGGTTCTTCAGCAAGAGGGAGCGGGATATCGCTACTGATAGGGTAACTAACCAATGATATCAACTACCGGCGTTGCTGAACAATCTACAGGTCTTGAAAAATCACACCGGCATTAAAAACACTGAGTATAAATGGAACCAGGTCCGGGAATGCCTGATGGATCCCCAGCCGTGGATACTAGCGATACACGCCTTTCTTCAATGCCTGCAGGGAGGCGGTCTAACATCGGTAAGCAATCTTGAATTGAATCAGTAGGCACATCATATTCTGACGACAACACAGTTCTCTAAAATTGTGTTGACTCAGACCCTCGGCTACTCGAGTCGCCAAGCCACTTTGATGGGCATGCCGTCCAACACCATCCACCTCGTCTCGGTGGTCTTTGCGTGAGTATCCAATTTTGCAACTCCATGCCCTATTGCTGACTTTTGTGATCCAGTGGCTGGTTTTGCACTCGTTTCAAGAATACGAGGTGCTACGTCATGATCGCAACGAACGTGATTGTCTTGATAGGAGCGGTGTTGGTAGACAGTGAGTTCCTGGTATCATGAATGTCTGCTTGTAGTATCTGATTTGTACTAGACCTCCCACAATCCAACCATAAAGGTCGACTTGCGTCTTTCTACAGTAAGTGCAAAGCCTCCTTTCATGGCTCAGGACCGTTGCTCATAAGTACCTCCAGTTATCTATGTGAATACCGTCCCTTTCGGACTTGGCATGAGCATGCTCTCCTCGAATATCGCAGGATTTACCAAGAAGTCCACCGCGAGCGTAAGTATTTGACTCTGGCCAATCTTGCCTAGACCCGCTCTGATAACACTTGCAGGTCATGATGTTCCTGGGCTACTGTCTTGGCCAATTCACCGGCCCTCAATTCTTCATCGCGCACGAGGCCCCACAGTTCCAGACTGCTTTCAAAGGCTTCTACTCCTCAGTCTCTGTCATGATTGGTTTGGAAATCATTTTGCTGTAAGGAAGCTTATCATTTCACTTTACCACCGAATACTAACCATTTTCTCTTAGCATCTACATCAGGTATCAGAACCATCGTCGGGGTCGCCGTGAGGTTCAAGAAATCTGTAACGTAAACATTTCTAGGGATGATTTAGATCTTACGGATTGGCAGCAAGGCTCGTTCAGGTATGTTTGGTGAGCCTTGGTGGAAAAGGTGCGAAGTGATGAACATCCATGTGATCGCGAGTCACGATTCGAAGGCTTGCTATCCTGTTCGCTTGCTCTTAAATTCTGTCGATCTGTCTTTGTGTACAATACCTCCTTCGAGTTGGCCAGGAATGAATGCCAAATCTCGTTTACTTGACCAAGCACAACATTGACGTTGAATACATACACAACTGTTCTATTTGTGGCATTCTCATCGTGACCCAGCTGTAGATTATTGGGGCCTCGGCACCACACTAATTAAAAAGATTATGAAAACATAGAGAGGAAGTAGCGTATAATTTTGTTGTTGATGTGAAGAAGACAAATTCCTGTAGTGCCTGTCTCATACTTAGCGTGCTTCTTGGGTACGCTTATCAGTGATTAGTCATTAGTTACCCCAGACTTCAAAATAAACTCCAGGACCGAAGCGCTCTTGCAGTTCTATCACCCCTCATCCTTGTCCACAGTCCTTCACGACGACTCACCATGTCCCTATGCAACACCTGCGCAAGAAGGAAGTTGTCTTGTGACCAACTTAAGCCGCGCTGCTCACCCTGTCGACGCTCTCACCTCAAATGCGCCTATGAACCGTCATCGCACGCTGTATTTGAGTTTCGAGATGAGACAGAGCAGGTCAGAACTCATTCGAGGCGTCGCAGGAAGAGGAAGAGCACTACCGGGCAATCGAGTCGTACAGATATGAGCCCACAGGACCAGGCGACCTTTTCAATAGCCGAGACGGATGCACCCGACTTGCTGGAACCATCGTCACTTGCAATGCTCGATGCGGTGGCGATGCCTTGGATGGATGGGATATTTGACTCGTATCCCGACCAGCAGTGGGACTTGAGTCCGGACTCCGCAGTACTTTATAATGGCGCCGCGCAACTTTGGTTGCCGCAAACGGATTCGCCTGGTCAAATATCCACTGACTTCAACGCGGGCAGCCTGTCCTCTAGTTCCCCTCAGACGGTCTCCGATCGGGTGTTGGCACAGCACTATACCCAGAATCTGGCGTCCAAGTACAGCTCCAAGGGCCAGACCTGGAACAATCACACATATTTCTTCAATCGATTTAACTCAAGTCATTCGTTTGTGATATCGGCTCTTTACGCGTGGACAGCTGCTCACCTTTACTGCAACGGGACTTTGGGTTCGGAGAGTAGCGCCCTAGAACATTATGAAAAGAGTCTCGTAGCTCTCGGGGATCAATTGGGCATCCAGCTTGGGATTGGGGTCGTGGATGAAGAACTAAGCCAGACTTGGCCTCAGCTTATCACCCGAGATGATGATTTGGATGCCATCTCAGTGACGCTTTATTTCCTCGCCTGGACCGATCTGCTGCTTTCACGAAGGGCCTCATTGAAGCGTATGCTAAGTCTAGAAGCTTGCCTTCTGGAAAGCCGAGGCCACGGTGATCAATCGCAGTCAGTTTACGGTAGAATGGCTGTGTGGTTCTGCTTCCTCGATGCTCGCGCTTCTCTCTTTTCCCAAGATAATGATCGCATCATACAGTGTCTGGGCAACGACTTGGGATTAATGTTTGCTGTGGACAAGTCCTACAACTTTCTGCAACAAGAATACACTCTGCTATACCCGAATGAAGAGCGACGATGGGATGAGGCTCATAGGCCTTTGTATGTGGCTACGTGTCGCTTGGTCGCTCTCTTAGGGATGATATCCATAGGCGACCGCAACGCGGCGATGGAGAGTCAAGAGGCAAGTACAAGAGCATCATTGGATGATATACATCAGGTAAGCCGACAATAATATCGCTCTAGTTCTTTGCAATTCCACTGCTGATGATGAAGCAGGGCCTCGCCAGTATCAGCGAAGAGAAGGCTGCAGAAAAGAAAGTGCTCTCCATCTTCCTCACCGTGAACGCCCTCTTCCACGCAGTACATATATACGCCTCCAGAGTCTACCGACCAGCGGACGAAATTTATACAGATACTTCGCATGCTGAGGATTTAATTGGCATCACTCGCCGCTTTTACTCCAAGCTGAAACGGCCGAGGATGGAAGCGCCGCCGACCAAGATATGGCCTATCCCACTCATCATGGCAGCGATTGAGGCAAAGGACCCTATCTACAGAGACTGGGCGCTCCAGCTTATCAAGGACTGCTCTCATGCTGGAAAGCATTATGTCAACGCCTGTGCTTTTGTCGAAAAGGTGCATGCCGCCGAGGAGGGGACGGGCTGTCGCGCCAATCTTTCCCAGATCGCTGAAGACATGGGCGACAATTTTGTGATTTGACAAACGCCCGCAGCTCAGGCTGAAGTTCTGAACGCTATATTTGACATTTTAGCCCTTAGGGGCGACAAAGACGGCGCCGTTGTTGGACGGTCGCCGATTTGGCCTCTTTGGGGCAATCGGGCGACGCGCTAAGTTAGTAAACACAGCGCAGCGAAGGATTGATCACTACCCCGAAGAATCCCACGAATGCACCTCCAAGCCTCTTTTATATAAGGATACATGCTAGTGCAAACGATAATCAATCTATTCATTATTCCTGTCTTGCTATCTACTACCTTACAACATGCCTTCTGCCGAAACCTCTATCATGGAAGTCCCTCGTACTTCGTGCTACCAGCGCATTGTCGTCGAAGGCACGCCCTATGAGAGAGGACTTTCGCATGGAAGACAGGTGGCTGACAAGGTCCGTGCCAACATCGAGTATTACAAGCTTCCAGGCAAGCTCCCGCATTGGTGAGTGGAGTATGGTCACCAACTTTTCTGCTATTAACCAACATCCAACTCAGGTCCATCTCCTCCAAGATCATCGAGACCGTCTACATCCCAGCCTTTGAGAAATCCTACCCCACCGGCCTCGAAGAGATCAGAGGAATCGCGGATGGAGCAGGTGTTACGATCGAAGAGGTCATCATGCTTAATGCTCGATACGACCTTGGCAGATGCATGTATCGACTCCAAGATGGTGGCAAGACTCCACAGGAGCTTAACGGGCATGATGAATGCACGAGCGGATTCTTCCCTCCCGAAGCAGTGGCATCTGGTCGGGCTTTGGCCGTGCACAACTGGGACATGTCCAGCCATCTTTATAACCAGGACCTCATTATCTACCTCGAGGTACACCCAGACCCGTCTGAGGACCGACCTTCTATGTTTATTCTCACTGAGGCTGGGCAGCTGATCCGCAGTGGGATGAACTCGGCCGGTATGTCGGTTACTGCAAACTCGCTGCTATCAAGCGAAGACTACGTGCCCATCTCGCACACCGACCAGAACGGAGTCTACCATGAGATCAAGAATCCCAAGCCTGTTCTCCCGCTGTCAGTAGCAAGACGCGTCTTCCTTGAGTATAGCAACTACGCCGAGGGCTTGGTGGCAATTAACGCCTTCCCCCGCCACGTCTCAGGGAACCTACACGTCTCGACAGCCGAAGGGTTTGCGATGGCTATGGAGGTCGCCCCAAGCCGCGTGTACAAGTTCTACGGAAACATTGATGATAACTACCTCATACACAGCAATCACTTCCTAAGTCCAGAATTTTTGGGTCGTGATGATGTTTTTGATCGTTCTCCTGGTGGGAGCACCTGGTTCAGATGCTTGCGAGCCGAGAAGGGAGTAAGAGCAGATTGTGCAGCGGGGAGATTGACGCCGGAAAAGATCAGGACGGCTTTTTCGGACCACCTGGCGTATCCTGAGAGTTTGTGCAATCATCCGAATCTCAATCAGAAGAACACGCCGAGCGCTGTATTGACTGGGTATACATCCAAGCAGAACATGACTGTCGCTTTCGTCATTTATGATCTGACGGAACGGGCAATCACCGTCTGCAAGGGGCCTCCTTGTGAGGGTGTGCTGCAGAAGTTCAAACTTGAGGAGAGGCGATCGTTGAAGCATTGAGTATAGACAGCTAGAGTAAATCCGATCGAGGTTAGATGGAAAGGGTAGCTGGCATGTTTCGTCGGCGGAGCAGGTAAGTATGTATTACATAAGAAAAAGATTTATTATACAGTTACGTTTCATTCTGTTGTCAGTCAATCCAGCATCCATGCATGTCGCAGCAATGTAAAACGCCATGAGTTAGGTTGCCATGCTTGAAAAGATGCTTAAAAACTTGGGTATCTAGGGTATGCGGCGAGAAAATGAAGCTGAAACCTGGGGATGTTTTGACAGGGATGTTGACTGAGGCCGAAACGTCGCTTTGCTCGAGGCTGAAACCAGGGACTCACGATATCACAGTTGTGTTTCAATAGCTAAAATCGATGCTCCAGCCTCGAGCACTATTTAAACCATCAATTTCCACTCCCAAAGATCGACTTACTATCACCATCATCAAATCTCTTCTCCCTCTTAAACCTCTCATTTCACATTCTCGGTAGCGTCGCCACTCCGCCCACCATGAGAATATCCTCAATAGCCCTGCTTTCATTCCTATCAACAGCCATGGCAGCTCCCGTGGTCCGTGGCCCCGGTGGTCGACTTGTACAAGAAGGTGCCGGCTGCACGTTAGTACAAGGCAGAAGCGTATGTGACGATGGATTCGGAAATACCTTGTAAGTTCAATTATCCTCTTGCATAAAGTAATTCGCGTGCTGATTGTCGTCTGCAGCTTCGAAGATGATCCGTTCTCGTCAAAATAAAAAAAATTGAAACGCAAGGAGGAATGAAATGATTAGGCTTCTCACAGTGGAGGATTGAGACCTGAATAATTCCGCTTGAGGCGTTGAACTGCAGGATGGGTGGCTAGTACACCCGGGCCGTAAGAGATACCACAAATAAGAATCTAATGAATCAACAATTATCTTCAAACTTGCTCTGTCTTTGTCATGCCACTTTGACTATTCTCAGCCATTAACTGTAATCCAGGCGGGACCGTCGGCATAAGTGGAACAGGGAAAATGAGGCCATCTCCACCGAGCCCAGCCGCGTAAGAAAACTTGCGGCCTGACATGGATACAGCCTGCGCAGACCACAAATTTGTCAATTTCTATACCAATTAATCATTTAAAAGATAAATCTGTGGACTTCCCCATTCGAATGCGCTACAGTAAACAAAGCTGGCCGAATACGATTGGATCAAAATCTCGGCTCTGCATTCCACGTCGCTATGCATGCTGCAGCTGCACGTTGAGTTGGGCACTGAGCGCCTCACTTTCAGTCCAAGATGAAGAATAAAATCCCAATTCTGGAGCAAATTCTCTCTCAACTCAACTTCATCTTGTATTAATATTTCTAGAAGCCATGACTTCGTCTAATTCTAGCGAGGACTTATTCCCCGCCCTGGAGTCGCTCTCCAGGTTAATCGTGCCCCATATCAAGACTGCGATATTCGTCGCACTTGTTCTGAATCAATTTACTATTTTTCCTGATTTTAATGTTATTCTTTCGCAAATATCGAGCCCGTTAATTTTCATCGTCGCGCTATACTTTGGCGGTATCTGGACACTACCTAATGGCCAGGAGAGTACAAGTACCCTTTCTTGGAAGTTGTTGCTGGGGCCATTCTTTGACTTCAAGACAATCTCTAGTCGGGTCGGGACATACTTCAAAGGTAGGACTAATTATTCTTGTCGATGGAAAGCTAGGTACTGATGTTTTGTGTTCATTCCAGTGGGCTCATTGATGTCTTTGGCTTACTACCTGACCCTCTATTACGACCTACCTCTTCCTTTCCAACCATGGGTTCAATACATGTTCGTCGGCATTGTCACGGCTGTATCAGCCGCTGCATACCTATTTGCTCCCATAAGCAAGATTTACGGACCTCTTCGCTTCTGTTACCTTGAACATGCCCAGACATATTGGCTAGTGGTGAACTGGTGGTCACTAACAGCCGTGGTCCCCTTCTTCTCTCCCACCTTGCTACCCGTCTTTGGCTTCTGTCTCATCAGTGTGACAGTTGGTACATGGGTTCACATCTACTTTGCATACCGCGAGAAGGTTCGAACCATTGCCTGGACTGTCTCCGAGAATGCAGCCCGAGCAAAGGCAGCAGCTGAAGAGGCCAGAGACTTCGGTGTCATGGCGAAAAAGTACGAGGAGCAGATGGTCAACGCTGCAGCTGAGGCGAGACGTGATGCTGTTATTGCGAACTCGATTAGACTGACGGACTTTTTTGACTGCGCATCTCGTGCTTGGTCTACTCTCGCTGAAGCTACGGCCCCAGCTGAGGATGCAGTCGCTCAAGCTCAAAGGGTCATCGCCTCCGCTATCATCTGCGAAGAAACCGAAAAGGTCGATGATAAGCAAAAGGCAGAAAATGAACGACTAGCCACATATTTCAGACAATCCGCCGAAACAGCTCACGAGCGCGCAAGAGAAACAGTCGCTCTCCTCCGCGCAGCCCAAGCTTCTGTCCGCGGTTCCGAGAACGCAGCACGACAAGACGAAGTCTCCCGTCGTCATGCAGAGCACACCGCTGAGAATGCGTCTAACGTCGCTAAGTCTGTTAGTGACACTGTCGCATCTATTCAAGATGCTGAGCGCAGAGCGGCGTGGGCTGGTGGCGCCGCTGCGAGACGTGCTGAAGAGGCTGTGACTATGGCGACGAATGGAGAGATTGAAGAGGCGAAGAAGGCTGTTGCTGCGTCTGAGTCTGCGTTTCAGGCTGCTGAGGAGTCGGCTAAGATTGTTCGTGAGGGGATGGAGGCTGCGCAGAGGGGGTTGCAAGAGTGGTTGCAGAGCAGTCGGCATGGGGTTTAGGTGAATAGTGAGCTGTGTGAATGGTTATATTAACTATCAGAGTGCGACAGTAAAGACATATAGTTTCTCAGGACTACTGCTTTCGCTTTTTGTATATTACAAGATAATAGTTATACACTTTCCAACACTTTATTATCTAGAAGCTAATCATGTGCAGGGTCTGTGAAACCAGACATATAAATGACAATTGATCAGAAAAACATCAGTTTCATGGATACGTAAACCATTCCTTTGAAAATAAAGCCTTTGCTTCATTTTCAAGCAGTTTGCCATCAATGTTTCTTCCTATCAGATTCCAATGTACTGAGCACAGCCCATACCTATATGGGAAGAGGATAGAGGATCCTCGGCCGTTCTTTGATGACGTCGGCGCCGCTGCAGCAATGCGTCGGCAGTCGTTACAGCGAAGAGCATGCTTGATATATGACATGTCTCCAATTAATTCTCTTTCGTCTGAAGAGACGGGTTGGACGTCAATCAGGGACGTCGCAAGATCCCATCTGTTTAATCGGACTGCATGAGAAAGTACCCTGTCGTTTGCATAGTCGAGACCCCGTTTCAGTGGCTCTCCGAAAAACACCTTGACCATGCCCTGGCATATGGATACCGGCCAGCGATGCCGTAGCAATATCTTCACAAACAGAAGTGTAACAGTTGCTTTATGCAGTGGAACAGACCCTCCAGCCTCTAAGCACTTCGCCAGTGAGCGTTCAACAACCTGTATGTCACTTGCCTTTGCCGCCTGCACGGTACCTAGAAAAGCAAGAGTGTTATCGAGGCGTCGCTGCAAATAAACATGTTGGCTCTGATCTGAATTCCCCAAGAATCCAAATAGACCATGATCTTGAACGCGCGGTCTCTGTGGTGAACGAAGTCGTTCTGCTAGGAAGACTTTCATACGCTCCATGTCAACCAAAGCCCCTTCGATTAAAATGTCAAAGAATGATCTCCCCAGGCGCGTCCTGGAAGAAAGGATTAACTCCACTTCAAACCGTTTGTCCTGATTGAAGTTACGTAATCTTTCGACTGAGGAACCAGTGCCAAGTTCTTCAGCCAAGACTGCGAACGGATACAGGTATGGTTGTTCATGTCGCCGATAGCCAGTCTCGAGAAGCTGACACATTTCTTCCCTTAAGGAATAATCGGCTTCCCGTGGACATGCACAGCTCCGAAGCGCCTCGTTCCCATCTAGCGGGGGGAAATATGAGATTCCACTAGCGACCGCTGCCCTCAATTCTCGGACAAGATCAACGTGGTTTAGTTGCAGTCTTGCACGGCTGAGACATCGATTTTTACAGATCTCGTGATTCTTGCTCACTGCCATCCTGTTTATGATAACCGAAAGGTAACCGTGAAGACGACGATTCGCTGGCCTCTTGTAGTCCTCAACAAGCAGCATGAACACACGACAAGCAAGGCCTGCGTTACGTTTCTGGATGGCATACATAAAAACGTGGCAAAGGTCTCTCAACGTAGCAGTATTCATGAGCCTTCCATTCTCATCTGTCTCCAGGGATACTGCGGTTCCTCGGTAGGAGTCAAACCCGGGGCCAAATAAGAGGACATCATTGCCAATGATCTCGCTGACACCCTTTGTCCAGGCTGGCTCAAACCATGGCTCGCCCTGGGAGTATTGACGGGGCCTTCGCAGAACCTGGCCTAGTAATCTCCATGTAGCCTCGTTCTTGATCGAGTCGATAAAAAGCTGATGCTTAAACCAATGTTCGGAGGCATATTCATAGAATGTGTAACCCTTCGTGCTCTGAGCAGGACCGAAACTATGCATGGGAATTGAAGAGAGCGTGGAGTCGGTCCATTGAACCTTGCCAAGGCGAGCCTTTCTTGACCGCGAAGCCAGAACGGCTTCTCGTGTAAATCGTCCAATTAGGAACCCGATGTTGCCTCCGACTGCGGTTTTCATTGTTTGCTCAGCCAGTCCGCCTATATCGATATCCATGTGCGAAGAGTCTGTATTGAAGCTCCTCGCGAATCCCAGCGCCCTCTGGAAGTTATCAAGGCTGATATATGTGACGCATAGCTCACCCATGAATTGATCACACTTGTCTGCGTCAAGATGAAAATCCCCAAAGTCTCTCGAGCCTGGGGTGAGAAGGTATTTCCCAATCGAGTGGTGGCTAAAGTGGACAGTATCTGACTCTTCCACGCATATAAGATTCTCGCACCACGTAGGTAGGCGATCTATGCCACTAACAAGATCGTCCTGGTCAAGGGTCTGCTGGCCTATCTCGACTGAGAGAGCCTCGCGAAGTTGATCAAGGGTTAGTGGCTCAAAAGACCCTTGAATCAGAGTGAATGCCTTCTGAACGATCGATTTGTTGTTTTTCTTTGCGGCTATACGGCCAAGGGTGCGGTCAAATGTGGCTGGGAGGTCGACTGGAATATCTCGTAGTGCCTGTCTGATGTCCTTATCAGACTTTCGGGAGCAGATGTCATCAATCGTGAGAAAAACCCATAAGAACCTTGCACTGTATTAGAGAGACTTCTCTTATGATCTGTTAGGAGTATCTACTTACATCCCCTTCTCCTTTTGATGTATCACTTCAATGATCTCATCGACTAGCTCTGGATCACTGACTATAAGCGCCTTGGCTGAAACCTTATTCGTAATGATGTCCTCGGCATACAACCGGATATCTGAACTAGTGGGCCTCAATCCAGTATAGAGACGGGTGGCTTCAGGTAGAATCCGGTCGATGTCGCTGGAGCATGTTTCGCGGGATGACAGTAATAGTTTGATTCGACGGGGTTCTGGGAGCTGGTTAAAAACTTCGCGAAAGAATTTCAGCAGTCCTATCTGTCTTGCGACGTCGACCTCGTCCAACCCGTCGATTACAATAAACCAATCATCTAGGCTCGTTGCTGCGGTAGTGTAAAGTAATCTCAACGACTCGACTGAGAACATCGAGGACTTAGCTTGCTCTAGACAGCCATCCAGCTCAGAGATGGCACTTGAGTCCAAGCTTTGGATCAAGGGGGATGCCAAAAGCTGTTGGAGACAAGACCGAATAACTGTCGAGGCAGAAAGACTTTTCCTTTCGTCAAAACGAAGGAAAAAGAAGGAGGTGAATTGTCGAGATACTGGAGCACGGCACAGCCATTCTATAATTGAGGATCTATAGCCAGTTAGAAAGTTTTCCAAGACTAACAGTAGTAGTAGACTCACGCTAAGATTGTCTTTCCAGATCCAACTATAGATCTTGTTAGATAAAGAACGTGGTACGCACA